GAAGCAAGGCTGCTGGAAAGATGCAGAAAGGGGGTAGGGAACGGTCAAGGGTATTTATAGGATTCCCATCCCTACACGGCCAGCATCTCACCCGTGTGGGCAGCCTGGCCCTGGCCAGGGTTAAATGTGCAGGGTCCGTGCCTCTCTGTCTCCAAGTGAGAGGGGGTTGTCAGAGCGGGATCTGCAGTGCCAGGCTGGGAGAAATGGGCTTGCAAAAATAAATAGTGTGGGTCACATGAGTTACTGGCTCTTGCTGGGGGGGACGGAGTGTTTACACCAGTGCCTGGAGGCTTGGCTCTGCTTTATGCTGGCGGGAAGGGTCCTGGAGGAGAGGCTGATCTCCAGTTCATTGAGGTTCAGCTGTTTTTTGGGAGGTCTGGCTCTTCCCTGTGATGTTGCCTTCTGCTGAGGGCTTTGCCCTAGGAATTGGGTGTTTCTGGGTGTTCTCTGCTTCCCCAGACCCCGCTTTAGCTGCTGGTGAATGGGTCCAGCATGGCCATGCCCAGAGGTTGCTTGGGTCCCCCCCAAACCTCATCTGGGGGTCCCACACCAGGGGGGTCCCTGCCTGGTGCTGGGGGGAAGACCCTCAGCATCGCTGGCTGGGAGCGCTGCCAGCACCTTCCCTGCTCTTCCCTTAACAGAATTATTTGGGCTTCCCCCCAGGGGTGCTGGGAGAAGGGCAGCGCTTGTTCCTGCTGCCCGATCTTCTTTTTGAAGCCCTCATCCCCCCCGCACAGACATCACAGCCGCCAGCCTGCAGCTAATTGTGATGCCACGCGGGCAGCTGGAGCCCAGCTCCAGCACCAAAGCCTGCCCAGCTGTCCCAAGAACAGGGGGAGCAGAAAACGTGCTATGGGGACAGAACTGATTTCCCTTAATGCCTCTTTGGGTAGAGCAGCGTCTCCTCGTCCTCTCCCTGCCCATGGCAAGCTCTGGCCCCAGGATGCTTTTTTTGGGGGGGCAGCATCAGTCAGAGAAAGGCTCCCAGGTGCTGCTTCCTTGCAGGAGAAGCCATGAAAACTTTTAATCCCTTTCTCATGGCCGTGGGGTCGGTAAGAAACATCCTCTAGTGAAACAGCATCAAGGGAGGTAAAGCCCAGATCTCGGGGTTGGCATCCTCACACCCCAACCTTCTCCATCCCTAAATCCAACCGAAGGGCTTCCTTTATAGCACGAAGCGAGGCCCCAGGATTTCCTGGCACCAGGCACATTTTGTTGGCCCGGAGCTCGGCAATGAGCCCGTCCGATGGTGTCGGTGATGCTCCACGAGCCGCTGCCCCCCTGCGGGTCGCCCTTTATTCCATCAGCTGTGCCAGCAGAGCTCCGCTCCCTGCCTTGCTCTGCAAAGACAACCGGGAGGTGTTAAGTGCTTATAAACGGAGCATAAACACAGCCCTGCTGGTGTGCAGCCACGGACCTGTTTAGCACTTTCTAAAGTGCTTCAAGAAAGCCACTTCAGCTCAGCGCAAGGTTTTGGGATCCAGGAACCAGAAAGTCTTTAACAGCCTTGACTTCTTGCCTTTTCCTCCTATTAGGATAAAGCTCACGCAGCCCAGGTGCATCTGCGGAGGGTTTGGTTCCCCGTCCCAGAGCAGAGGTTGCAAGGAGGAAGGGATGGCGAGGAGACAGCAAGGGGAGGATGCAGATTTATTTTTTGCATCTTCTGGGGATGTTCAGGTGACCAATTTTTTCCTTATCCATTAGGAAAGCAGCTCCAGCTCGGGTCTGAGGTCCTTTGTGGGGCTGAGCACTTCTGGGCTGGCTTGGAGCAGAGCCATGGTCCCTCTGGATGAGGGAGAGGATGGATGTGGTGGCTCAGCTCTGGTTCGCTCTCCAGGTACCAATTTAACTGCTGCTGCCAAAACCTGTGTCGGAACCACCTCCAGCAGCTCTGGTTTGGGTGTTTTGCTGCTCCCTGTAAAGGCACAAAGGTGTTTCCACGGCTTTGGAAAGCTCATCTGCCTGCTGGCAGAGCCTGAAGTTCTAAATGGAGATGTTGGGCTGCTCCCCAGTGGGGTTGTTTTATCAGTTTTGAGGACTGAAGCTCTTTTCTGGAAATGCTGGGGCATCCTTAAAGATCCCAGCAAGTCCTGCTTTGGGTAATACACTCATTTTTTAACAGGTTTTTCCTTCTGCTGCGGCAGCGTGTGTAAAGCTTTCTCCTTCCCCTGCTCTTCGGTGACTGGTGTGATAATTGGGTCTAAATTGATTCAAACCATTTCCTGTAAGTCCCCAGGGAATAAATTTCCCAGATCAATGGATGCCACTAGCAGTCGCTGGAAGCTCTGCTGCCCTAAGCAGGGCTCAGAGGCGGTGTTTTATTGAATCTGCCATGCCTCCTGCTTGAAATATTATTCCCTCTTTGAGCAAGGACCCCAATTTTTCTTGGGCTCTGATGCTTTGGGCAGGGATTTCTGGGATCTAGCGAGCAGGACGAGGCTGGGACTTGGGTCACCGCTGGGTGCAGGAGCTGCCAGAACCTCTCCATCCCCAGCAGGTGGTGGCAAAAAGGCTCCGATTTGGGGGTGGAGGTGCTGGGGCCAGATGCAGGGTGTTCGGCTGTCTCGGGCAAAGCTTTTCTCTCCCGTGGAGAGTTTCTGCTTTCTTCTGGGCTTCCCCCCACCCGTGGCACAGCTTTCCCTGCTCTGGGTGGATCTATTGGCCTGGCAGCCAGGATTCATTGCTGGGAGTCCAGCCCATCCTTCAGGTCGTTTTGGTTGTGGAAACAAACGGGCATCAAGTCCTCTTTTCCCAAAAATGCTTCAAAAGAAGCAAGAGGCTTCTGCCTGCCCTTGCTCACATTTCGAGGTGTTTTTTGCCTGCTTTTGCTGCAGGCATTGTCCCTTTGTTTGGACCCGCTGAGCTTTCCCAGGGATACTTCTTGCCCTCCGAGGTCCCAGCTGGAATCTCTTGGAAACCAGAGATGCTTCTGGGTGCAGAAAAGCTCCTGGCTTTGGCACGGACAGCGAGGGCTGAGCATCACCCCTCGGAAATGCTGCCACTTGGCTGCTCCCAACCACATCCCTGCAGAGGGGAAGGGTCCTGGGCTGCACCTCTTGAGCTGCTCCTGCAGCCGAACACCAGCCTGATCCAAATTAACCTGGGCAGGAAGAGGATCTGGGCAGATTTCCATCCTGGAAAGGAAATAAATCCCCGTATGCTCGCAGCCATCAGCCCCTGTCCAGCTCGATCCAAGGCTGCTCTCTGCCGAGCTCGGACCTGCGGCTGAGATTTATCGGCGCTTGGACGCGGCTCTCTCCTGCTGTGTGTCTTCCAGGGGCAGCTTGAAAATGATTTCTTGCCTTCGCCTTCTCACCGGCTCTGCGGATGGTGTTTACTAAATGTATTTTAATGTGGTCACCTTTCACCTCCTGCCTAGACGGGTATTGATCCGCTATAGATCCCGGGGAAAGCTGCGGAGGGGACGGGGGCTGCAGCCACCCTGGGGCTGGGGAGAGGGGAAGGGGGCAGCTGGGACGAGCACGTAGCAGAGCTCAGCACGATGAGGAGGATCAGTTCCTCGTCTCGCAGCCCTATTTGCTCACGGGATGCTCCTCTGGATGGCAGCGGGCATAGCTGCTTGGGAAAATACACCCATGGAGCTGGTTTCTCCAAGGTTTTCCTGTAGGGCCAGTGTGCTTCTGTGCCCAAAAGATCTGCTGGAGATGTTTCCTTTATTCCTCAGGCAGCTTCCATGGGCAATATTCAGGCAGAATTTGTGATTTGGTGCACAAAAGCAGCTGTGGGGTGAGGACAATGCATGGATATGGGGACGCCACCAAGCTGCTCGCTGCCTCAAAGCTGGGCAAATGGGTTCAGTCCCACTGTGTGCTGGGCAAATCATCCTGTAAAAAGCAACACGCCGGGCTGGGGGAAGCCCTGGCTCTCCCAGCCCTTGGGAGCAGGGGCAGCGAGCAGCTCAGCCCAGCCCCGCGCCGAGCAAGAAACATCTGCGGCCGTAAAACCCAGCCTGGGGAAAGGGGACCTGCTCATCTCAGACCCGAAATTGGGAGCGGTGGGAGGCAAAAGAGGGAAAAGCTGAGATGTCCCAGCTGTTGCCTGCTCTTTCTAACGTCACGGGGGCAGGCGTTTGTTTGGGGGAGTGGGAGTGATTTGGTGTCTGAGCTCTTTGCTGTCCGCAGGGGCAGGTGGAGGGGAGCAGCACAGGCTTTTCCTAGGGGATTTTTCCTCCGTGTCCCCTCCAGTCCTCTCCTGCGCCTGCCCTGATGACACAGCCGGATTGCAGCCCCCGTGGCCCATCCTGCAACTAATTGGGGCTGGGGAAATTTCTTTCCCGAGCCGCCTCAGCCCTGTTGCAGGCTCTCACGGCTCCAATCACGGCTCCGTGCTGCAGGGAGCCGGCGGGGAATGCAGAGGGCAACGCTCCGCAACCCGCCCGCTAATCCACCCCAAATAAACAGTGCTCAGCAGCGGCACGGGAGCAAAGCCAGGCTCCTGCGGGGACGGGACCGACAGCCACCCCACAGGGGTCCCAGAGGCTTTATCCCCAGGGGGTGAGCTCGTGGCAGGGTCCCTGTCCCCGCAGCATGGGGCAACCCCGTCTTGGAGCACCCTGGAGCTCCACGAGGTTGTTGGTGCAAAGGCAGCGCTGGTGGCTGGACTGGCTCTACGCTGGTCAAAAATGTTCCTCCCTCCCTCTTTTTTTTTTTTCTTTTTTTCCTTTTCTTCTTGTAAACAGGAAGCTGGGGTTTTATTTCCCCCCAAATCCTTGCAGAACGTGTCTGTTTTTATAGCAGCCTTTATTTATTTGTTTCTTCCTTTCGCTGGGAACCGGAGAGTTTGCAGCTGATGGAAAGCAGGGGAAGTGTCGGCGGCTCAAATCCCAACCCCCGAGCACGAGCGGCGACTTTCACTGAAAACCCCAAACCTCCTCCCAAAGGGGAAAGACAGGGAACAGGGACGGAAAAAGGGATAACGTTTCCCTCCGTTCCCACTTGAACCTGCGCTGGACTTTGTTTAAGAGGAGGTGATGATTTACCCGGGGTAATCCCTGGGGCCGGGGGGGTGATTTATGGAGCAATAAAACCACGCAGGATTGTCTTCATCACAGGTTTTGGGTTGAATTTCTCATTGGAAAAGCTCGTATCCGTTATCTTCCTATCCCAGCTGAGCAGGAAAGCTTCTCGCAGCTTCCCAGGCCCTCCCTGGGGGGTTTTGCACCACTCTTGGGGCCACATCCCCCCCCCAAACCTGACCCCGCTCACCTGCATCCGCTGAGGGATGGAGCCAGGTGTGGCCAGAGCTTAATTGGTTTTAAATGAACCTGGGGGAGCCCGAAAGGTGAAAGGAGGAAAAAAGGGGGGAAAATTGGCTTGCTTTGGGAAGTGCTCGCTGTTGCTGAGAGGGGAGCAGGTCTGCGGTTTTGCTTTAATTAGGGGTAATAAAGCTGTGTTTTCCTTTCTCCTAAATCCCAGTGAAGTGGGGTTGGACTGGTTTAATCCACTGCTTGTCCAGGTCAGCCTGCTGCCAGCCAAAACAGCCAAAAACAGAGAGAGGATGAGAGAGCAGAGCCGGGAGCCCCGGAGATGCAGCAGGTACGGAGCAGGGGGCTGGGTGTCGGGGTCCCGTGCTGCCAGCCAGGAGGGGAGGAAACTCAGCTAATAAAATCGTGCCAAATCTTCCAGGAGCTCTGCAAGTGCGTTGATGTCTTGGGGACAAGACCCCGCTGCTGTTTTTTTTCCATTTCACCTGCTAAGGCTTTTGGAGGTGCTGTGCTGGGGATGCCCGTGCCCAAACCCTCGGGGGCTGCAGGATGCTGCTCAGCCTTCAGAGGGAAGGGAGCTGGGGAGCAATTTTGGGAGCACCAGGAAGGTGATGGGGCCGTTCCCAGGCTCTTCTCACTCTGGATAAAAACCAGGAGCTGTAAAAAGGGAAGATTCTGCTCGGTTACAGCAGAGGGGAAAGCACGTGGGGTGACGTGGTGGTTGAGCAGTGCTGAAAGCCTGTCAGAGCCATGGTGTGGGGAGAAAGACAAACAGCTGCTTTGCTGCTGCCCTGCAGGATGCTGCCTCTCTGCCCAGTTTGGGGCTAAATCCTCCCCATCTGTAGGACAAAAGGGCTGGCTGTGGGTCCAGCGGGTCCTGGTGCAAGTGTGGGGCTGATCCTGCTGCATGGCCGGGCAGAGGATCCCAAGCTCCTTCAGTTCAGTGGGCGTCTGGGGGCTGAGAGCTGAAGTGAAGGCCTGAAATCCAAACACCTGTGGATCTGGAGGCAGCCGACATGAATCCCTCTTCCAAAACCCTTCATCTTGCAGCTCAGGCAGCGCCGACCCTTTTCCAGTCCCAGCATCACCCCTTTTTTTGCCTGCGTCAACAAGAGCCGGGAGCGAGCGAGCCCCCGATGCAGTCACATCCTTGCGTGGTGTTCCCCTGCAGGCTGAGCAGCCGGATGTGTTTTAATTAACATGATCCCAGAATCACCTCTCAGCGCTGATTTTAAGAGGCAGGGTTGGGAGCAAGCTGCTGCTTCCCTGCTGTGCCCAGAGGCGAGCGCTGAGCCCCGGCTTGCTGCCCACGACCTCCCCGGGGCTCTTTGCAGCGGCCGCCGTGGCCCAAAGGGTGGTCAGAGCTCTGGCAGAGGGCATTTGTGTCGCTTGAATCGTTTCCCATCTGATTAAGGAAGGAGAAGTGTGACAGCGAGCGTTAGGAAATCAGCATCTCTGGCCTGATCTTGAGAAGATTCGCATCCGGAGGCAGGAAGCTGCGCGCCCTTGCAGCGCTCGTGCGCTGCTGCTGCTTCGTTCCCCGGCCAGTTGCAGGGGGGGAGAGGAGCCGAGGGGCTGGGGAGAGATTTCTCAATCCCAGATAAAGCTTTGAGGTCATTTTTCAGGTCCACGTGAAATGTGTTTACATTGAACTCTGTTACCAGCACGAAACCCAGGCCGGATTTCTGCAGGGGTGGTGCTGAGCCTGGAAGCCTCAATCAGACCTGAGTTCTTCCCTCTCCTGGCTATTTTCTCATTGCAAACTCCTCGTACACTTATTTTTGAGAAGCTTTTGGGACCTGAGGCACCTGCCGGATGAAATATTTCCTATAAGACGCTTCCTTCCCTTCGCTTTGCTCCCCGTGGCTCCCAGCTGCTGGTCCTGGGGAAGATGCTTGCTACGACCGAGCGCTGCACAGCTGTTTCTCACTACAGAATTCTTCGGAGGTGGATTATTTGTCATTCCCCAGCTTAATAATAATAATCCGTTAATGCATTTTTGTCATCCACTGGGGAAACAAAACGCTCCCACGTGTTTTTGCGGCCGCGGTGTTTTGCATGCACGCACACGGAGTCGGAGCTCGCCCTGTGCACCCTGGCCCGGCTAAAAGCCCCGAGCAGCTCCCGCCGTGCCGAGAATTAAGTCTTACAACATGACAGGGTGGGTCAGGAGTGTCTTAAAACCGCCGAGTAACGAGCGTGTAAAAATAGATGTAAAAGGGGAGGGAGAAGTGAACGTTTCCGACGTGCCGGTGGCCGCGGGGACCCCACTCGCTTTGCGCTCCCTGGGAATCTTGTGAAAATATTTGCTTTGCGCTCAGAGCTGGATCCGACGCCGGCCGGGGGGGCTGCGGTTGGCTCCGTGCACGCTCAGCAGCTGGCAGGCTGATGGAGGCAGATGGCCTCATCCTGCTCCAGATGTGCTGCACGAAGCTGTGCCTCTCGTCCTCCCCCTCTCCGGGGCTGTTCCCCTCCCTGCTCCCTTCCCTTCCTCAGGTGGCAGCTCTCTGTGCCCTCCTGCAAGCAGAAACGGGGTATTTAGCTTATTTTTTGTTGTTTCTTGCCCTTTCTGCAGGTTCTCAGAGCCAGGCAGGGGCTGAGGACAAGGCTTTCACTCCACACCCTGCCGTAGGATGCTCCTTTGCTCCAGCTGCCGCCAGCCCATGGGTTGAAAGAACCGCAGCGTGGGGTGGTTACAGCCTGGCCAAAACCCTCCCCGACAGCCCAGGACGGAGCCGGCTGCGAGCCCAGCAGTGGCTGCAATGCGGGGAGCCCTGGCAGAGTTGCTGGTGGGAGTGGAGAAGGCTGAGCCAGGGCAGTTTGCAGCTCGCAGCGTGCCCCGGGGTGGGGTTGGGACCTCGTTTGGGTTGCTCACACGGACGCAGCACCCTGGGGAGCGGAGGAGCGGTGGGTGCTGAGCTCTGCTCTGCTCCGTGCACGCAGCCAGCGCCGTCCCCACGTGCTCCCCACGTGGCCGGAGCCAAACCCTGAGTCACGGCCACCCACGCTCCCTCCTGCCTGGGGACCCGCTTCAATCAGCACCGGATCAGCCTCGCGACCAGCTCTTTGCAGCCAAAACGCTGACTTTCCCGGGGCCGTGGCCAGGAAGGTTTGCGAGCCCTACCTCGAGATCCTTGCTCGGGCAGAGCTTTTAGTGCTCAGCCTTGTGCAAACCTCCCTGTGCCCCGTTTTGCTCCCCACTTCAGCTGGCAGCACCAGCAGGTTCCAGCCTGGTCGCGGCGAGGACGCGAGTGTTAAATTTTGGAGGTGCAGCTGGGATTAAAGGAGGGCACGGGGTTGTGGAAAGCCCCCTCGGTGGTCATCGCTGAAGCTCTCTCTGTGGCAAACAGCTTGAAATGAAGGCTCGGATCCACCGAAATGCAACCTGCTGGGAGCTGGATGCAGAGCAAGCATCAGTGCCAAAATTCGGGCAACTCGCTGTGCTTCAAGGAAATTAAAAGGCACTCGCTCCGTTTTTTGCTTATCCAACTGCTCGCAGCCTCAGCTGACCCGGTGCACTGAAGGAATCAGCATTTTCAGCAGGCTTGGGCTTTGATTTGTTTCTGATGGCTTCCTGTCCTGATGCGAAGGAGAAGTTATTTTGGGAACCTCATGAATGAAAACCGAGAGGTGACCGAAGCACCAGCAGGGCAGGCGGGGGCAGCCAGATACAATATTTCTCCTACCCACAGAAGAGATGCTCCGGAGGCTGTTTGCCTTTGATTCCTTCTCCCCAGTGCAATGAAGAGCAATTATCCTTCCCATAAAAGCCTCCTTCTTTCAGGGGACTTGTAGTGACTTCAAAGAAGGGGCAGGTCTCTCTCGGGAACAAAGTCGTCGTTTCAGTGGGTTCCGGGGCTCTGAAGAAGAGCTCCGCGTCGTGCTGGCTGCCCGGACCTCTGCTCCTCTGCTCCTGCCCCATCTCAGAGGGTTTTTTCAGGGCGAACATCCCCCAGGGAAGGTGCTTTCCCTGCGGTAATCCCACGCTGCAGGACCCCACCTCAGCCAGGCTGGGACCCCTTGCTTTGAGGTGCCCGCAGGGCTCGCTGCATCCCCCAGTCCTCTGCTGTCAAAGGGGTTGGTGGAAAAAGCAAGAACTCAGCCGCTTCTCCAGCTCCCCTGTCCCAGCTAAGTAGTGCTTCCTTTTCCGAGGAAAATGCAGTGTGCCTGGGGCTGAGCTTGGCCCGGGCTTGGTATGTCGGAGTGAGCAGAGCTTGGTTGGAGCGAGGTTTTTTCTTCCCCAGCCCCTATTCCGAGCCTCTGACTGTGTTAAGAAACCTTCCCCAAAAGCCAAGAAGCTCTGCAGTGACCAGCGGATGCTTCTCATCCCACTCTGGCACAGCCCCGGTCCTCCTTTTGGGGCCAGGCTCCTTGGGTGAGGGCCGAGCAGCATTTTTGGGCTCATTCCCTGCAAACCAGAGCAGTGTCCCGGGAGCTGCGGTGGCTGCGGGCACCAGGCTGGGCTCGGGGCTGGTGGGCACCGGGTGGTGGGGGGACAGCCGTGGAGGAAGGACCCTGCATTTAAACACTGCAGCAGCATTTTGGGCAGCAGTTGGGTTTCTCGAGCCCTCAGCACAGCTCCAGGACCCACAGGATTGGAGCTGCTGCGCCCACCGCCAGCAGCCCCATGGGGATGGAGCGTGCCGGAGGCGGCCCCGGTTCATCCCTCGCCCGCAAAAGGACAACGACGAGGCTTAGGGGAGCACAAAGAAGCCATGCAATCCTCTGTGGAAGGGGAGCAGCAGCAGTGTTGCTGGAGCCGGAGCTGCCCGGGGCTGTGCTACCCCACGCAGCGACGGGAGGAGCGGCTTGGGTTGCAAACAGGCAGAAGGCACCAGAAAAACGCTCCGGTTTCGGGTGTCCCGAGTGTCTACCTGATCTTATCTCTCTGGGCAGGAGTTATCTCCACTCCCCAGGCCGGCAGGGGGAAGATGAAAGCACCGTGGGCCAGGCCGGGTCCCCCTTTGGGAGCCCCCCCTGCCGCCAGCCCCTTTGTCCCAGGGGTAACCGAGCCGGCAGGGGGGCAGCCGCAAGAGACGGTGCTGGGAGGGCGAGATGGGTGCGATTTGGTAACCCAACCCCTGCCTTTCATCCGGACAAAGGCAGCCCCGAGGTGTGGAAAGACCCGTGCTCAATCTGGTGTCCCCATTCCCTCTTCTCATTGTCCCCAGGTCGGGTGCAGGACGCCTCCGCTCCCCCAGCTCGCCCCCGCTTTTGTGCTGATGCTCTGCAGCCTCGACCTGCCGGTCCAAACCCAAATTCCCAGTCGCAGGATTCAACCTCTGCTCCTCCCCCACCTCCACAGTTTGCTCTCCATCCTCAGATTTCAGAGCCCAGTACGTTTGCCCAATACACATTTTTCTCCCACGTCCCATCTCGTTCCCGGTTTCCATTCGCTCCGGGCGTGAGAGGGGGATCAGGCAACGAGGGGCTGGGATGCGAATCTTGGCAGAAGCCCACAGCCCCTCGTTAGGGGTTTCTGGCTCCCAGCGATGCTCCGAGCTGCTAATTGAGTGCACGCAGCCCCAGCTGAGCGCCGGCTTCCAGCTTGTGCATCGCTCAAGCCAGACGCGCGGATGCGGGGGACGCGCAGCATCCTCGGGTCACGTTTGTGGGGAAGAGCCGGGGATGCTGAGCAAAGCCAGCCCTGCACGGGGACACCACAGGCATCGGCCCCCATCTCCCTCCTCCTCCTCGTGCAGCTTCATTTCCCTGGAAAAAAAAAATTGCAGGGAAGGGGACAAATAATAACGGAGCTGGTGGCGGAGCCCTGCTGGCCCCAGTGGGATGCTGGTGGGGGGACGGGAAGGGAAAGGGAAAAGGGAGGGGGCGATAGGGTTGGGGAGTGCTTGCTGGAGGGGATTAAGGGCTCAATCTTGAGTGGAGAGAAGGAAATGAGAATCAAATCAGCTTCTAGCGCCTGCTGGACCTTGGGGGAGGATTTATGGCCGGGGTCAGGGCGGCAGCGCAGCTGGCGATGGGACCCTGCCCAGCCCCGGGGCACCCTGCAATGAGGAAGGGTCCCCGGGGGTGATGGGGGGCACGGTCCCTCCTTGCTCCTCTCCCACCCTGCTGAGGGCTGGAGGGGGTGCGGGAGGGATGGAGAAAGGGGTGAGCACTCGGCTGTGCTAGGTAGGGCCACCCGCAGCCTGCTGCACCCTAAGGGAACAGGTACGGTCATGGGGGGGCACAGGGATGTCCCGGGACAGCACCCTTGGGTGCCTGGGGAGGACTCCGAGCTGAATCCCAGGGGCTGGAGCAGCGAGATGGAGCACGTCACCTGCTCCCTCCGCCATTCACACCTTCCCCTTCCTCCCAGGCAGCTGTGTTTGCAAGAGCAGCGCCACGTCCCCCTCCTTCCCCGCTCCATCCCTCCCCAAATCCCACCTTTCCTGACCCCCATCCATCACCTCGCTCTGCCCCCATCCTCTTCTGCCCCCCCTCTGCCCCTTCCCTTTTCCTTTTTCCTGCCCGTAATCGTTCACCCGGAGGGATGCTGAGCAGAAGGAGCCTCGTCCTCCCCATCGCCCTGCAGCGGGGCAGGAGACCCGGGCATCGCTGTGCCCCCCCCACCAGCACCCTGGGGTGCCCTGGGGCTGTGCCCCCCGCACCGCAGCGGGGTGGCAATGGGGCGCCTGGCAGGAGCCGCCCGTAAAATGAAGAAAGTTAATCACGGGGATAATTGAAACCAGCGGCCACGGCTGGAAGGCGAGCGGCTTTTTTTCTGAGCCGAGGGGAGGAAGGAAGGGGGTGGGAAGCCGGGGCTGGGGTTTGGGGTTTTGTGTTTGTGTTTTTTAAGCCACGGAACAAATCCATATGGTTGCGCAGGCAATTCCCAGGAACTCTTCGCCTGGGTTCAATCATGAAACGTTTCAATCCTTACACTTCAAGTGTAAAATTGAGGTTCTTTGGGAGGAAATTGTTTGTTTGGCGGCGCTTTCCTCGGGCTGTGCAGGCAGCCTGGCCTTGGTAGGGGGGAGGATTTGCCCCCCCCAAGGTGTGCGTGGCTGTGATCTACCCCCAGAGCAGTGCCTGCAGGGGCTGAAGAAGTTTCCTACCCTGTCCTAGAAATCAGGACCGTGCTGGGTCCCCGTGCATGGTGTGGGTCCGGGGCAACCACCACGGGCTCAGCATCACCCAGGAGGGCTCCTGAGCCCTGAGCCTGGCCGGGAGGGCAGGGAGGGGGTGCTGGGGACCCAAAGCTGCTTCCCACGGGCTGATTCGGAAAACCCTGGTGGTGCTGGGCTTGGCTAGGGCCGGCTGGGATCTCCGTGTGCTGCTCTGCAACTGTTCTACACCTCTGGTTCCCGACCCCGGAGCCGTGTGCGCGCTGCCTTGGGTGTTTTCCAGGGCCGCGCCGGAGCATCTCTGCAGAAAGCCCTGATTATTCCAGGCTGAAAAGCAGGTCTGGAGCAATTAGAGCTGGAACAAACCCCTTCCAGCTACAAAGGGGAACGAAGGAGAATGTGCGTGGGCTGGAGTTGAGCTTTAAGACAGATTTTTTTTTTTTTTTTTTTTCCCCGGCCCCTGCGCGTGGAGGGTGGCAGGGCTGGGGAAGGGGCTGCTGCTGGCCGCTCCTCGCCACCTTCCCACGGCTCTCCTGGCACCAGCCCTGGTTGGAAAAGCAGCAAACTCCACTCCTGAGAGCTTCATCTGGCAGCTTCGTGCAGCACGAAGCCAGTGACCCTCAGCTGGGAGCAAGGGCTGAGCTCCGCTCACTCTGCTCGGGGAAGTCTCGGTTTGCCTCTAATGAAAATTTCATCCCTTTTTGTTTTTTCTTCTCCTGACTAAAACAAAGAGGAGTTTGCAATCTGTGGCAGCTGGAGATAAAAAAAAAAAAAGGGATAAAATATTTATTCTAAAATGAGACAGCAATAAACTAACCTGGGAGCTTGTATTTGAGCAGGATTTAAGTTCGCTTTGTTTTTCGGATGGGGAAAATGAGTCACCAACTCCCGGCCACAGGGAACTGATGAGCTGGAGGGAACTGCACACCAGGCTTTTTTTTTTTGGACCTTTCAAGGGAATTAAAACCCCTTTAGTCACCTTGCGGCACGGTTCTGGGGCTCAGCCAGGATTTGTCCCCAGGTGGGGCCAAATTTCCCAGGACAGGAGCTCGGAGCAGCCCCGTCCTGGCTGAGCCGAGGCTGCGGTGGGTGCGGAGCCGGTCTCCGATTTGCCTGGGAATGAAAATCCCCCTCATCTGTCCCATGCTGCTTTTGAAACAGGAGAAAGTCAACTCTTCCAGGCCCTTTGGAGGCTTTTTCCTGCTCTCAGTGATTTTCTCTTCAGCTGTGCTTGGAAGGGAACCAATGCAGCCACTTTCTCCCGGTCTCTGTAAATCATCCCCCCCCCACCCCTCCTTTCCCCTTTCATGCTAAAATAAAGGAAATAATTAAAAGACCAGGAAAACGAGCTGCTGGCAAGTTTCCTACGAAGCTGCTCGGCGCTGCGAGGAGCTTGGAGCCTCGCACGGGCACGGGGCAGCCTCTGCTCGCCGGAGGGCTCGGCCCCATCCTGCGCTCGCTGCTCCCGTCCTGCACGGTGCTGGCAGCTCGCTGTCTGCTCAGAAGAAAAACAACAAAAAAAAAAGCTCTGCCTAATGCCCAGGTGGCTCCTTTGCAGCTTCACAGCGAGCCAGCCCTTGCAAACGGTCACAGGAGCGTGCGCTGCCAGTGCAGGAACCCCCCCAGCAGCGATTTCCATTTCAGAGCCGTGCTTTGAGGGAAACCAGAGCATTTTTCATCCCCTCCTCCGTTTATCCTCAGGCTCAGCCTGCCCGCGGGGTTACTACGGGGTTTTTTGTTTTGTGTCCTTGCTGTCACGTTCCTGGGCTAGACTCGGGATTTCTCAGCATATTTTGGACAATCTCATGCCCCTTACACCCTGGGTCTTCCTGAGATGGTTCAATAGTAGCTGTGCACGCACAGGGGTGGCGGCTGCTGCCTTATTTCGGCTGCTGTATTCACTCTCACATTGCCTCCCTTGCTAACTCCCCCCAAAACGCATCCATCTGGGGCTGTTTAACCTCTCCCTGCTTGCTCCTGCGAGGCCACATCCATTAAAACCCAGCCCCATCAGCACCTCCCTGGGCTTTGCCCCCAGCTGCAGTGCAGCAGAAGCACCTGGGGGAAATTTAGGGCTGAGGAAGGGCAGGACCCCCCTCTTCCCCCTCTCTGTATCGTGGTGTGGCAGGGAGGTTTTTCCCAGTGCTAAAGGGCCAGTTGGGATGTGCTGGGTGCCTCGGTGGCCTGGAGGTGGCTTCTGTCCCTGCTCATGGTGGCAACATGTCCCTCCCTGCCAGGTGGGTGAGAAATAGCTGCAGTATTTTAGGGGTGGCTTTGACCCCAGGAGCTCTGCCCCCACTTAGATGTCCCTTGGTACCCTGTCCCAGGACACTTGTGCTCCGTTCCCTGCATCCCCTACCCCATACAGGGCTGTAGGGATACCCAAAGATGCCTTTATCCCACCTCTGCCCCCCCTGCAAGGAACCAGGGCGTGTAGCTTCTGCCCTGCTCCCCTTGCCTTTGAGGCTGGGTTTATCCCCCCCCGGGCACAGCCCAGCTTTCTGCTGGAGCTTCTGGGTGCTGCGACAGCACCGAGAACCCCTTGGAGGCACGGACCCCGCATATTTCCCTGAGCCCAGTTGATAGAGATGTGCTGATGGGCCAGAATTGCTGCCTGCTTCCCATTAGGTGGGAATGCGGCTGGCGCACGTGGCGGGCAGATTTTGCCTCGCAGGGGATGAGGAGGGGAGGTGAGGCTGCCTTACAGCAGGGGCTGGGGGCTGTCTGCAGCTTGGGGTGGCCTGGAGGGGATCCGAGCACCCCAAATCCCCCCATCCCCGCAGCTGCTGCACCCACAAAGCCAGGTGAGAGCAGCAGGGGGAACCTACAAAAAGCTTCGCTGGGTTCTTTTGGGGAGGGAGGGGGATCCTGGGGAAGGCGTAAAGGTGAGGTTAGGGTTTGGCTGGGTGCTGTGAGCTCTTCCACTCGCAGAGCCCTGCTGCTCCTCTGGCAGCTCCGCTCTGTTCCCATCCTATAAAGGAAGGTCGCAGCTCACACGTGGGATGGAAGCATCTCGCCACGTTGGGGGCTCGTTGTGCTTTTTGGTGATTTTTTTTTCCCCCTTTTTCTCTGTGACTGGTTTGGAAACAGAAAGGTGTGACCTGGTGCTTATCCGAGACCCTGTGCTGGGGGTAGCAAGGGGCTCAGCAAAGCTGTGGCACCCTGCAGGAGCTAACGGTGGCTGGAGAGGGTGTTTGAGCCTGTCCTTGTCCCCATGTCCCAGTGCTGGTGGCCGTCTGTCCTCCCTCACCTCCCTGCCCGGAGCCGCCAGCCCGCGGAGCCCCTCCAGAGCTCGCCGCAGCAGATGCGAGATTAAGCCTGGGGTCGACCTCTCCCTCCCCAGGCACCCATAAACGAGGGGAAGGAAGTTTTCCAGGGCCTTTTCCCCAGCCCTGCTCCCCAGCCGATGCAAACATCAGGCTCCTTTTCAGGTCTTATTGCTCTTTTTTTTTTTTTCATTCCCTCCTGCACTAACCGTAAATCAGGTTGCTCTCCCCCAGGACCATCTAACGCAGCTGATCCCACACATGAAGACCACCTTGCAGAGCTCCTCCTTTCCCTCTCCCCTCGCTCCAGCTTCACCAAGGGATGCAGGAGGGCTGGGGGGGGATGTGTGGGTGTCCCCCCCCCCCCGGTCCCTCCTGTGCTTCCAGCTCTTCCCAGGTGCTGCAGGCAGAAACCTCCCAGCTCCCACATTCAGCTCCGCTCCTCTGCCCCGCTCCAGCCTTTTTCCCAGGGGAGGACGGGGATTAAGAGGAAGCAGATTAAACCTAATGGATTGATTGCAATTATTTTCCCCTGTTTATTTGCAGTACCATGTGGGAGCCTGAGAAGAAGAAGAAAAAAAAAAAAAGGGAACGCTCTTTATGCGCGTGTAGCCCTGCTCCTCGTTACATTTCCTGCTAGAGAGCTACCCAGGCCAGGCAAAAAAAAATGAAACCAGCTACATTTGAGCGTCCTATTTCGAGCCCTTATAAACTGCGATGTGTAAATACTTGTGTGTGCAAACCCACACGCAATCCTGCGTGAAGCTCTTGGAGCAGCAGCCCCAGCCTCTCCCCACGTGCCCGTCTTTGGGAAGGCGCCAGCTGCTGCCGCCGGCGGCTCTTTGTTGCAGGAGCCAACCTTTTATTTATTTATTTATTTATTTAACCTGTCATGGGCTGGCACAGTGCTGGAGCTCCTCCAAAGCCTGGCCCTCCCACCCCTGTGTTTTGGGGAAAAACAAAACAAAAAATTTTGGCTGCCTACGAGCCGGGTGAGTATCGAGCATCAGAAACGTGCCCCGCGTCCCTTTGCCTCCCCAGCAGGGGAGCCCTCCTGCCCCTTCCCGAACTCATGGCAAAAATTGGCCCCTATGCAAATAAATCTGCCTGCTTTGGGGGTTTTGTGTAGGATTTCAGGAGCCTGAGCCCGCATCTTGGGTGCCAGTGGCAGCGTTGCCAACAGCTCAAGGTGCGGGATCAGGCTCCTGGTGCCTAAGGCAGTGCAAGAAGCCAGGGGAAATGCCACCCTTGAAGGCCTTTGAGGTTCTTTCCTATCATAGAAGCACAAATCTTGCTTCTTGGGGGGGTGGGGAGAAAAAACCAAGAGGCACGGCGACGCTGTGATGCTCTTTATTGGCATCCGACCGATACACAAGGATAGCTACCCACCGAGCCGGCCCCGCGCCCCGCCAGCCCCCGTGCAGGATCCCTCCCACCTCATGCTGCTCGCACCCCTCCCGGCACCCCCACAAACTCCTTCTACAACGGCAAATCCTTCACCACAAACCTCTAATAAATCGGCGTTGGTATCACAGGGGGAGTGGGGGAACAAGTGGAGAAAACACACGGTCTTTGTACAACAGAAACATTAGAAAAGGACACAAAACGTACCGACGAGCATTAACTTTGGCTTGTTTTCCCTCCTTTTTTTTTTTTTTTTTTAAGTTATTATTATTATTAGTTTTCCTGCAACCAGGGATTTGAGGCGTCCCGCGGCTTCTCTTTGGATGCTGAGTTTGTCTCCGTTTCCTCAGCCGCAAGGCTCGGTCGAAGGGCGAGGAAAGGACCCCTTGCTATGGCAATAGAAACCTGAGACCATGGCGATATTGTCCTGAAGAAAAGCGATTTGCATCTGGCACGGTGCATCCCGGGTGGCTCAGCCAGGCTCACCCGGGCAGGTTTTTGAGGAGGAGTTGGCAGAACCCAGCACGGGCGCTCGCTTCGAGTCGCTTCACCAAAAGAAGGGACCGAGGGAAACCACATCACGGTAACCAACACTTGAGTTCATCCCAAAGCATCCCTGGGGATGGCTCGGTCTGGAAGGAGCTGGCACCCCCAGCTGGGGGCTTGCAAGCCAGAGTCAAATTTGGGGTGTTTTCCTTGGATTTCAGTGCTCTTGGTGCACAGCTGCTTCGCGCCAGGGCAGGAGGTGCTCGACATCCCAGCCTGATCCAAACGCAGCCCGGGCATTTTTATCTTCCAAAACCCAGGGAGCAAAGTTTCCAAAAGCTTTTATGGGATCGGGTGTTGAGTTTCCACCAATGTTGGCTCCAGGCCCCCTCGCGGGATCCCAGAATGGGTGAATTGGGCAGGGACCTCTGGGCCCATCTCTCCAAGCCCTGCTCCAGCAGGACCACCCGGAGCAGGGCACCCAGGACCGTGTCCAGGCGGCTTTTGGAGCTCTCCAAGGATGGAGCCCAGTTCCAGTGCTCCGTCACCCCCACAGTCCAGCATTACCTCCTGATCTTCAGGCAGAAACAGGCTGCAGGGCACCGAGCTCTCCACCAGGACCAGCCAAACCCCTCGGTGTCCCCAAGCTCCTCGCGGACCCGCTGCGGTGGTTTTTGGAGCGAGCACGCGCGCGTTTCCCCACTTCTCCATCAAGTCTTTAAGGCCAGAGGCGAGGTGGGAACGAGGAAGGGGCTGCAAGAAGAGGAAAGCTCAGCCTGCAGGTGGGAAGCCAGGAGCGAGCAGCCCGGGGTGGCCGAGCAGAGGGGTTGGGGCGGGCACCATCACCCCATCACACGTAGAAACATCGAGCATTAGTAAAACAAGGCGGAATTATTTACAAGTCTTGCTTAGCTCCTTGAAGAGGGAAGGAAAATCTCCTCCTGCGCTCGGTGAGGTTTCTGGCTGAAGCAGGAGGCTAAAGGGGAAGGCTGGAGGCTCAGCCGTACCCGGCTCCTGCGTGGCGTGAGCTCACCTTGCAGTCCTTGCTCTGCAAAAAAAACCTCCAGGCGAGGGAGGTGGCAAAGCTGCCCCGTTTTGGGGGACATCCTCCAGGGCTGTGCTGGCCGGCGGCAGCTCAAAAGGAGCCCTGGGTGCTCACCTGGCAGCTGCTCCTTCTGCAGCCTCACTGAGTGCCAGGAGGGGGGGGTTGATGTGTGAGCTAGAAGGGTTGGGACCCCAGTGCCACCAGTCCGGGGCAGGTACAGGCCCAGTATGGGGTCTTGAGGAGGAGCTGTCCCCCCCCCGATTGCCAGCCCTGTGCAAGGGGACAGTGCAATCGCACCAGGGTGGCTTTGCTCCTGGGGTGTGCAGCGCGGGGATGCCAGGATTCGTGCCGAGGGGAGGATGAGCAAAGCCCTTTTGTCGTGTTCCCGCTGCAGGCAGGCACTTTTGTCAGCCCTTTAGACTTTTGGGGTCCCCCCCTGTGGAGCTCCAGCACCCCTGGCACTGGTGCAAGGGTGGTGGCACCCGGACACCTGCTCCCCTTTTGGGGCTGTCCCCAGCATTTGGTGGCTGCTCCCCACCCAGGCCAAAAGCTGCCGGCCCCAGGGAGCGCACCCCAAATTTCACAGTGTAGGTTGGGCTGCTGGAAGCCAAGTCCTTTCCCCCAGCCCACCCCCCAGTTGCACAGCCCAGCTAAGGGACCAGCCCCCTCCCCAAATCCCGCAGCAGCGGCTCCGCTTCGCTGTGCCCATCCCAGCCCTGCCCTTTGCTCGCGGTTTGGGGGAAGAGGAGGAATTTCAGGGCGGTGGAGGGGAGAGGAAGAGAACAGCAGCATGGGGCGAGGAGAAAGGGCAGGAGGGAGAGACCCAGAGCCCCGAGGAGGACAGGGAAGGGGCTGGAAGAAGAGAGAAGAGGAGAGACCTGAGAGTGGTGCTCGTCCCTGCGCTCGCCCAGCTGCCCTCAAGGATGCTCCGGCAGCAGGCGAGGAGTGGGACAGAGCCCGGCTGGGTCAGGGGCTGCCGGGGGGGGTCGGCGGTGGGAGGGGGCGATACTGAAACCAGGAGCTCAGTGCATAGAGGGCCGTAAAACTGGGGGGCCCGGGGAGCCCTCGCTTCCTTCCCACCCTCCTCTCCAGGGGTCTCGGTGCCAGGGAGGGGAGAGGCGAGGGGGTGGCCGGACACGGGGCCCCCGGCAGTGCCTCTCCCCCCCGGGCCGCCCTTCAGACGGGCGAGGTGGCGGTGGACTCGCTGTACAAGCTCTCGGCGATGTCCCCGCGCTGGATCTTTCGCAGGGCCACCAGGAGGGCGTCGAGGGTGGCCGTCTCCTTGGAGGACCAGTCGGCCAGGAGGGCGCGGGCGGGCGATTCCTCCCGCGTGAAGGAGTCAATGAGGTCCTCTTTGTAGCCCAGCTCCCCGGCCAGCTGCCTCCACGTCTCCTCGGCCGAGCTGCTCAGCAGCTTCTCCACCTCCTCCTGCTTGCCCGGCGGCAGGTTGGCGTACAGGCTCCCGTCTCCCTTGGGGGCTGCGAAGGGTGAAAGGGGGGTTAAGGCGCTGGGACGCGGTGCCCCCCACCCACCCCATGGCCCCCGGCTCGCCCTACCTGGCCCCTGCGTGCCCTGGCTGTTTGGCTGCTGGTCGTGCAGGCTCTGGCTGTCCACCGAGATGCCGCTGTCGCTGTGCAGCTTCTCCCCCTCCGGGGAGGGCGTCTGGTTCACCGGGCGGTTGTTGGCCCCTTGCTTGTTCTGCTTGCAGCTGTTCCACCTGCATGGAGAGGAGCAGGGAGGTGGTAGTGGGGGGCACTGTCCCATCCCATCCCATCCCATCCCATCCCCACCCCTGGGGCAGCATCCCCTACGTGGCACCCCAGGCTTTGGGAGCAGCTTCGTTGCCTTGTCCCCTGCTCGGAACCGTTTTCCCAAGCAGCTTTTCCCCCGTAACCTCTGGCTCAACCCCTCCGCCAGCTGGATCAGGTTAAATCAGCACCGGGTGCCTCTGCTTTTGCAGCTGCCCAGCTCCTGAGCATCACAAGGGTGCGGGACGGGGCTCCCTCCTGCACAGCCCCGCTGCAGAAAGGCAGCTGCCGGGCGGCGTGCACGCGTGTGCGCACATGGAGCTGCGTGCGGGTCCCCACGTGCAGCTCCGTGCCCACGTGAAGGCACAGCTGGGGCTTCTGCTGGGTGCACGCACCCACTTCACCGCCTTCTCGTGGGTGGTGCACGTGGGGCTCGGTGCCCTCTGGGGCTGGAACGGGGCCACTGGGGGGGCCGGGGACACGGCAGGGACCGGGGCGCACGTGGGGCGCACGAGCTGCAGGCTCGCATCTGGGCAGCACGTGTGGGGCCGGGCGGCTGCGTGAGCCTGGGCTGAGGTCCTGGTGGGGAGAAGATGCTGCGGGGACCCCTCGGGGTGCCTCCAGCCCGGGGGGGTGCATGGGGAGCAGCCGAGCCAGCCCTGACCTGCACAGGGCCAGGTGCACACCCAGGGATGAGCTGCTGAGTGTGATCGGCCACGACGGCTGCCTGCGGCGTGCCAGAGCGAGCGGGGGGGTGTTTGTGTTGGGGGTGGCAGGGGAGCACGGCTTGCACCCCCAGCCTGCTGCGATCGCCCTTTTTCATCTCCTCAGCTGCCTTATTTCTCGTGCATTTTTTGGCAATCCATCTCCTGCCCACCCACCCTGCTCCCCTCCCTCATTTCGTGGCGCTGTCGGTGACTGCTCCAAACGCAGGACCTCCAAGGGGGGTGGGCACGAGCTGCTCCCCCCTATCCAACTCCTTCCTCTTCCACCCCCCTAAAGGGCTCTGCCCTGCTTCTCTACCTTTTGAAGGCGATGTAAGCCACCAGCCCCACCACCACGGCCGCCAGGATGGAGCAGTAGACGGGGATGAGGTTGTCGGCGGTGCCGCGGCTCACGACGGGCTGCGAGCTGCCCATGACGGTGGTGCCGGTGTCTGCCAGGGTGCTGGCCATGGCCTCGGTGTTGAAGGGGTCCCTGGTGACGGGTTCGGGGCTCTCGGAGCCCGCCAGGGATGGGGTGTGTGTTGTCCAGCGAGGGTGGAGGTCTGCCAGGAGGGGAAAAAACAAAGGGAAGGGTCAGCCACGTACCCGGCGGTGACTTGTAGCAGCTCTGGCACAGCCCCTTGTCCCCAAGCTTGTCCTTGCCCCCAGTCCCTCTGGACCCCGAGACAAGCCAAAGCTGTCTCCTCTTCCGAAAGGCTGATGGTGCCTGGTCTTGGCTGGGCTGCTTGGACATGACTTTGAAGGTTTCCCTGTCCCAGCACGGCTTTGCTCGAGCCATTCAGCAAGGGACAAACCACGGATCTGTGCGTCCCCGTTGCCTGTGGGCATCCAGCCTCGCACAAGCAGGGTTTGTTTATCCCCACTGAGGTTTTATCCAGCCCTGGCACTGGGATGGAAGAGGAGCTCTGCCCCCAGACATGCAAGGCTGCTGGCTGAGCCCCGGGCTCCTGTCGCTGATCCCAGAGAGCTGCTATGGGGCTCGGTCCCCAGGCTGCAGCCCCAGATGCCTCCCACCTACAGCACATCTGCACCGAGACCTGCCTAAGGCAAAGCAGCTGCCTCTGCAGCTCGCAAGGAGCCGGGTCTGCCTGGCTTCATCTGCTGCCCGCAGCCTGGATTCACCCCCCCAGGGGGGAGCAGAAAGGGGGAATCCTCGGCTTGTCCCCTTCCCCTGGCCCCTGCCTGCTGGGTGCGCCCCGCCAGCCCAGCCCCGATCTGGGAGTGACCCCGTTCCCACCCATACATCCACACCCAGCAGATGGATGTGCCTCGTCTTGCACTGGGAAGAGCTCTCACCTGCGTGCCCAACCCCCCCGCAGAGCCTGCCTCCCCCCAGACCTGCCCCTGCCCTTCTCCAGGGCTTTTCCCCGTGCCCGTGGGCAGCCTCCGGGTGAGCTCTGCAGGGCCGTGTCCCCGCTGTGCCACACTGGGGCTGTGCCACGTCCCCGGCCACCCGGTGCCCCAGGCACTTTGCAAGCTCGAGGCTGGAGCAAGCCCCAACCAACCCCTCCTGGGCACAGCCCAATTCCTGCTCCCTGCTGCACCAGCCCCTGCACAACTGCAGACAAACAACCAGCCCCGGTGCGATCCCCAGCCTGGTGGTTCCACCTCTGCTCGTGCACCCCGAGCTCTCCAGCACCACGACAGCACGGGGGACGCCTCCCCCTGCCTGCTGGCTGTCCCCAGGGGGGGAAGGAAGGGGTCTCCCGGTGCTGGCAGCCCCCCGTGCCGACCCTCCCAGCCGTGGCCCCCATCCGGATCCCGCTGCCCTTTGGGAGCAACGTTTCGGTGGCCACCACGGCCGTATCCGGCGGGGCCCCGCTGGCAGCTAACAAAGCTCACCCTGTGCTCCTTGACTTATGGCTCCATTTACTCGACCCTTCCAAGGGATCAGCCAAAGGGAGCTGCGCTGGCTGCCGCCTCGTGCTGTGAATCAGCGGCGTGCGGGACAAAGCCCCTTTCTAAGCCACTGGGCTCAGGGCAGGAACCGTGCTGCTGTTGCCAAAAGCAGCCGGGGCAGCCCCGGTGCCAGCCTAAACCCCCCCAAAAACAGCCCCACTGGGATACGGGGACTGTGCATGGCATGGGGCAGCACGGCCAGGCTGCTCTGCCGAATGATGCTGCACACCAAACCCTCCCGGGCTGTGGGGCTGGCTGCTCCCCAGCTCTTTCTGAGGGCAGCAGCAGTTAAATCCCATTGAAAACCCATCGGCTGCCAGATTTCCTTTTGACGAAGGCTCTGGTGGCAGCAAAAGCAACATCCGAGGCTGCCGGACCTCTTGGCTGAGCATTTGCAAGGGGGCTGAAGGCTCGCAGCAAGCGCTGGCTCCTTAGGAAGCTGCGTGCTGCAACGCCCAAGGGGTGGGGATCTCAGCTGGACACGGGGTCCTCTCCTCTCCTCTACCCCAGAGGCCCTGCACCCACCTCCCCATTGCTGCTGTGCAACGGGAAACCGAGGCACGGAGCACTGCAGATGGCTGTGCTTGCACCACGAGAGCCAGCGAGCCCTGCTCCCCCCTCAAAAGGCAGCGGTACCTCTGCATTCGGCGTCGGAGGTGGCCGTGCACTCCTTCACCATCACCTCGTTCTCCTCGCAGATGGTGCAGGGCAGGCAGGGGTCCACGAAGTTGGCCTCATCGGAGAAGGTGCCCTCGGGGCACTCCTCGCACACCGTGTCCTGCGAGTCCCTGCAGGGGAACATGAGGCCGAAGCCCACCTCGCAGACCCGGCACTCCTTGCAGCTCCCGCTCAGCTCGTCCTGGTAGTAGCCGTAGGCGCAGCGGCACACGGCGTCGTCCGACTCCACGCAGGGCGCCGACATGCTCTGCAGCCCCACGCACTGCGTGCACGGCTTGCACGGCTCCGTGGCGCTCACCGTGTCCGAGTAGGTCACGCCTGGGAAGGAGGGGGCAAAAAGGGGGTGAGCAGAGGGCCACCGGGGTGTCCCCGTCCCCGCTGGCCGCTCTGCGCCCCGGTGGTGGCTTTGCTGCAGCCCCCAGCTCCCAGCCCCGTCCTGCTGGGGGAGCTGGGTTTGTGCAGGGGTTGCAGGCTGGGACTGGCGCTTTTCATCGTTTTCCTCCTCCTCTGAGGCATGGGGAGAGTTTGCCCCACTGCAGCCCCCCCAAAACCGCCGGTCCCCTTCCAGGCCCTGGCGACTCCATGGCCTCCCCCTGCCTGTTCCCTTCCCGTTAACGGCAAATCCCTTTTTGCAGCAATTCCCCGTGCTGAGGGGGGAGTGCAGCCCCTAACTCGGGTCCTTGGAGCTCCCGCAGCCTGCAGAGATCTCGCTGCTGTCCCCATCACACCCGTCCCAGCCATGCCCACGTCCTTGCTGCCCATGTCCCAGAGCGAGCGTCCCTGTGCGCAGCCAGGGCACCGTCCCCATTTCCAACCTGCGGACGGTCCCCATGGCCCACGCTGGCACCGACAGACATCGCATCCCCAAAGCTTTCTCCTCTGCATCCTGCCCGGGAGGTCCCTGGGGACATCTCTGCCCTGTGTCCCCCCCCTTTTGGCCTCGTGCTCCCCACCGGGGAGGCCAGGGGATGCGGGAGGTGATGCAAACAGGAGGTTACAACACTAATTGCTGACTCTCCTCTGACCCCGGGGCTCCTTGCTCTCCAGTTTCACCCCGCAGGGCTGACTCTGCCGTGTAAATCAATACCCTCCCGAAGCCCGACGAGCCCCCCCCCGCGTCCCCTCCTTCCCCTGCATGGTCCCCAAGGTGTTTGAGGTTATTTTTAGCCCAGCGAGCCAGGATCAGTGCCCGTCCTGGAGGGCACAGTTGCTCTCTCTCCATCACGCTCTTTGCAGTGGTGTCCCCGTAGCCTACGCGGCTGAAACGCAGGGAAAAGTCCAATCCCCCATCCCCTCCGTGGAGAAGGTGTTGGGGAATGATGTGCAACCCCTCAGGAAGGCAAACCAGCCACCTCTCCATCCTTAATCAGGAGCTGGGGATTTCCTCTGGAAGCTCCGAGGGCTGCGCGCCCGCCCTGCACCGGCCAAACCTTCCCCGTGGCCTCCCGGCACCTCTGGTGGCCTCCAGCTTCTTGTGGTGGCCCACGAGAGATGGAGCCTGCAGGAGGAGCTGCTCTGGTGCCTCTTTTATAACATTTTCAGGACAGAGGGGAAGGAAGAGCCCTGAGGTGATGGTGATGGGCAGGGGCAGCTCCCCCGCTGCACCCCAAGGACAGGGGCACCGAGCCAGCACCGGGATGTCCCCGGGGCTCCCCAAACCCATTCCTTCTCCTTTAGGGACGGGGTCCTCTGCACCAGCCACCTCACAATTGTGCCACACATCACCGTGACATGCCCAAACCGTGCCAAAAGCAGCGGATTCAGCTAATGGCAGGGGGGCTTGGGGTGGGCGAGCAGCCCCTGCCCGGCCGAGCGGAGGCAGAGCCGCGCTGGGTCGGCTGCTGGCGTGCGCGGCTCCCATTAACCTGGCCTCGTCCCTCGCATTATTCTGAATTATTGATAGGCACCATTAGAGCGGGGAAGTGGCCAGGAAAGGCATACGGCTGAGTGGGCACATTTTCAGTGGCAGCAAGGTATCGGAGCTGAGCAATTACAGCTGAGATTCAGCCGGGGCCCCCCTCCCTCCCGCAGCGATGGAGGCTGGTGAAGGGGGATAAATAAATCATGAGGCAGCCTCTTGGGGGGGGGGCAAGGGAGGGAGAGAAGAAAAATTATAATAAAAAAGCAAGTGGCCGTTTGGGCTGCTGCAGGAACCGCTGCCTTCAGGCTTTGACGGGGGTGCTGCTTTGATAGGAGCAAAAAGTCTTTGGGAAACGATTTGGCTGGTGGGTCGGGAAGCTGTCCAAGGCGAAGCCTCGGAGGCAGCCTGGGGTGGAGGTGAGGAATTTCGTGCCCCCGTTCCCCGTGCGAGGCAGCCGGGGGAATTCTGCAGGGAAGGGGCTGCCCATGCAGTGACCCTTGGAGCTGCTGGGAGCCCAGGCTGGGGGAGAAGGGTGGAAGCAGCCCCCAAAGGATCCCATCCCCATCCCAGCACAGGCTGGTGATGGGTTTGCAGGTCTCCTCTCCACCCCCTAGAAATCCCCCCCTAGGCTCAGAGGGCAATTGGGGATCTTTCATCACCTGCACCCCCAGCACCCATCCATCAGCCCCACCCAGCAGCTCCCAGCTGATGAATTTTGGGGCTCAGCCCCTGCTGCATCGACAACAAACGCCTGCAGCTGGGGCAGGGCTGGGAGTATAAAGCAGGACGGCTGGCAGGGAGGTTATCTCCCATTTTCTTTGTGGTTTTGGGGTTTGTTTGCTCTTCCCAGTTGATGCAATGAGGGGCCAGGCTGTCCCCTTGCTGCCTGGGGGGTGGTGGAGACCTGATCCTGCCCTGGGATTTACACCGGGTGCTTGGGTGAGTGGGGAGAGCGCTGGGGTGTGGGTGCTCCCAGCTGGGGTGTGTGAGGGCTGTGGGGGACACTGAGGCACGGAGGGGTGCCTTTTTATCTCCATGCTTTCCAGCTCAGCTCCCTGACCCTCCAGAGCTGGTGCCAGAGGTTAATCCTGCTGGGGTGCAAATTGGAGCAGCAGCACTCGTGTACAGCCCCCAACACCCGTGCCCTGACCCACACACCCAGGCCGTGGGCTCTCCGTAACCTCTGCACCCACCGTCCTCCGGGGAGGGTGGAAACTCCCTTCCACCCCCAGTTCCCAGAAAGAAGGTGGGAAGGAAGCCATCCCCAAGCCTGGAAACGGAGGGGCTTTTTGTGAGGCGTTCCCAATCGGGAGCATCTCTGGAACACGAAGCAGCCCTGGCCGTGCCCTCTGGGTTTGCAGCCCTGCATCCCAGGAGCTGGGCTGGAGCCAGAGGCACCGAGCCCGCCCCGAGGTTGCAGCCGGGGGGTTGCAGCCTCCCCGGCTGCTCAGAGGCCGAGCGCCCTTCATCGATTTTGCAGGAAGGCAGAGGTATTTTTAGCCCTGCCCTGATGCTGCTCTGTGCTGGTTATGGGGTTTCTCCTCTTATAGGGCTTCTCTGCCTCTTTCGCTCCCCCCATGGCCGTGCTCTGCCCCTTCCCCCCCTCAAACCACATCCCTGGAGCGCTCTGGGCTTGGCTGGCACAAATTCCCCTACAAAGACTTGTCCCCAGCTCTTCAAAGGCTTTGCAGCAGTAAATTTGAAGGGCAGGTTGCTTATGCCTACCATGGCGTTGTTTAAACACTAAGAGTTGGGCCACTTTGTAAGCATTTCCCCAGCTCGCCAGCACAAAGCTGACCGACGTTTACGAAGTGTTTGACATAGGCAACGTGCCTGGGGCTGGCCAGCAGAAAACTGTCCCCCCCCCCGCTGTATCAGGAGCCCGTGTGATTTGCTTCTCCCTCCCCCAGTTTTATTTTGCAGCCTTTACAAGGTAAAATTAGCGATGGTACAGGTGGCTCGCTGGGTGACCGCGGTGTGGGTGAGTTTTGGAGGGCAGTGCTGGGGGGGAGCTGGGGGACAGAGCCCTGGAAGGGGACCTGCAAACAGCAGGTCCTGGAACAGGGTGGTTGTTGGATCTGGGGTTGGGATTTGCTGGGCAGATGGCTGAAGGATTGGGGGAAATCATGGAAGAAATCCTGCCATTTGGGTGCGTTTGTGCAGGAGTTGGGCACCGGGAGGCTGCAGCGAGCAGCACGAAGTGCATCCACACAACTCGCCCAAGGGGATGCGCACGGGGAGGACCCCAGTGCCTGCTGGTGGTCCCCAAAGCCCCCCCTGTGCCCAACACCCTTGGTGGGGGGGGAGCAGGTACTCACTGTCCAGGCAGGGCTCGCAGACGGTCTGGTTGACCCCGCAGGGCTGCACCACCCCCTCGCCCAGGTTGCAGGCTTTGCAGCACTCCCCGCTCGTCGTGTACATCTTGGTGAAGCACTTGTCCTTGGAGCCCCAGGCGGGTCCCTGGGGGAGAAAACAGAGCTGGGAGGTGACTCTTGGCACCGGGATTCCCCCTGCAAGGGTGGGCAGAGAAACGCGTGGCATCCAGGCAGGGTTGTGCCATGGGCCCTGCCAGCCCCCACGGGGGTTTTGGAGAGCTGGGGTCCCCGCTCCGCGCCATGCTCTCGCTGAACATCACGATTGGAAATCAGCCCCCACGATGGAAATGAAGACTTTAAAAGGAGCCCAGAGAGCTTCAGCCGCCTAATGGGAGTGAGTGGATTTGCTTATAAAACCTGTCATCACACATGGAAGCAATAAAAGTGCCATGAGCGGTGCGGTTTGGAGCACATGCACTTTGCAGCAGGGAGCAGCGCTGGCCGGGCTGTGGGTTGGCCTCGCCATCCCTCTGCCATCAGCCTGAGCCTGGTTTGGGGGGAAAAAAACTCAACGGGAGCCTGGAGGAGCTCCCCCCCCTCCCTGCGTCCCCAAGCATCTGGATGCCTTGCCAGCCACTTGGCCGCCTCTCTTCTTCGCACAATGCGGCGTTATGAACTCACGGGTGCATCATCCGGCATCATCCGGCCCGGCCTGAGACAATGGAGCGCCAATTATAGGCAGCTGAATGACAAAGTGCTCCAATTACCCTGCGCTGCAAAGCATGCGCTCTCCTGGCTGGCGCTGCTTCGCCAGCCTGACCTGGCACCGGGCCCCGGCTGCACGGGCGAGAGAGGGTTTGGCATGGGGGGCACTTCCAGCACCCCCAAATACTGGCTGGAGGGGTGAGAAAGGGGCTGGATTTGCAGCAGGGACAGAGCCAGGCAGCAGGGATGTGCCCCGCTGCTTGCAGGGACCCAGGCGGGGCGCAAGGCTGGAGCTCGCCCTGCTGCTCCCTCTGCAGCGATCCCCCCCACGCTCGGGCAGGTTTCTGCTCCCCGCAGCGGCGGCTGGGAAGGAGGGAAGCATCCCAACGTGCCTGGCTATAAATAGTGCTGGGAAGGCTGGGGCCAGCAGCTGGGGCCAGCAGCAGCCAGCTCTCCCACGCCGCCCGCGCCCGAGGCAGCTGCGAGCAGCCCCGCGGGGCCAGGACCCGGCTGCGTCGTTTCCTCCGTGCGAAGACCCCCGAGCCCCGACAGCTTCCCCCTGCTCTCCTCAGGCTGCTGAGGGACACCCTGTGCTTCCCCCTCCTGCTGCCAGGTCCTACCCTCGGCGCTTCTAAATGGTGTGGAAAATGCAACTTCCAGTCCCAGGTGCGGCACCCCCCCCACCTTCCCCGCCTGCATTTCCCTTTCAGCTCCATCTCGAGCACTGAAACGTTCGTAAAGATTAACACGCTTATGAGGGGGGCACATGGTCTGCATTAGCCCGCTGAAATGTGCATGTTATTAACACAACTCCTGTTGACAAAGCCACAGGTATTAACACTATAAAGCATCTTGACAGCCGGGCCGAGGAGGGGGGACGCGCAGAGGGTGCGAGCAACACCTTTGTGAGCTTTTAATTGCTTTCTGGGTTGTTCCTGTGCTTTTCTCTCCCCAAGCAGACGCTGCTGGTTGAGGAGATGGCCTTGGAGGAAGAGCTACGTGGAGCGAGTTGTGCGAGGCACCATTATTATCTCCCCAGCCCTGGCACAGAAAGCTGCGTTGCGCCGGAGCAGGGAACGGCGGCGACGCTGCAGCTGGAGATGGGCCCAGCGGCAAGCCTGGATCCGAACCGCCTGCGAGCCTGACAGACGGGCTCTGCATTTTTTGGCTATGCACCCTGTCTCGAAAAAGCCAAACCCCTGGCTCCGAGCACTCCCCAAACTTTGGGCAGCACGGAGAGCCACGTCGGAGCTCGCCGGGTCCGGCCAGCCCTCGGCACGGCAGGACGGGCAGGGCTCTGCCTCCTCCCCTACTGAGCTCCCGTCCCAGCAGCACAGGTAATGAGGCATGAAATTGGGGTTCTTGGGGTTTGGGGCGACCCTGGGGCTGTGGCCACAGCTGTGGGAGCACCTCTAGACCTGTCCCAGTGAGGGACTGGAGGGGCAGTGGGGTTCCCCCTCCCCAGCTCTGCTGTGGGGCTGGGTGGGCTCAGCAGGTGCAGTCCTCGGGGACGCATCCAGCCCTGACCTGGGGAGGTGGCTGCAAGGTTTGGGGGACCCCCAAGCCCTGCCTGGCTGCAGGAGGCTGCCTCAGGAGGGAGGAATTCCCCAGGGTTGAAATCATTTGAACCAGTTTGGCTGGGCTTGGGTCTTGTTTTCTCTGCCACGGGTCCTGGGGAGCTCAGCCAGCCCGGCCCCCACCCCACGGGTGTCCGAGGGAAGGGGACCCCTCTGGCACAGAGCCCCCAGCCCCGCTCTCCTCCTCGGTCTCTGAATGAAACCGCTGAAGCACGGGGCTTAACATCTGCCCAAAAGGTGTCCTGCTGCCTGCCGAGCCCTCCAGGACCCCCCCTCCCATCAAATCCTCCCGCAGCAAAAGCCCCGTTTCTGCCCCAGGTAGCTCCGTCTGTCCTGTGCACCCAGTCTGTGTGTCCTGCTCCGGGCATCCCCCTCTTCCCTGTCCCCCCCAGGCTCTGAAGTTTTGTCTGTGGCACGGGCTGAGGCTGTGCCTGTCCGGGGGGGCTCACGCTGCGGGGAGGGAAGCTTTGCCCTTCCTACAGGGCATTGAGTTTGGAGCTGGGCAGGTTTGGGGGAAGGTTTGGGGCCATGGGGTTCAGGAGACGAAGGCACAGGGGTGGGGCTGCTCCTCCCCACACCACCACCACCCTTTTTCCCGGGAGAAAAGGGATGGCAGAGCCCAGCTCGGCGCTAGCAGGACGCGAGGGGCTGCACAAGCCATCCCGGCGGGGTCCCCATCCCCACCCACCTCCCCGCTCCCCTCCCTCTGCGCCCAGCCGCGCTCTGCTTGCCCACCCGGAGGACCCTCCAACCCGGCTGCCCGGTGCCTCCGGGACCCTCCAGCCCTCTACATTTGCCCTCCCCGCCTTCCACTTGCCCGGTACCCCCGGGACTCTCCAAATAAGAGGCTGGAGAGCCCCGGGGGCGCAGCGCCGGGGTACCCCGGCTCCTCTCCATCCCCCCTCCGCCTTGCGCCTGCGGGACCCGGGGGCCCCCCGCGCTCCTTCCTCGGTTCCTCCAGGGCTCCGGGTCCCCCGGGCACCTGCCAGCAGCCCCTCCCCGCCTCCCGGCCCGGCACTCACCGCCGGCAGCAGGAGCAGCAGCAGCGGCAGGAGCCCGGCCATGGTGCGCGGGGGTCGCCTCGCATCCCCCGAGCAGCGGGTGCGCGGCCGGGCTGCCCTCCCTCTGCCGCCCGCCGCCTCGGCAGCACCAGAAAAGGGCTGCAAGTCCCTCCTCCTCCTCCTCCTCCTCTCCGCCCCCGGAGCATCACGGCGAGCAGCAGAGCCAGCACCCTCCTCTGTCGGCACACAAAGCCCGGACCCCCCCCCCCTCACCTCCTCGCCCCCGCAAGAACCCGCCGCCCTCCCACAAAGCGCTTTTGGGGTGCGCTCCCCCCAGCCCCTCCGGTGTTTGTGTCCGTCTGTGCACCCTCCTCTGCTGTCTGTCCGTCCATTCATCCCTCCATCCATCCATCTCTCTCCATCCCCTTGAACGCCTCCATCCATCTCTCTCCATCCCCGCACGCCCCTCTCCAGCTCTCCACCAGTCCCTGTCCTCACCACGGGCTCATTAATGGGTTTTGTTAATTATGCTGCGGGCTCGGAGAGAGGCTCCGGGCAGGTCAGCGGCTGTGGACGGAGGGCTGAGGCTGGGGTGGGCTCACCTGGCTGCAGGGACAAGGCACAGCATCCTGCAGGTACCGGTGACACCCCCAGGACCACGACCCCTGCCAGGTCTGTGCCAACCCCTCCGGGTGACAAAGGGAAGTTCCCAGCAGCGAGGAGGAGACGTTGCCATGCCCGGAGCGGCAGCCACCTGCTCCTCTTTGTAAAGCCACCTGCTTCCCTTTGTAAATCCACCCTCAGGTGTCAAACCCATAATGACATCCTTAATTTCCTAAAAATCTCCCCGCGTGATGCTCCCTCCGCTTATTCAGCTTATTCCAGGACAGCCCCGTCCTGATCCTGCCCAGCCCCGGTCCCGTGGTGGTGAGTTGTTAAGCTGCGTGTAAGGGAGAGGGAGTTGGAAATGTCACGGCCTTTCCCCAGCTCGGTTTGGCCCCCGCCTTGGTGTGTCAGCACCAGAAACGCTCTTTGTGGGGCTTCTTGGAAAAAAAGCAGTGGGTTTTGTGTGGCTTTGGTGAGGAGCTTTGTTGGAAACTGCCCAGAAACGCTGGCGCCAGGGGCGGCTCCTGGGGCTGGGACAAAAGAGGGGCTCCTTCACCCTACGACTCTGTCACCCTGCCCTAAATGCCTTTACCTAGCACGGGATGGAGCAGGGGGTGTCCTTTATGGGGCCGGGGCTGCTGTGGGGCTGCATTGGGATGGGAACTTCGTCACGCTGATGGGTTCAGGCTGGAATTCCTCTTGAGCTACCGACCTGCCGAGGTGTGTGGGGTCAGCAGCTCCCGGCTCACCCCGCTCCAACGGGAAGGGCTCGGAGGAAAGTCCCTCTTTAAATAGGATTAAACCAAAGCCGCTGTTTGTTCTCCGGCACGGAGCTGTGGGAACACACGTGTGAGCCACATGGCTATGGGTTTGCCGGCCAGAAAGCCATGCTGGGGACAGGTGGGGCCAGGGCAGCGCTCGCCAAAGTCAGGGTGTGGGGTATGGGAGTGCTGCCCACCCAGCCGTGAGCTCAGCATCCCTCTCTCTATCCCGTGGTTTCAATGCTTGGAAACGGGGCAAAGCTGCCTGCAGACATCTGGTGAGGCTGGGGGGAGCAGCCCGGGTCTCTTGCAGTTTGCTTTGCCTTTGTTGCTTTGCTGCAGCGAGCCGGGCTGCTTCCTTGGGCCGTTTTACACATCCCTCCATCCCGGAGCGATTTGGGGTCTGCCCCCCCTCCACAATGGGATGCACTCGCTGGGCTCTGGGGGCTCTGTTTGAGGGCGCAGCGTGTGCGCGAGGAGCTCCCCGACCCCAGCTCCGAGCGAGGGTGTTGCGGGAGGGTCTGACACCGTGGCACGAGTCACCCCGGAGAAAAAAAAAAACAAAAAAACACCATCAGGGCGACACAAACCAGAGCCAGGCGGACAGAGACGGCCGCTCAGCTGGGCCGCATCTGCACGAGGCTGGGCTGGCAGCCAGCGAAGGTAAGTGAAAACTTCTGCTCCCATCCCAGCCCCGCGCGGCTCCTTTGGTGACGGGGCTCGCCAGCGCTTTTTTTATTAAATCCCACCCCCCCCGCTTCTTTTTTCTTTTTTTTTCTGTCCCAGAAAGGTTGTGGCCCTTCCCTGGCTCCACGCAATGACAAAAAGCCTCTTAAAAGTCTGCTGTCGCCTCTCTGAATTAAAACCAAAGGCTCCAGAAGTTTATTCGCTCCGGGATCGTCCTTTTGGCTGCCGGTGGGGGTTGCAGGACAGCCTCCAGTGATGTCCTCCAAGTTTTACCGAGAGCCACATCCACCCACGATCAGCTCCGTGTACCAGCTCCTGGGACAGCTCGTGGCTGTTGGGAGATCCAAAATTGGGTCTTGGTGATGCTCCTGGTCCTTCTTGGCCACGGTGGGTCGATGCCACATGGACCGGCACAGCGCTGGCCCCCAGCAGGGCTGGGTTTTGCCTTCCAGCACGGTGGTGAAGGGCTCATCTGCAAGCTGCCTGGAAGGAGAAAAAGGGTTTTTGGGGTTTGTGCTGGCTCCTGGCCTCCTTTCAGGCTGGGGGAGTCACAACCGGGGGATTTGGTGCCGGAGGAGCAGCGGGGGGCTCCTGGCTCCAGGCAGCTGGTTGGGCTTGCCCTGGGTGGTAAATGGGGATGAGCAAAAAAAGCGGGGCTGGGGCTGAAACCAAGGAGCAGGGGGGTGAGGTGGGAGAGGAGAGGAGAGGAGGACGGGGCTCGGAGCAGCCCAGGAAACCGCGGCTGCTTCGCATGTGCTTGGAGGGGCTGGGGGCCAAAACGCCTCCGCAGGGCTGGTTTGGGACCGAGCCCACGGCGGCCCCAAGCGAAGCATCCCATCGGCAAAAACATCACCCCTGGGAGACACAGCTGCGCCTGCCGTGCCTCCCTCCCCCGGGACGGGAAGGTTTAATTAGCAAGAGCCCAATTACAGCTCGGGGAAGTTTTGCATCAAGTCCCTCTCAAGGCCAGAGCACCCGTCTCGAGCTCTCATTATCTCTCCTCAGGCTCGTCGAGGTCTTCTCCCACGCGCTTCGAAGTCCAGAGGTCTCCAAGCAAACACGAGCAAGGTTTTCCCTCCTCTCCAGCCGCCCCACCAGGACTTGTGGGGCCCCCAGAAATAGCCCGAGTTAAACACTGGGCGCGAGTCCCTGCCTTCAAACTTTTTATCGATTTTACTAAAAAGCACAGGTAATTACTTTCCCGACAAAGACAGCGACGCGGTAATGGTAAGTTATAAATAACGATGAATAAATAATACACGTTGGGAAAAGAGCAGCGTGCTGCCCCAGCTGTTCGCAGCCAGCGTGGAGAGCAGAAATAAAAAAGGGAAAGGAAAAGGCAAAGAGAAGCCCGGGCAGGGCGCAGGATGGGCTTCGAGGGCCGTGGCTGTGCTGGGGGCAGGGAGGGAATTAGGGCTGGAAATGAGGCTGGGGGCTCGTGCTGCCAGGAGCCACCTCCCCTAAGGACAATCCCTTTGGGGCGGGGAGGAATTCGTGCAAACGGGGAACAAAAAGCACATTCTTTTGCAGTGGAAAAAGAAAGAGGAGAGGATTGTTTTGGGGTTGTTTGAACCACCTCGGTCACTTTTGCTGAGAAATCTGCACCTTGAGCCACTTGGCAAGGGCCAAGCCCACCTCTAGAGAGCTCGAAGCCACGGGTGGAAGCCAAGGGCTCCCTCTGGTTCTCCGGTCGATCAGTGGGATTTGGGCACTTGAAAGCTTTTAAGGCTCGAGGCCAAGGTCAGCTCCCGTGCGCTGCGCTCGTGGCCGTGCTGCTCGCTCCCATCCGCTGCTGGGTGCCTCTGGCAGCGTCACAGCCGCCCATTTGCTGTCCGCAAAGGAGCTGGCAGGGATCTATGGGGTGAGCAGCTCCATCTTCAGCGGCGATTTAAAAACCACCGAGCACCTTCTGCCTTTTTATTTTTTTTATTTTTTTTTTACCATTCAGGGGAAAACTGCTCAGGGGGTGCACGCAGCCTGCAAAACTTGTGGAGTGCTCCAAAACCCCGAGCCTGTGCTCGGCGGGGAGTTGTTCCCATGGGATGGGACTCGGATGGTGGCAGCATCCCAAACCTGGGGCTGCTTTCACCCATTTGGATATTCCCACGCTGGCCTGGGGAAAAAGCAGCCAGGAGGGCTCAGGAAGATGTGGGATGTGTGGCCAGGAGCTGTGGATTGAGGCCACGGAGCTCCCCTGGTGCTGCCTGCAGGTCCCGAGCAGGGATCACGGGCTGATTTTGGCTCCTGGGTGTCCTCCACAGTGGCTTGGAAATGGGGGTGAGGAGAGGGGGTGGGGGGCTGCAGCCTCTCAGGCTGGTGTCCAGCATGGGGCAAAGGCTCCAAGCACCCCAACTGCAGGTCTGCAGGGCAGGAGGGATGTGACGTTCCCCAAACTCCCCCAAACCTGATTTCCATTACTATCAAAGTGTCCCAGTCTGGTTTCGATTACGCTCCTCGATTTCCGTGCCTGTAATTTCTCCTAATGCCTCTCTCCAACCGTCACCCCCCCCCACCACCGTCACCCCCCCCTTGTCTTTTTCACTTGTTAATCTCCAGCCCCAAGGCTTCCCATCCTCCTTCCCTTCCCTTTTTCCTTCCTCTCGCTGTCTTTCCAGCGTGATCCATCACCCGAGCGCGGCAGGGGGGGACTCGCGGTGCTGGCGGGGACGAATCTCTGGTGCCTTATAAGGGCCGAGCGAAGGAATCTCCTGCGAGCGGAGCCCACGATGTCCAGGAAACTCGATCCCTCCTCGGGATGGAGCGATGGCAAAATCACGAGATGGTAAAAATAGACCGGGCTTTGCCTCCCCGAGCAAGCGAGGCGATTTTGTACAATTTACAATAACGCTCTGCTCAGGGCCAGGCAGGGGGGAGAAACTCTCTCTCCTCGTGGCACGCATAAGGAAGGACATAAATATGTCGGCGGCGGCCACGTTATCAATATTGTTCTGCTTAAGGTATGGATTGGTTCCACATGCCAGGGGCAGGGCTGGCTTTCTTCTCACCAGCCTGGCTTTTGGGAACCGATTGATTTGGGTTTTGCTGCTGCTGGATCAGGAACTGCTGTTAGGAGGAGATGAGCGAGCGTCAAACCCTCCACAGCGGTGATAAGGATGGAGCAAGGCAGGGCTGGGGTTTCTTCCCCTTGACCCTTAGATGGGCTCGGCGTTTTCTTTTTTTCTTCCTTTTCAAAAATAAAAATCTTTTTGGAAGTGGATATTTATTTTAGCAGTGCTCAGCCTGCTGCGGGCTGCTTTTTGGGCTGCTTTTCAAGCTGCTTTCCAGCACGCACAGTGCCCAGACAAGATCCAGGGGCATTTTGCCTCCCTCCTCTCCCATCATCACATCCCCTAACTCCATGCCCACCTGGTGTGTTAGAAATATCTCCAGCTAACTCTGCCGTGCCTCAGTTTCCCCAGGTGTGAAGCAGGGAGCGGATCCCTGCCCCTCACAGACACCGGGGAAGCTGAGCAGCTCCTTGCCAAGTGCTCAGAGATGCCGTTGCTCTATTTATTCATAAAATAAAGGTGCCAGCCCCACAGATCAGGGGATTTTCTGCCCTGCCCGTCACAGGGCTGCTTTCTGTGTCCATCCCAGTGCACGCTGCTACGGGGATGGAGACATCACGCAGCATCCTGGAGCTGGCCGGTCCCCTACAGAGCATCCGCGGTGCTTTTCTTGGCCCAAACTTCAGAAAACCCAGCGAGCAGCTGGGAGCTGCCCAGCAGAAAGCGCTGGCAGCGTTTTGCCTCCCCTCCTGCCGTCCCCTGGCTGCCAGGAAGAGGCCCAGACGCCTCCCAGGGGCTGCCGTTCCCCTTTTTTTTCCTCCCTTTGCTGCCAGACTCAGGAACTCAGCCCGCTGTGGCCACCTGCACGCTCGCCCTGACCGCGTCCCGGACCTCTCCCGACAGCAAGATTCATCGCCGCGCTCACCCCGCTGCCCATCACTCATCCTGCCAGCCCGGGTCGCTGGCCCCAAAGGCTCGGGGTCATTAAATCAGCCTCAGTTCCCATTTCTCCCCCCTCAGTGGGTTTCTGGCACGGCCCCGTGACATCCGCGGTGAGCAAGGGGTGGCAGGTTTGGGGCAGGGGATGGGGAAAGGGGGTCCGAGCCCCAGCCTGGAGCAGGGGGGGGTTCATCCTGTCCCGGTTTGGGGTGAGGAGGTGATGCAGCCTGGCTGTGAGCTGGAGGGGATGGGCTGCACCTCAGGAATGCCACCTCCCAGGGACAAAAGGAGCTTTTCCTCTGGGATTTCCTCCAAGGCAGCTCTGGGATCCGAGCCCCCTTCGTGCAGGGCTGTAGCTCGGTCTTTTCGCCCAGAACTGGGGTCAGCACCAGGCTAGGAGAGCAGGATGGGGGGGGTTGGAGCATCCCAAGCACCAGGTGCCAAATCTTTCCCCCTTCCAGCCACCGAAGCAGCTGGAAGCACGAGCAGCGTCCTGCGCCCTGCCACGCTTTCTCCACGCCTCGAAGCAGGGGAATAAACCCCATCAGCTCACCAATTCCTCACGAACTCATCCTCGTGCCCATCCCAGCAGCCAAATCCCTGTGTGTGATGGGCATTGCCCTGCTGTCACGGCTGCAGGATGAAGCCGAGCACGGGGAGCTCAAATATAATCATTTCTGCTCCTTTTACGTGCCCCAGGCTCGCCGGCCGCAGGACTGGGAGGGGAGCGTGGGATGCCCTCAGCATCAGGGGTCTCCTGTGTCCTGTGGTTTTGATTAAAATGCAAAATATTTTGGAGCCCTAAACGGAAAACAAAGTGAGCCATCGAGCTGGGTTTGTTTAGTCGGGACAGTGATGCTATCGGTGATGTCAGCGAACCGGGGGGTCTCGAGTAGCCCCCGGCGGCCCCGTTCCTCCCATCGCCGTGTGGTTCCCCCAGCCCTGTCCCACTGATGGATGAGCCCTTCCCATTGCCTTTAGCAAGGGCGAAAGGTGCCTCCTCCTGAGATTTGGGGTGATTTGGGGGCTTTTCGGGGCCAGGCTGGGGGATACAAGGTGTGTGTGTGGGGGGGCAGCTCTGGCTGCTGGGTCTCTCCGTCCCCAAACCTGCTTCTTGTTACTGCCCCCCGAGGTCAGCCCGGTGCCCCCGCCTTTAATCAGCGCGCTGGGGCTGTCTGCTTGCATTTCCCTCCTTGTCACCACCCCCCCTGTTTGCTTTCATCAAGGGGTACAGCTTTTTGGGAGCTGTCTGGCTGCATTTCCCTTCGCTCCCCCCTCCGTACCCTCCCCGTTCACCCCAAGACTCCCCAGCAGCCGACGTTTTCCTCCCCCAGCCACCGGGTGCCCACCGGTGGCTCCCTTGGCACGGGGGGGGGATTTGGGGTTCACGCCCCAGTTGGGCTCCTCACAGAGCTACAGCAGGGGCTAAAACAAAGGGGGGGAGGCTGAGATTTCCGACGAAGCCCAGGCTGATGCTCGCAGATATGGTCCCTATGGCAACTGCTTTCAACGCCCCGGCCGCAGCATCCTCGCCTTTTCGGCTCCTTTTGTGCGCATCCGTGCGCAGAAGTGGGGCAGGAAACCTCCCGGAGAGGGCAAAGGGGGGGCTGGAGGGGGCTGCAAGGGGAGGAGAGAAATGGAGGGGGGGTTCCTAGAGAGTTATGGGGGAGCCAGACTTGGGACCCCCCCCCAGTGACCCCTGCTGCACCCAAATTTTGCTCCAGGAGCGCTGGATGGGGACATCACCAAACGCTTCCCCTTCCAGCTCCGGGGTGGGGGAACAGCTCGCTTGGGGGTTTCAGCCTTTGTGTCACCTGATAGGGACCCCTCCCCTTGTTTCTTTTCCCAAATCTTCCAGTCTGGAGGATGCTGAGGCCCTGCACAGCCCGCGCTGATGCCCAGAAATTGCTGTGGGCACCGAGCCCGGCTGGGCTGAGTTAGGGACTTGGAAGGTAGGGGCAGAAAGGGGATGATGCTGGGAGGGGAAAGGCACCGCACCTGCTATAAAAGCAGAACTTCCCCTAACGAAGAGCAAGTTTTCTCGGTGTTATCAGGCTGTTATTCCTGCCTTAGATTTCTAGAAAGCTTGCAGGCTTCTTTTTTTATTTTTATTTTTTTTTTTTGTGCGAGCGTTGCAGGTGGCGGCAGCGCTTCCCAGGGCTCGGCTGGCTGCATTAAGCAGCAGCGATGTGGTCGGGAGAGAAATGCATTTCCATCCATCTCCCTGCAGGAGGTGGGGGGGGGGGGGGAGCTGATTAACGCCTGGCAGCGAAGTGCTCCTCGAGGTGGAGAGCGCGGGGGCGTGATGGGGAGAGGGAAAGGGGGCTGCGCCGCTCCTTCCAGCCTCATCCATAGTCCTGCAGGGAATAAATCCATAAATCCTCGGGGAAAATCATGCTGTGAGCCGAGGGAGAGAGGCAGGGAGATGGGTGGGGGTGAAGGATGTGGGTAAATCCATCTGCCCCCCCCATGGGAGGTGTCCCCAAGCTGTGGGGCTGGCACAATTTGTCCCCAGGGAGACGCCAACCCGGAGCGGGAGCCCTCGTAGCCCATCTCTATGGGGTCTGGCAGAAACAAGCCTATAAATACATAGGGCATGGGCTGAGCCACAGCGGGGTGGGGTGGTGTACTGGTGTGGGACTGGGGAGACTGGGAACGCAGCTCCTGGTCCCCGAGGGCTGAGCCTGGCGCAGCTCCAGAGCCGGTGCCCCAGCTCCCCGCGTCTCCAGAGCCTCTTCCCAGCAACTGTGATTGAATCAGAAGGGAGCTAATTTCCCAGCCTGCTGAGACGATGAGGTAAACTAATTGCTGCCTTCATTCCTTATGCAAATGAGCCAGCCAAGGGCCCCTGCAACAAAGCCCAAAGCATCTGCAGGGAGCGGGTGGGAGCCGCGGGGGCTTCGTGCTGAACCCCCCCGACCCTATAGCATCCATAGGGGCCCATCGGCGTGGTGCTGCCAGCTCTGGCCCCTCCGGCACGCTGACCTCCTCGGAGCCAGCTCAGCTCCTGTCCCTTTAGCTCAGTGGGCTCCATTGTGGCTTTTTTATTCTTATTTTTTTTGGAAAATAAGGATATTTTCTTTCCCAGTGGGTTCCGGCCAGCTCGGTGGCTGTTGGCTGGGTGGCCCCAAATGGGAGGAGGGAAAGGGAGGGAAACGGGGTGGTGCAAACGTCCTGCGCCCTGTGAAATCAGGTGAGGGCTTTACAAAGGTCAGATAAATGAAGATGAATTGGATAAAAGTGATGTGATTGGGGTGAGCAGCGCTGGCTGCGGGGAGAGGCAGGCGGCTCGGACCTGCTGGAATTCTCCGAGTAAACAACGCCGAGGAGGAAATTGGGAAATGCAATCTTCTTCTGGCTTCTAGAAAGACTTTAATGAGCTCCACGGCATGAGAGGGAAACGCAGCTGCCCAGGTTTGCAGCCGTGACCTGGGTGAGCAGGAGAGGGAGATCCGGGGGGGGGGGGATTAATCTCCACGGCACCCCCCCAGCTGCAGGTGCCGATGCCTCAGCGAGGTCCCTCGGCCCCGCAGGCTGCTGTGGGATGCTTCAACACCCATAGAAATGATGTTTTGGTGTGTCCCGAGAGCTGCCTTGGCCTGATCCTCACCGCTGCAGAGGAACTGGGGGGGGGGGTGATGCGTGGCTGAGCCTGCAGACTCCCCGGGGAGGCTCGAGACATGCTGAAAGCAAACAAACCATTACCGCGGCCGCTGTCGCCAAAAGCTCGCCCCCGTGCTCGCTCCACCACGAGCAAAGAGTACGACGAACCCCCCCCCCGTGCCCGTGGCTGCAGGGTGCGAGTGGGAGCCAGGGGCTGCTCCTGGAGTTTTGGGGGGATCCGGGCTGAATTTTGGCTGGAATCGGCCAAACGAGGCATGGGGAAGGCAGGAGGGTGAGGGAATGGTCCTGGAGGTCGGGGATGGAGCAGGGGGGGGCCTCGGGGCTGGGTGTTTGGGTGGGGTGTAGGTCAGAGCGTGGCTCTGCACGATGCTTTGTGCTGATCTGGTGCTTCGAGGAGGGTGAAAGCAGCTCAGGGCGGCTTTTCTTCTCCCATCTCCTGCCCCATCCTCAGCCTCCGCTGCAGGAAGGGGCAGGGGATCCCTTTGGCCCTGTCCGGGCTGGCTCTGGGGGTGGCAGAGCCCCCAAACCACCTCCTCTCCATCCCAGCAGGGCCAGGGGGACCGCGATCCCCCCTTATTTTGCCCTCTGGGTTCCTCTGAAGCCCTGGGCAGCTCCAGCTGGGGAAGGGACCGAGCTGGCACCCCCGGCTGGAAGGCGAGCTGTGGCTGCTGGCAGTGACGGATGGGCTGGGGGCCGAGGGCCGCTTCTGAAAATCTCCTTGTTTTAAAAGCATTACCGCTCCCCGGCTAATAAAGCGAGGGATTTGCTGAAGCCGCTTGAGGTCCCATTTTCTCTGGAACCCATTTCCATGGCATGAATCACCGAGAGGAATGAACTCAATTAGTTCAGACAGAGGCAGGAGATAAATCAGGGTCCCATTAGGAAACCCTGAGGTTAATTTATGGCCTCAAGCAGCGCTGGCTGTCTCCCTCCTCTCTCTCCCATATGTAACCTGCTCCGAAGCAAGCCAAGAAGCAGGGTGGGATCGCCGTTATCTTCCCCTGCGATGGGAGATGCACCAGAGCTATTCAACCAGCTCAGCCCTCGCCTTGACCAGATGACCCAGATCTGCCGGAGCAGCTTTTTTTTTCTTCAGGGAGCGTTCATTCATTCGTTTGTTCATTCATTCATCGCGCCTTTCCCATGAAGGGGTGCTCGTAAGAAAGCCGTAGCCTCCCAAGAAATCTGGGTTCCCCTTCCCATCAAAGCCACGGACAGGAGAGAAGTCCCAGGGACGCATCCTGCTCCCCTCACTTGCTCTCTCAGGGTGCTGGTTGGGGTGTTCAGGTCCCAGTTAGCAGCAGAGGGGGGCTGCTCGGGGAGAGCTTTGGTCTCTGCCCCATGCTGTGAGCCTTGGAGCTGGAGCTGGGCACTCAGCGAGCACTGGGAAGCTGTGATTTTTCCGCTCCAGCACCAGACCGAGATGCTTCCATGAATAATGCAGCTGCCCTGGTCTCCTTCCAGTCAACGGAGAGGGACAGGAATCTTCTGAGGACAATTCCCATCTCAGATGGGCTGAATCATCGCCCAGGGTGGAAGAGGCATCTCCATCCATCCCCGTCCCTTGCTGAGGGATCTCCACGCAGCCAGCAGCCTGGAGTGGGCACCGACGCTGCTGTTCCTGGGGGATGGCTGCTCCTTGCACGCTTCTCCCCCCTGGGAAGGGCAGCGGGCTTCCTCAGAGGAGCCCATGCAGGTGGGCACGGTGCCTGCTTGCTCTGCGTAATGAGCAAAATTACAAAATAGCTGGTGCATTTAAACCATTAGCATGCAGGAAAGCTGATTAGGGAGCATCCTGCTCCTTTCTTTGCGTGCGCTCCAGCACGGCTGCATGTTGCAGCCCCGAAGCTGAGCCTGGGCTCATCCGAGGGATGGCTTCTGCCTCTCTGGAGCAAAGGAAATGCTCTTCTTGCTGTGGCTGCCAAGAAAGATCCCAAGATTTTCCCCCCTTGCAGCCAGGACCCCAAGGCTGAGCAGCTCCTGCTGCTCAGGGGCTAACGGGGAGCTCCCCTGGAAATCAGCTTTTTTTCACCCATTTATTTCTGAGAGGTGCGGGATCGCTTGAAAAATAGGAAACGTCGTCCTCTGCCCAACTGCTTAAATTTGGAGATTTCAGTTTGTTTTGGCTGGAGGTCTTTGCTGAGGATGGGAACATGATCCACTGTCACGTCCTTTCTCATCAGCTTGAGCACTTGGCTTGATTATGCTGCATAAACAACTTACCCCAAACTCAGCAGCTACTCCCTGTTCCAGATTTCTGAAATAGCCCTCGCTTCCTCTTCTGTCTGATGCTGTAATTTAACAGGGCAGCTTTTGGAAAGCTTTTAATGATCCTTTGTGCAGGCTCCCCCATGTCAAAGGCTGCCTTGTGGTTTACCATCCTGCATCCTCTGCTCGCAGCAGGTTTTCTTGGGACGTCCAGGCTTGGGGTGGTGGAGTAGTTCTGGGGGTGAGCAGCATCTTCCATGCCTGCCCCATCTCTGGTGTGGTTGGAGAGAGGTTGGACACGGGGCTGGGGCAGGAGCTGCCCTTTGGCACCTGCATCCCGGTCCCTGTCCTGCATCCCAATCCCCATCCAGCATTCCAGTCCCCATCCAGCATCCCAATCCCTATCCAGCATCCCGCTCTGTGCCCTGCTGGAGACAGCAGCCCCAGGGAGATGTGAACCAGACGATGGCAGCCTGTGCTGGCCAGGTCAGCTCGGAGGCTGCATTAATTGTGGGAAGCAGCGCCGAGGCCGGAGGGCGCAGACGGAGGAGCTGGAGGCAGCGATTGATCCGTCTGCTGCGCTGCCCTGGAGCCCCGCATCGTGCTCGGGCACCCAGGCGGGCTCTGAGGGTGCTGGCTGGCTCTGCTCGAGGCTGGAGGTGCTGTGCCCACAGGGGGTGGCTGATAGCACCCTGACGGCACCCAGCATTTTGGGAGGGGAGGCTGGAGTGAGGTGCTGGAGATGAACTACGTGGCTCAGCACCGAGCTCTGCTAACGCCCTCCCAGAGCCTCCCATGGAAATTGTGTTTTCAGCACCTCCCAAAGGATATGAAAATCAAACCAAGCCACCCTGCCTGCTGTTATTTTTCCCCCTCTTGCTTTATTTTTATTTTTTAAAAAGGAATCTGGGCGCTATTTCCATCTCTACAAAGCTTTGGCACAAGCCCTTGGGCCCAAACCTTCTCCAGCCTGCTCCATCCCCTGGTGTCACGCAGGGAGCGATCCTCACCCCTTCCACATTCACAAGGGTGGCTCCGAGGGCAGCAAAGCTGCCATAAAATGGAAAACCTTGGGAAAAAGCTCGCGTTAACGCATCCCTGAAGTAACCGGAGCTGGCCCCACCACACAGGCACTAGGAAGGGCCTCTCTGCCACGGCGGATTAACCCGCGCTCCCCGGGTAGTGTTGCAGAGCGGGGTGGGTTTGGGGCAATCTGCTCCCAGCGGAGTTTCCCAAAGATGTTAAGGCCTGGCAGGGATTTGGGGAAAAGCAGCAGCTTTGCTCCCTGTTCTGGAAAGAGCATCTCTGCCCTGGCAGCTGCCTGTGGCAGGGAGTTGTTTCCCTGGGATGAGCTGTAGGAAGGTTGTGGGGTCCCTTATGGGGCCAGGCAATGGGGACAGCTTGCACAAAGCCCCCTGTGACCCCAACCTTGGCCATGCCCTGTATGGGGAGCCCCGGTTCATCCCGATCATCCCCTCTGCCTTCATTCATCTCACCGAGCTCTGGGGCAGGGGCAGCGTGCAGGAGGTGACCCCACTGCGCAAGGGATGCCACTACCGAACCACTACAACCAGGACCCCAAATATCCCCTCCCTGCAGCCCCAATCCCTGCCCAGCCCTCTGGCAAGCGGCGTTTGGAACAGCTACAATCTCAATATTTATTAACCCTCGTAAAACCTCCACTCAAAGCCCCCAGGGAGCAACGCTGCTGCAGCGCAGACTTCTGAGCCCCTACCCGGGGCTGTAGCCCCCCACCGGGGAGGTTTGCATGGGGGACGTCGGGAACAGGGGGGGGGACAGCTTCTATTAGGGCAAAAAAAAATAAAAAATCCCTCCAGTCTTTTTCAGCTTTTATTATTTACTTAGCAGCTCGTGTTTAAAGCTCTTTACTGTCTGCGTAAAGGCGCCGGGGCAGGCGGCCGCGAGCATCGCGCTGCTTTTATGGCACGTCTGCTCCCACAAACCAGAGGGGATTTCAGCGGGGAGCGCTCAGCCTCAGCCTCTCCTTGCCTAAAATCCCACGCGAGGAGGTGCGGCCGTCCCAAAGCTGCTCGGGGCCAGGGCCGAGGCTCGGCTCAGTGCCGCTGTCCAGGCGCTGGGGACCCACCTTTGCTCCCGGCAGGGTGCCAACTGAATTTTCGTCTGCACACCTGAATTTTGGCAGCCGAACCCCCACAGCCGTGCCTTCCCCCGGCTCCAGCAGGGAAGGCAGCGCTCGCTCGGTGAGGCTGTAAAAAACTCCCATTAAATCCTGCTGCCGCTCTAAAAATTAAAGCCCGCGAGCGCGGAGAGAAGAGGGGCACCTTCGAGTTTTGGAGAGCACTTTGGTCCCCAGAAAACCCACCCGGAGCATCCCCGCGGTGCCTGACCCTCCTGGCAGGATGCTGCCCCTGGGGCTTTGGCCGTTCAGTGCCACCCCTTTATTTTTTATGGACCCCTGTGGAGAGGGGCTCAGCCTCCTTCCCACCAGACCTGGAGAAACACTCGAAAAGAAGGCTCGGTTTTGGGACAGGGGGAGAGCAGAGGTCCCAGCGATCGGTCTGTTTAACCGGCAGAGGCCACGAGGTTTAATTGAATTAAATGATTTAAGGATTTCCCCTCGGCCGCAGGGGCGGTGCCTGGTGCTGGACGCCTGTGACCGCATCCTGCTTTTTGGCGCAAGGTGCTCGGGGAGGGGGGTTCTGCTCCTCCCTGTCCTGCCACCCATCCCGAGCACCTTCCTGGAGAATTCACCCTTCAGCCGAGCGGTGAAAAGATGCTTTCCCCTCTCCTGCTTCTTTTGCAAACGGAGCCCAGGCTGTCCGGATTTCTGCGGGGCGCAGGCTCTGCTCCCTGCCCGCCGAGGCTCCTCTCAGCCCCGGGACCACATGCGAAGGGCTTCGCGCCCCCCAGCCCCTCTCATTTGCTCTGCCATTAGCCCGGCAGATTGCTCAATTAGCAACAATTGGAAAACCGAGCTCTGGCCCTAACGCAGAGCCCCGGGCTGGGCTAATCGCTGCGTAATAAACCCCAGCCGCGGCTGGCTCCCCTGCGCCCCTGCTCTCCTTCTTGGCTGAGGATTTTTTTTAATATATATATTTTTTTTTTGTCTGTGGGTGTGTGAGCTGCTTCTGGAGCCAACCTGGGGAGCTGCACCCCAAAATGCCTCTGCTGGGGGCTGCACATCAGCTGAGCACCCGCCTCCCCCAGCCGGGGGTCCTGGTGCTGGAGCATTCAAGCAGCGCATCCCGAGCGTGTCCCTAATGTCGCAGCCTCCCCTCGTCGTGGTCCTGAGCTCTGATTCCAGCGGGGACGTGGTCTCCAGCCCCTGTCTCTGGAGGAGCTGACGGACCTGAGCTCTTTTGAGGCCCCCAGAGGGCTCCGGCTCCCTTTGCTCCATCCCCTGGGACCCATTCAGCCCTGGAAAGTCTGGCTCCAATAAACTTCAAAGCCTCCTCCATGCGCAGCCATTAGCCAAAGTGTTTTTTCATCTCCGTTTCATGCTCGGACTCATTATTGCTGCTCGCTGCTGCTGAGGCTCCCCCAGAGCAGCTGCTGAGGGGCCGTGTGGGGCAGGGCTGGGGGGTGCAGGGGCACCCCCACCTTGCCTGGGGCACGTTTTGCTGCAGAACGGGCAATTCTGATGATTTTCAGCTCTGCCTGGGGCAAAGCAAAGGCTGGGGACAGGGCAGGATGTGTCCTCCCTCTGTGCAGCCAGATCTGGGGGACAGCAAGGAGTTATCCCACAGATGAGCGTGCTGAAGGGTGCCAAGGGGGGGTCGCCTTCTCCGGAGCCCCCCCCAGGGCTGGATCCCCAGGGCTGCGTGGGTCTCGAGGACCTGAATTTTGCCGTGGGGCTGGCAGCGAAGGACGGAGCCGGGGGCTGCCCAGCGGATGTCCCCCCAGCCCCACAGCGCCCGGCCCCGGCAGACAAAGAGCCTTTTAGACGGCTCAGCCGACCGGCTCGCAGGAGGCAGGGATAAAAATGCTCATAATTGGCTTTCTCAGCATCTTTCGCTCGCTGCTCTGTGATCTGGCTGAGTGCAGACGAGTTAAAGCTGGATTCGCGCAGCCCCCGAGCTGCCTCTTCCCCGGTATCCGCGAATTAAACCTAATGCGTGTCAGCGGGGAATTTGGGGGATCAATTGGCAGACAATTAGGGCGCGTTGAGATTTGGGTGTAGGGAGGAAGAGGCAGCAGAAAGGTTTCATCTCGGAGAGGTCCCGGCGGTTCAGCGATGCCAGGGAATGAAGATGCTGGGATTGAGCCACGGGGGGAGTAATACCCGGGGACCGATGGAAATGCATTTGGCAGAGAAAGCCCCGGCCCTTTCAGAAGCTCGAGGAGTTAAAAGGGAGGGCTGCAGGCGACGGTGCTGAGCCAGAGCTCCCGTGGCCCCTCGCAGCCCCACGGCAGCTGCCGAAATTCTCCCCTTGGCTCAGCCGGGCTGAGCTGTGGGGCCGGGGTTGGGGCCGGTCGTGCCGAGAGCCAGGAGCAAAAGCTGGGGGGGAGGCTGAAACTTTCGGGGTTTGCAGCACCGGGGAGTCTCAGCCTCAAAATATCCCCAAAATATCCTCAAAAACACCCCCAAAATGCCTTCTACTGCACGTTGCCGTGTTGGCCACTGGCACGGCGAACCCCAGAAGCTGCCGGGGGTCCCCCAGAAGGGTCACAACCCCCCCCCTCGATGTGGGTCACGCTGCCAGCACAGGGCTGCGCTGCCTTTTGGGGTCCGGGCGGTGACTCAGGGTCCCATCGCTGCTTTTCCCGGGGAGGGGGGCGCTGGGTGAAGGGGCCCTGCGGTTTCTCCCCCCCCCCCCCACCCCAGGCTCCCGCCACCAGCCAGGGCCGGGCTGTGCCCGCAGGACAAAGGGAGCCCCGGGCTGCCTGACCCCGGCCAACATTTTGGGGCCGTCGCTTTTCACGGCAGCCCGAGCTTCCACAAAGCCCCGGATTGTTTCCTCCGGCGCTCCGCGAGCCCCCGAGAGCGTTTCTGCCTTCTGCAAAGGGGGGGAGAAAAGGGGAAGGGAGGTTTTATCTTATTTTATTTTTTATTATTTTTTTTTTTCAGGGAGCTGCTCTGTCCAGCGACAGGGACTGCCCTTGTGCCCGTCACCTCCTGGCTGCCCTTCGTGGCCGGCTCGTCGCTCGCCCCCATCGCCCGGCACGGATCAGTCCCCTGGGGAGGGGGGTGCTGTGCCTGGGACCCTTTCTCCCGGGGGGACACGGGGCCGGGTGGCTGTCCCCAAGGCTGGGATTAACGGGCTCCGTAAGCCACGGATGTGCTGGGCGTAACATTTTGGGGGGGGTTCCAGCGCTGCACCCCCTGCCTTGCCCCTCTCGTGCGGGCACAGAGGGACACCGGGGATGAAGTGCCACTGGCAGGGATGGGGGACAGCGCCAGGGAATGGGGCAGAAGCCACACGCAAACATCGCCGCGGCCCCGGGAGCCGATCGATGCGGCAGCTCGGAATAGCCCAGCAGGGCTGGGGAAGCATCCGTCGGGGTCACGCAGACAAGAGCAAGCACCTGGGACTAATTGCACTAAATAAATGAGCAATTAAGGGTATTACAGGAAGACTAAAACAGCCCAGACCTCTCCCTGACCCCCCTCGCAGTTCCCCTGGAAACAGCCGCCCGGCCGGCGGGGCTGAGCTGCTCTGCCCGGCTCTTTGCAGCGGGATGGGGGCTTCGTGGCCCCCCCACTGGATGGGACCTGCTCCCAGGGCCGTGGGGCATAGCTGGGGGGGCAGCTGCTGGCGGCAAGGTGAGACTGAGGGGCTATGGTCCGAGGGGATGGATGCAGCGGGAGAGGGCAGGATTTGTCCCGGCGCAGGGTGTGCTGAGCCCAACCCATCCTCATCTGGGCTGGGGACGGAGATGGGGCTGGTGGGACGAGGTGGTCCCGGTCCAGAAACACCAGGTTGGAGCGAGAGCATCTCCCCACGTTGCTCCAGGCTGTGGAGGGGTCATTTCACCCCCCTGAGAACACCCCAGTGTCAGGGACCCTCACCAAAGCCCGGTCGCGTCCCGCCCAAATGGAAATTTTCCTCTTTTATTTTTGCTTTAAATGGGCTGGGGACTGCTCCTTCCCTTCCAGCACATTCAGGTAACAGCGCAGAAACCCTGCGCCTCCCTAGCAAAGCGGCTCCCACCAACCTAAAAAAGGGTCCTAGGGCTTCCCCCAGCCTCCACCAAGCCTTTTCCCAGCCTTGCCAGCCCAGGCTGGCTCCTTCCAGCGCTTCCTGCAACGTTTGGGCTCAGATGGAAATGCTTTTAGAGCCCCTCCGCGATAGGGAGCTGGGCTGAGTGCAGCTGGCAATAAATATAACATGAACGGCAGCGGCACAGCCATCGATCGCCCGCGGCGGGTGCTGCCTTTCGGGTGGGTGCAGCCTCGGGGGAGCCCCAGCTGAACGGGGGAAGTGTCAAAAAAGGGAGGGGGGAAAGAGCAGGCAGAGCCCACCGCGGGCTGGGGTCGGGCTGGGGTCTGCGGGACCCCCCCCCAAAGCCAGCGGGGTGAGAAAAGGATGAGGATCCTCGGCAGAGGATGCTCCTGCAGCTCAAAGCATGAGAATCTGCGGGGGGGGCACGGCTGTGCCAGGCTTTGGCGAGAGGAACCCCCTCCCCAGCTGCTCCCCAGCATGTGATAAGGAATTAATGAGCAGTTAATGAGCTGACGAGGAGGAGAGTCCAGCCCTGGTAGATCTCGTGGCTGTTCTGCTGGGGCTCTAAGGTGGGCGGTGTGATGGGGGGGGCCTGGGGGAGCTCATTTTGGGGTTTTGTGAGGCTCTGAGCATCACAAAGGGCTTTGTTTCCTGCGATGCTGCCGATCCTTATCAGCAGGGGATAAAGGAACCGAGGCTGGAGAGGGGCCGAGGCTTCAGGTCCGTGCTGGAGCAGGCTGGGTGCTGGGGGGCTGCCTTCCAGGGTGGGTTTGTCCTGCCCACCCCCGTTCTCCAGAGCCCCCTTTGCCCCCCGGGCAGGCTCAGGCAGCAGCCAAATCGCCGGGAAGGAAATAAAAAGGCATCCAATTAAAAAGCTGGTAGCCGCAACGAGAAAGGGTCAGTGGTTCAATGCTAATGCAAGCAGATTTTGTTATGATTCATTAAGTCATTAACTCCCTTTTAATTGGAGCTCCTTTATGGAGCCGGCGTTTTACCTTTGCAGGGAAAAGGGGAAGTGAGGAGTGGAGAGAACTGCCCTGGGCTGCTGGGGAGCCCAAATCCCTGTGCTGGAGGCTCAGGATCACTCTGAGCCCCCGTGTTTTGGTGTTGGGGACCTCAAGGGACCCTGAAACGTGTGGGGCAGACGTTTGTGCACGTGAGAAACCCCTAAATAAAAGGGGTCTGTGGGTGGGATTGATCCTAGCAGGTGTTTGCCTCTGTTCCTTTCCTCCTTTAACTCTGTTAAGTGGCCGTAAACCGAGTAAAGGGATGAGGAAGGGGTTGGGGAGCAGCTGGAGGATGCGGGGTGCGTAAAGTTTTGGGGTTTGGGGTGCCGAGCTCTTCCCAGCCCCAGCCTCCTCGGGCTGCCGGCTGGCAATTCCCAGCCACCACGGCCTCGCTGGGAGCGAAGCGGGGGATTAATGCGGCTGCTTTCAGCTGCCTGCTCTCTGCCAGCGAGGAGAAAACTTTGTTAAGCGGCGATAAGCATCGGGGAGCAGCAGCCAGGCCAGCAGAGCCAGCCTGGCCCCAGTGCCCGCGGCCCTGCCGGGCTCTGGGAAGCCCAGCGCGGGTGGCTTCACCCCAAAGCAGCCCCCTCTGGGATTAGGGATAATCTCTGTTTTCTCCAAACCCTCCAGGATTTTCCAGCCTCCGACCCTGCCCGTGGGCCAACGCTTCTCAGCGCGGCTGCGCAACCCCTGGGGGGGCTTTGTTTCCCCAGGGTGAGTCAGGTAAAGTTGTCCGAATGAAAGACAGGCTCAATTTTAAAGCAGATTAATTAAACTGCATTAAGGCCCTGTGTGGACAGAGTTCAGAATGAAAACAGCCTTTAACTCGATTTCTCTGACTTGCAAATTGTGGCAGGGAAGTCAGCTGAAATCACATTAAGGCCGTTTCCACTCTGAACCGTGTCCTCACAGGGGTTTAATGTAGTTTAACTAATTTGATTTAAATGCTCATTGAGATTAACTGGGTTATGTGCCCCTGCGTGGGGCTCAGATCTGCTCAGGCGCGGGTCCGGGCAGGCGGGAATGCGGTAGCAGCTTGAGCCCTGTCCTGTTGTGTGCAAACCAAAACCACATTTTAGGGCGGAAAAATCTAATTTCTGCTGCAAGCAATTCTCTCATTTGGAGGCATGAAGCAAAAAAAAAAAAAAAACCCTCATCTGTGGAAACAGAGGTGGTTCAGGGTGTGCATTATTCATTAAAAACAATGCAAGGGGAGGGTTTTTTTTATATATAATATTTTTGTGTACAAATGATCTCTGCTCAATGGTTTCCAACTCAGGCAGGACCCGTGGCAGCCTCTGCCACCTGCCTTCGAAGCCTTGCACCGGGATTGCACATCCCTGGGGGTCACCGGCCGAGAAGCGCTTGAATTCTCCGGCGTTTGCAAACCTCATGCCGCAAATTTTTTTCTGGGAGCGCTCAGGGCAGAGCTGGCCCAGCTTTGGAGGCTGTACAAGAGGAGGCTTTTTGTTCCCCAGCCTCGCCGCGGCGGCCAGGGCTGGCGAGGGCCGCCCGGCCCAGGCCACGTCGCCCGAGGACAATGAGCTGCTTCTTGAAGGCCAGGCTGGCGTTTTAGCCTGCTGAGGGTTTGCCCTGGGGGAGGAATGTCCCCCCCCCCAAAACACAGCAGACGGCTGCAGCAGCGCTGAAGACTCAATGAGGGTCGCAGCTTGCAGCCTCGGGAAAGGCAGACGCTGCCTTTGCTGCGTGTTAGAGGGCTCAGGCTCCGTGCTCCTGCAGGGTGAACCTCTGTGGCCTTGTTCACATCGACCCCTGGGGCACATGGAGGTGTCAAACGCTTCTGGCTGCTTTTCTGGCAGCCAGCAGGAGGGTCCGGGGGGGGCTTAACGCAGCTGTTGTGTGTTGCGATGACTATCAGATCCTGCCTTGCGCTGCTGGTGGCTCAGGGCTGATGATATTGGGTGTTTTTTTTTTTTTTTTTTTTTTTTTTTTTTTTTTTTTTTTACAGGCTGGATTTTTTTTTTTTTTTTTTTTTTTTCTCTCTTCAATGACCGTGGATTTTCCCTCTGAGTTGCCCCGGGCTCGTTGGTGGCTACTGGATGGCAGGCAGTGCAGCCGAGCTGGGGATTGCAGCTTAAAAAGACGTGGGTGACCATGTAGCTTTAACCTTCCTAAATACAGAGCCTCCGTGCCAGCTTCAGCAGTGTGATTCCTTTTCCCCAGCCAGGTCAACAAGGGAATTTGAACCTCACCCCCCCCAAATTTCCTCATTTTGAGGCTGGATTAGAGGGTTCTGCTTTGACTGTGGGAGATGAGCTGTGTCCCCCGTGCCACAAAGCAGCGTGTCAGTTGGTGCCGCTGGTGTCAGCTCTGTCTGAATCACCCTCGGGCAATTTTCTATACAAAGGGCCCATTTTCCTCTGGTTTTGCCCTGGTGGAAAGGGGCTGTGCCGCCAAGCCTTCGCCCCTCTGGGTGTCACTGGCTCCAAGACTGTGGCTGCAGGGAGAGGAGACTTCTGTGCTCCCCAGGAGGCCGGGGTCCACCACATGGGATCTTGTGGATCCCCAAGTGGGTTCTGGATGGCCCCACTGTGATTTTAAGGCTTGGGGAAGACCTTGAGGACTATCATTGCTGGCTGATAAAACAGCATCGCTCCAATGTTGTGATTTGCGGTGTGGCGGTCTGAGCTCAGCGGTGCCTGGGGCTGGATCTGGCCCTTGACCACCAAAACACCATTTCCACGAGCTATCTTCCCTCTCTGCATTAATGGGAAACAATTGTGCTGCATGGCGAGGGAAAGGGAAACTGCAGCAGCGAATGCTCTCGTGATGGTAGTTGTGAAATGTGAAGTGTGGGGCCATCCTGGTCAGGGGGATGCAAATCCCTGGTCACCATGTCCATAAATCCTGAGTGTGATGATTGACTTGTGCCCTGTGTGAACCCCTCATAGGGGTAGAAATCTCTTGGTGTTTGTAGCCCCATCTTTGTCACCAATTAGGATGTTGTTATTGGATTAGATGCAACAAGATAAGAAGCCTCCTGGGGAGGCTGAGGCAGTTGTTGATGGATCCACCCGGGGAGCAACGTGGCCACCACTGAGCGCCTCCAGCTCATCCTTCCCCTCGCTGGTGTCCATTTTGCAGGGCACCCCTCAAACTGCCACACCTGGGAATGGGCCTACAAGGCCTCAGTGTCCCTGTCTTGGTAATGCAAAGGGAACTTTGTCCAGCAAATGACAAAAAACGTGTCCCTGGCTCTCTTGCAGGCTGTGTGCATGTGCCCAGAGATGGTGGTGTTGGGGATGTGGGGCCATTTTGGGGTGCCTTGGCCATTTTGGGGGACTTGGACCCCTCGCTGGGTATGGACCAGCCCGTTTTCCCCCCGCAGTAGGGAACCCCTGAGGATAGCAGGGGCGCTGTCCCCACAGGAGAAAAAAATATAATAATAATAATAATTAATAATAATAATAATAAAAAACTACAATTCCCAGCATGCAACGGGGCGCGGCACGGCGGCCTAAAACTACACATCCCAGCGTGCCACGCGGCCCAACATGGCCGACAGCAAGCCCCTCGCCAGACTACATATCCCAGCGTGCCGCGCGGCTCAGCAAGGCGGACCGCACCCTCTCTTCCCCACGTACTACATTTCCCGGCATGCTGCGGTGCGCCCCGAGCATGCGCAGTGGGCCCCGGGCGGCGGGGCCGCCGCCTGCCTCAGCCTGAGGTGGGCAGCAGGGGGCAGGCGGCGCCCGCCTGGAGCCTCCCCGGGCTCCCGGGGGCCGAGAGCCGCTGGCAAAACGCTTTTGTCGCCGTCTGTGGGAAGTGGCAGCACCTGAGGCCCGTTTTATGCCAGTTCTGGCCGTGCAGAGAGTCATTGCTGGGGATCTGAGTACCCCAGAGTAGTGCTTTTAGTGTACAGAAGCAGATTTCGGCGTGTGTAAAGCGCTCGAGTTGGTGTTGGGGGCAAAAAAAAACACACCAAGCAAACCCTGACCTGTGCAAAATAGCAGTGTGAACGTGGGCAGGAGATTAAAAACACTCAGTAGTGATTTATCCAAGCTACGTGCATCTTCTTTTCCTCCGCCTCAGTCACACAGCACACGTTGCATTGCTGGGGCTGCAGGATTTCCCCCCTAATTTGATCAAATTCTGTCCATGTAGCCAGGGCAGAATCATGTGGTTCTGTCACGGAGGGTTCTGCAAGCGATAAGTGCCCTGTAGCTGCAGAATTTCGTGTCATACAAACCAAGGTGTGGTTGTGCTCACTCACGACCCGCTGGAAGGAAGCTGATCGCTTTCACGGGTTAAGACAGGCAGCAGGATATCTGGAGAGAACTGTGATTATCCTGGAGGAAATTTAAGAAAATCAAATTCTAGTTCTCACCATTTTGTGACATCCAGTAAGGCAAATGGTTTCCATTATGCAAGATTTGTTTTAAAGCCAGAAGAGTCTTTTTCCCTCTTATTTGGGACAGTCACCTAGAAAATGCTGTATGTCACTTTAAAGAAATAGTGAATGCCAAAAGCTGTTGTGTAAATCTTCGCTGACATCTTTTTGGTCATTTCATCATATATTTTGTGGATAATCAAAAATATTCAACTACTGGAATTACCATGATTAGCAAAAGCACTTTGAGAATGACTCTCTTGACCACGCACTTAACATGTTACAGACCTGTGATGTCTTTTGTTTCACTATTTTAATATATTTATTTAATATTAATTTACTATTATTGCAGAGTTCTACCTTGCAATAAATTGCATATTATAAATTTCAAATCCACAAAATGATTGAGAATCATACATGAGTAGGGAAGGCAAACATAACAAAAGAGAACGAGCCACATCAAAGACCCTTACTGTTGGTGAAACTCTGAGGTGTGTGCGTACTATTGTCTATTCCTGTAATGACTGAAAGTTAATTAGTGTTTTGTTTTCATCTACTTACAAGGAGTCTCCAAACTAACAACTCAGGGAGTTGAGGTATGAAACATACCGCTAACTTGAGGTATTGACCTCTGAGCTACTCACCTTGTGTTCCCTTCACAGTGAGTGGTGATACAGCCATTAATATCCAACTCATAATCCATGCAATCAAACAGTGGGGTCTAATTTTGGACAGAATAAATCATCCTGACGTTTATGAGAGCTTGTGCAAGACCAATGACACAAAGGGCTGTTGCAAACTGCCTCCTTTACCTGCGTGACAGTGAAGGAAGCTGGGGGCAGGGAGCTGGCATGCCACAAACACTGAGAGAAAGAAGGATGCGTGCCTCTCGGCGTACAGGAGGGCAGCCTTCCAACAGGATAATGCAGGGAACTGGACTACAACTGAGTAGCATCACAGATTCTTCCTGTGTTCAGCTGTTACAGCAGGAACAGTCCAAGATCTGATCAGCACAAGACTCTGTTTTAGCTGGTTTTACACCTTTTTTGCCTTGATCTCTGAATATATTACTCTGCAATAAGGATAAAGTCCTTGCTTCATGAAAAAGCATCTACAAATATGGAAGACGATGTGGATTTGCAACGAGCATGCTGATAAATAATATTAGGGCAGTGACCTCTTTGGCACAACAGTCTAACCTTACTGCCCCTCAGATTCCTATTATGCTACCTAAATTAGATGTGTACAGAACAATTATACAAAAAGGATCATTCTTCCTGAATGTAGCAAAACCAAATTATTTCATTACTGTAAGAAAACTCTTTCAGGTCAGCAGTCTTGCATGTCGTTTATGAACAATGACTCATGTTGATTCTGCTCTTAAGAGAGGTGATCAGAGTTCATTTTGCAAAGATTGGCAGGCAAATAATCTTCCCATTTCATCTCTAGAACACGTGTAGTTGGAAGCTTCTTCTGGAACTTGAGATCGCTGTTAGACTGAGTCTAAGCCTCAGCATTCATTTTTAAGGCTTTCAGCTGTATCCTTTCATCACCATCTTCACCATTGGAGATGGGACTCATTTCTTGAATATTCAAGAGATCTCCGGTACTGCAAGTCTTCCCCGTGTTACTGGAACTCATTCTCAGGGCTCTTCTCGGAAGGTCTTCCTTTCTCGAGCTGATCTTCTGAAGTTTAAAAGGGAGCTTGTTTTTCTCTCCTGCAATGTCAATGCAGTCAAGTGAACAAACCTTTTCCCTTCTGGTCTTGTTGTTATCAATAGGACTGTTCAAAGAAGATGACAGAGAGAGGTTTTCTTCTTGCTCTTTAACACTGTAAGGAGGAGTGGGGACTTCAAATGTAGCATGAAACTGAGAATAATCGACACGGAAAAAGCCATCTTCCAGGGACATTACCGGCAGGAATCTGTGACCCCAAAGAACTTCATCTTCTGTATACGAGGTTCTAGCTTGACATGTCATTCCTGTGGAAACAGAGACAAGAGCATGGCATTGTAACACGAGCACGCAGACCAGCAATGGTCCTTAATACAGGAATCACATAAGGGTGTTGTACTCCTCTATATGCCATGCTCAAGGAATGGCAGGGTGCATCTTTTCTTGGCTGTATTGGCCATTTTGGGCACCAGTAATGGCAAAGGGAGGTCTTCTGTAGCCAGGGAATGTCAGTAGCCTGTGGCAGGATGTTCTGGAGCATGCAGGAGCCTGCAAGGATTGACAACTGCCTCGCTAAAAATACCAGGACTGAAGACAAAGACTGAAAATTGAAGCATGCGTCTTACTCTAAAGCTTACCGGTAGTCTCAACGATTCCTTCAAGGATGACAACTATTTCAAATTGCTCGCTTCTTAGTGATCTTTGTGAGAGACAGAAAAAGGGGCTCTTTGAGTTAATTTCATGACAGATGGTTAATGGGGAAACTAAAAACAGCTGGTCAGCTCCAGTTCCAAATCCAACATCCAGTTCACACTGGTCTAGTGGCAGAAATTCCCCCTCCGGTGTCTGTCGGGACTAAAGATGAAAAAACAGTTCAGTAAACACTGTGTGAAGCAAAACGCAAGAAACAATGCAATGAAATTTAAACCTGTCTCTTTCGTGACATTGTTTAATCCATTGTCTGAATTCTCATTGCATTACTTTTATGTTACTCATTTTGGTTTGCAGGAACTGTGATGTTCTCAGGACTCAAAGGACTTTAAGGTAAGCAGCACAGTAATAGTAGAGCATGTCTGGTGCGTCACAGTTCCACAAAATCATCCGAATCACTATTAGCAATGCTATCATCACTTCCTAATTGGTATGTACCACCTACTGTTCAGTATTTCTTATGGTCATTATTCAGCTGAGTGCCGTGTTTGTATAATTTCCCAGGTCCATTATAAAATACTGATAGGTTAGCTTTTCCTTTCCTAGCTCCCTACGATTTTCCTGGTATTCAAAGTGTAACTGAAGGCGTGCTGCAGTCGACCAGGCAGATCCTCAGCTGATTGCCTTGAAGGTCTCTGGTGGAAATTGCCTGGTAAAACTGATGCTTTGCAGAGCCTATTGAAAATCCCATTTAAATTCCTGTCTGCTTATTGCTTGATTAGAAAGCACATAACTCTTTGAGAAGCTTATTATTGATGATAAATGATAGCTAATGACATAGTTACTAAATAGTTCTAGCTGCGTTGCATTAGTACTGACAAATGTATTGGTTGCATTGCTTGGAAACTCCATCCATTAGTCACAGGGGACAAGCTGAAGCCAGCAGTTTTGCTGTTGACTTAGATCGGATTGGTTTTCCTCAATGAAAGTTTCTGTCTTTAAAAAAATAAGTAAATAAATAAATAAAAAACCACAACCTCTAAGCAACTAGCATACTTTCAGATCATCTCTCTGCTTCACTTGCATCTTAAAAATGCTAAATATCTGCCTGCCTGGCGTTTCCTGCCATTACATAACCAGTTAGGTAGCTGCTGGAGTGCTGCTCCTTAGTAAATGCAATGCATTATTTCATTTATGTGCTATGTGTCTGCTTTTATGCTCAGGAAAAAAAAAATCTTCCCATCTAAATAACCGAGTTCTCCCTTAGACAAGAAATGGTTTCTCCACTAGTGATGAGGACAGGGAAAATGTCGGCTGCTTGCTTGTAAAAATGTTCTTGAGGATTATTAGTGCTCTGAGAGCTAAAGGAAAGCAATAGAAAGTAATAGGGATCAAATTCACTACTATTTAGCAGTCATGATGTTCTGTTGTACACAAAGTGTAATCAAACTACTGCAGAAATAGCCCTCCTCTTTCCCTGAGGGAGCCAGCAGAACTGAGCTGCAGACTTCGCCACGGCTTTTGTTGCCTGGCTACTGTTCAGCAGGTGCACAGATCAGCTGGCGATGGATGATCTTTGCTCGAAGGTAACGAGGCTCAGCATGAACTCTGTGAACCCACGTCTAAACCTCCAGTTCTTCCAAAGTTTTATCGAATACAATTCCCTAGCCAAAGACGTGTGTGTTTGCAAAAATCACTGCCTGGATGAGTTAAGACCTGTTTCATCTAGAAACCATTTTTTCTCTGGGGAATAGTTTTTGATGAAATCCACTCAACAGTAAACAAATCCAGCAAGGATTAGAGGTTACAGATCTGGGAGAAAGCAAAAGGTTGTGCTTGAGGTATTCGGCATCTACACACACGACTGATTTATGCAAGGTGTGGAGAATTTTCAAAATAAACTTATTTGTTAAATGAAATGAAACGAACCTAAACTAAATAGTTTAATAGCCTTTTTTTTTTTTTTGGCGTTTTTTTTTTCTTTTTTTTTTTTTTTTTCAGAGGAGCACAGAAGAGGGCACAGGGCTGTCAGCAATACAGCAAAACAGTCAGCAATATTTTCACCTGTAGTTTTCTGCCACTGGATTCTTGTTTTATTTCTTATTACAAGGCAGACTTGCATCACATCATCCTTTAGTTTGTTTTTGTGTCTGGCCAAACATTTTATGCCCTCTTACTCTTTACTCCTGTCCTTCATTCATTCTTGGTACTTTTCTAAACCCTGTTTATTGTGCATCCTTCTTTAACTAGACATGATGCAGTTATATTATTATAATAATATATTATTACAATAAGATTGGGCTTTTTCAGGCCAAAGAAGAGATGGCTTTGAGGGGAATCTAATAGCAACCTTCCAAAACTGAAGAGGAATGTAATTAATAAGATGGAGCCTGGCTCTTCACAGCGCTGCACAGCGGGAGCATAAGAGAGAGCAGGCATAAATATAAACGTGAAGTTCAGATTTAATTTAAGTAAAACTCCTCCACTATTTGGACAGTTAAGCAGTGGAAGAGTTTGCCCAGCAAGGCTGCACAGTCTCTTTCTTAGATGATTCCAAAATGAGACTGGATAAAGCCCTGAGCAGCCCGGTCTGACCTTCTAGCTCACCCTGCTTTCAGCAGGACTGGAGACCTCCTGAGGTCCATTTCTAACCTGAATGATTCTTTGATTTTAAAAAGCATCTCATTTGCCCCATCTGCATGCGCCCTGCTTATCGAGTGATTGAGATCACAGTATAATTGGTCTTCTGACTTATTTGCCATGCCTATCGCCTGCCATCTGCAAACCTTTAGTTACAGTTCTGTTTGCTTCCTGCTCATTCAAAACTTAATTAGGACAGCTCAAAGAATAGGTGTATGCCAGTCATAACTCACACTGCACAGGCTGTTTGACTACTGTGCCTCACAGTTCAATTTTAAAACTATTACTTAGCACATGCTGAAATCAGACCATGATGATTTTACATTCCTTGGCTTTCTGAATCAAAATGTCATACCACCAGCTGAAATGCTGTGGTGTGAAACACCAACACTACCATGTTTATCAGTGAAATCCGTAGTCCCATCAAGAAAAGATACAAATAGGTATCACGGCTAATTTAAAAAAAAAAATCAATCACCATATGGTGGATGCTGCTTGTTGCTGTTATCACCAGGCTCCTCAGGCACACTGGGAACTAACAGGCTGTGACACTGAAAAAGCCAGAACCTGGAACTGCACTTTTTCAGCAGCTAGTTCCAACCAGCTTTTTTGTGATTCTTGCCCCCAGAGTTTGCTTTTCCCCTCTTCTAGAGCACTCAGTGTAAATTAGAAAGACTCAGGTTTCTGGAAAAGTTGTTATTGAAACAAGCACACACAGTCTTGTAACTCTGTTTTCTAACTCTCCACAACAGGGTCCAAAAAGGGCTCCAAACCTCTCTGTGCCATCACTATGCCGCATTTCTAGGCAGTGCCCTGGACCAAAAAAGAGCCAGCACTGCTTGATGGCACCAGTGCAATCTGCTGATTATCTGAGGGCGTGTAAAATGCTAGTAGTAAATGCCATTGGGGCAGACCTTGATGGGTGTACTTTCTTTGCAAAGGTAAATCCGTGGGGCTCCCTTGGTCCCACTGAAACACTATGTTCAGTACAAAATACGGCTTCTGTCTCAAGTGGGGAGGCATGATAAGACATATCCCTTCACATTGTTTCACTGAGACACAAGGAAAAACATTTCGCTATCTAATCGGATGCAGAAGTGTAGCAAGATCAGCTGTCAGCAGCGCTGCACGCAGCACAGCTGAAGGCACAGCTCGCAGGAAGGCAGGACTTGCTAGAGAGAAATGGTTTGGGAGCTACGTCACATTCACCATCGGTTTACAGGACACACAAAGGAAGCTCCTGCAAGGCAGCTGATGTGAATTCACACGCTGCTGGAACAGCCCCTGCGACTGCTTGGAACAGCGTGTCCAGCTGAAGGAGGCACCTCGACAAACTGATGAGGATTTAAAAAGAGATCTGGGAACTAAGAAGAGGCTAGAAAACAACCCGTGTAGTAAGGACTGAGGGTGCAGGTAGTGCACAAACATCCCCTTTCAAACCTTCTTGTGTCCATAGCTCAGCTTTGCCAAAGGTTGCAAAGCAGCTTGAAGACAAGTCATGGGCATGATGCTAACGTGTAAGAAATCAAATATTCCTCAGTGATCCACTGCCTCATCTATGAAACAGCGATTGTGGGAATCAGCCAAGCAGGTCTCTCGAATGCCCTCATGTTTTCTATATATACCAAGCATTGTGTAGCAACTGAACTGTTAGCACCAGGCTGCGTGCTCAGTGTCTTATTTCAAAAGAAGTTTGCAGTGAATTACTGTCATTGTCAAATCCCAACTGTGGCGCTGCTCCTATTCCACCTCGGCTTGCATTCCATCTTGGATGAGGGCCAGAAATAAATACTTTAGCAGAGGCTTTCTGCTCATTTCTAATGCTAACGATCAGGAAAAATAATGGATTGTCTGGCTTGCTGATTCCTACAGAAATGGCTCTTCTATAATTCTGGGCAGTCTGTTTCCATGTACATATTCAGACTCTTTTTGAATCTTAGCAGATCTCCGAGATATTCTGTGACGAGCCAAATTCACAGCTAAGTCAAGCATTCTGCACAAAGCAGAGGAAAAGCAGCCCTCCACATTTACCACTGTCCTGTCATCTCCTGTATCAGGCTTGTTCCTGCAGATTATTAAAATGGCCAAACAGTTGTTCCAAAAAGAGGATTACCATACAGAATACGGAACATTTCTGACACAACTGCACACAGTATTTTCCTTCCATGCTACTCTTGCCCGGTGTATCTGAGAACTTCTGTGGCTGCCAAACCGTCTCCTTTATTTTCTTTATTTTTTTTGGATGTGATCTCCTTTGAATTCCAGTTCTTTCTTGCATTCTGAATTACACTGACCACTGTCAGTGCCTACTAAATGGATATTGGTGACAGTTAAAGGGCTTTTCCACTCCAGCTCATGACACAGACCCTCTGCAATGCCGGAGGGCCACTGGCAGGACCCGTGGGGTAAGGAATTGCGAGTTAGAGCTCCCCGAGTTTCCCCATGGGAAAAACAGGGTCAAGGTTGATCTTTGTCCTCAGCAAATGCTGGGATCGATTCCTTATTCACCTGTGAAAGGGCATGCCTTGGTATTCCTCCCTGCATCTTCACACATCCTTCCTGAGCAAGCTGTCTTCCCACCAGCCTCACAACCCCCCTCTGATGAGACTGCCTTTTCCCCTCCACCTGCTTGCCTCTTCCCTGGCTCCTGCTGGAGGCAATCACCGCAGTTTCTTCTGAAACTCTGTCCCACCCCAGCCAAGTCCCCTCGCCCACGCACCACCGGGCAGGGCAGTGGGGTTGCTCTTACTGCGTGTGTTTGCCCTCGAGCCGTGCCCTCCCAGCATCGCCCACCACAACCGGGGTACCTCAGCCCTCCTGCTGCCTCGCCGAGCCTCACCTTGATCAGCTTGCAGCGGATCTGGGCAGAAACCATGTGGCTGTTGCGGAGGTTGCCCACGCGGAACATGAGGCAGAGCTTGCCATCCCGCTGCGAGACGACTGCGGCGCGGCTGAACATGAGGGTCTCGGCTCGCTTCTTGGGCTGGGACATCTTGATGAACATGCAGCCGATGAGGAACGCGTCGACGATGGAACCCAGCAGCGACTGGAAGAGGAAGAGCACGATGCCCTCAGGGCAGCGCTCGGTAATGTAGCGGTGCCCGTAGCCGATGGTGGCTTCGGTCTCTATGAAGAAGAGGAAGGCGGAGGGAAAGTTGTACACGTTGGCCACGCACGGGCTGTAGGTGTCATCGTGCGCCCGGTGCAGGTCCCCTCGCAGGTAGGCGATGCCCCACCACATCGAAGCCATGACCAGCCAGGCGACCGTGTAGGTCAGCAGGAAGATGAGCAGGTTCCAGCGCCACTTGAGGTCCACCAGCGTGGTGAAGAGGTCGGAGAGGTAACGGCTGCTCTCGCCGCCCAGGTTGCCGTGCTGCACGTTGCAGCGCCCGTTCTTGTCCACGAAGCGCTGCCGCTCTCTGCGGGCACCACCGCCGCCTGGGCCCACCGCCTGGTACTCATCCCCAAACTTCCTGCGCACCGCAGCCATGCCGCCGAGCCCTTCGGTGGGCCACGGGGGGAGTGCAGGGATCCCCACGGAGCTGCAGCCAGCCGGCGAGGCTGCGCAGCCAGCGGGAGAGCCGGAGCGGTGGGCGGCAGCGGGGCGGAGCGGAGCTCGCTGCCGGTGGCCGGGGGCTGGCTCGCTGAGGCCTGTGGGGTCCGGTGGTCAGCGCGGTGTTGCCCGTAGACAACGGGGTGCTGAGCGTCGCTCCCAGGCTGGCCAGGAGCTGGCTGCTGTGGTTTGGTCCAAGCTGCTCGCAGCCGGCACCTCGCTCGTCGCTCTGCCCAAATCTCGGCTCACTGTAGCACCCCGGTAGCGGAGTGAGAATAATGATGGGAGCGGCAGCGAGGCATCCGCCGAGAGAGGCCGTGCTGCCAGCAGCGCCAGGGATTTTAAAAGGAATTCCTGAAATAGGTCAGCTTTTAAAGGGATGCGAGCATGCTAATCCTCAGCCTGCATTTCAAAGAAAATAAGTATTCCGAGCAAACACAGGCAAGTCTATCAGAATTAGACTGTGATTATGTCTGGGAGTTATGCTTACGGTCCAGCTAGCAGAGAAGCTGCTTGAAAGACAGCTCCCTAGAAGCTTAAGTGATTTTAATGCAGCTCTTGTTTTTTTTGTTAATGGACAGAAAAGGTCTGAAATCAGCAATGGTAATTATTACTTGCATTAGAAGCTCTGCATAGGGCTAGGCTAGTGACTTTTGTGCCTGCCATATTAATATTTGTAATGTTTCTTTCTGAAACGTAATCAGTATTTGAATTTAATTCTCAGTTATATAAGAACAGTATTATTATTCAGGTCACTCATTTCAACACCTGATTTTCTGCAAATCGTCTTCATTACAAAGTAGTGGCCTGCAGTTAATGACATTTTTAGAAAACAGTCTGTAACAACGGCTGATGGTGTGTTGCTTCAGTTCTAGACTGAGAACTGAATAAACTATCAGTCTGCCCAAATTTTAATTTTGGATGTTTTAAATTTTTAATTCATACTGTTAATTTTTAATGGTATTGTTTCCAGAATAATCTGAAAGAACTAAACATGTCAGCCTTACTGGTTTAATGATTCTTAAGATATTGTGGATTTAACACTTTGTTCTCATCCATTCTTTCACTTTTCCTCATTCTTTGTGTGCTACATTGAAAATAGGAATACAAGTATATGGGAAAGGGACAATATTTATCTGCTGTTAGTGGCACAAATCCCATCTTAACTAGGCTCAGCTTAAGTAGATGGAGTTTAGAGATTTTAGGTTACGTTCATGAAAGGCCACAGGTACCAAAGTTGAAACTTAGGTCTTTAAAAATTCCTACCTCGGTCACTGCCAGGTCTGGATACTTTCAGGCTTTTGAAGATGAAATGGGTGCTGTGTTTCAAGTGTTCACCCAGGGTAGAAGAGTACGGTTTCAATTCCCTTGAAGATAAATCTTCAACTTGCCAGGGAAATGCACCATTCAGCAAACTGTCTGCTTGCGCTGTACAAATCTGGCACTTGTTAGCCTATCCAAACAGTAATAAGCTCATTATGACTCTCTGTTTACCACTACAGGTAGCAGTGTTACTGCTACACACAGTGGTGAGGCTGCGTTCCAAAACAGCAAGATTACTGTGCAAAGAGTACCTCAGGGTGTGTTTGAGGTTAATTAGCAGGAAACCCATACTGCTTGCCTGTAGATACCATCTTCAGTCATGGGCCAACCTGATGCTCTTTTGTTCAAGCACACGATACTGGGTATGCCCATCAGGGCAGCACATTCCTCTGCTTTCCCTCTTCTGTTCCCCCTTCCCAGGTTATGCAACCATACACGTTCCCCATACGTGGAGATCCATCCTGACCTTCAGCTCCAATAGATGTTCTTCATAATGCCAGGTAGAAGGCAGAAGCCTGGGTCTTCCCGGACAAACTCATATTGCTTAGTGCCAGGATGGATGGAATTTGTAGACAAAATACAAGACTAGCAGTGACACGCAGAGTTGTGTCTTGGGATAATACAGTCTGGGGAAAAGGAGGCTGAGAGGTGACCTCATTGCTCTCAGCAGCTTCCTGAGGGGAAACAGAGAGGGAGATGCCAACTTGGGCTCCCTGTGAACCAACGGTGGTGTGCATGGGGACAGCACAAAGCTGCACCAGGGAAGGCTCAGGATGGACATGAGGAAACATTTCCTTGTGATGAGGGTTGTTAAACACTGGAATAGGCTGTCTAGAGAGCTGCTTGTCAGCGTTTGAGAGATGTTTGGACAATGCCCTCATTCATATACTTGAACTTTTGGGTAGCCCTGAGGTGCTCTGGCAGTTGGACTCCATCATCATTGTAGTTCAATTGGAAGTGACCTATTCTGTTCTATTTTCCAAAGGATGTGTACGGGGGCTTGAATACCCATTGCTAACATGCTGGCCTTTCAAAACAGGAGGGCTTGTGTTTCTATTGAAAGAACAATCTGGCTGCTCCCTTGATGCCTGGCCACCAAACATCCCCCAATTTATCCTGAAGTATTTTCATGTGTGCTCCAATTCCACATTAACCTCCCCCCGTGAAGAAACAATCCAGAAAGCCACCGCCGGCTCCTCCAAGCCTCCCAACGCCGCAGCTGCCACATGTGGCAGGGGCTGGCCGGGGGCTGAGGTGGCATCTCGGTGCCATCGCTCCCTGGGGGTGCTTTGGGAAAGGGCGGCTCTGGAGCCTGTGGGACACCGGGCAGGGGAGCAGCTCCGGCCCGGACCCACCTGGAGATCTTGGGGAGATCCCCCCCGGGCACGCCGCCACCTCACAACCACCCCGGACCCCACCGTTGTCGCCCGCCCAGCCCCGGGCAGCTCGGGGGAGGGAATGAGGGCGGGAGGCGGCGCGTAACCGGCTCTAGGGGCGCATGAGCGAGGCTCGCAGCGGGCTACAGGGAGGCGGGCACCGGGGGAACCGCTCCGCCGGGGCGGGCAGGCAGCCAGCACCGCTCCGGGCCCGGGCTCGGGCCCGCAGCCGCAGGTAACGGTCGCCCGGGCGGCAGCACCGCTCCCGGAGCGCCGCTCGGTGCCCGCTGAGGGGAGCGGGGCGGCGCCATTTTGGGGCCGGGCCGGGCTCTGACGCGGCCTCCGCTGCACGGAGCCGCCGGGGTTCCTCGGGCGAGCTCCGCCTGAGGGAGAGGGCTCGCGGGAGGCGGAGACGGGGTCCCAGAGCCCCTCGCAGAGTTTCGGCTTCGTGGCCGGTGAACCGGTTCCGGAGCTGCACCGCCTCAAACCCCCGCCGCGGGAGCTGCCTCGCTCCGTGCCCGGGAGCCTCGGGGAGCGGTGCCGGGGCAGCCGAGCCGCCTGCCTGCCCTCGGGTTATCGCTGAGCCGCTGTGGAAAAGCCCCTGTGAGGGTTCCCTGCTTCTCTCAGCTGTCGGAGCAGTCCCTCTGCTAGTGCTGAGGTGGGCGAAGAGGCAGCAGAAAGGCTGGCTCGGTCAGCCCCTGACACTCGGTGGGCACAAAGGCAAGGGGAAGAGAAAATCCACGTCGTAGCCATCACCTACGAGCTTCTCGGTGTGCAGGTGCCTTTCCTGGCCTCCTCATCACTAGGGTAGTTTCTGGGAAGATGTTAAAGTGTCCCCGCTTTCGGAAATGGGCTTTTACTGCTGTGGTATATCTGGGTTATGGAAGCTTTATGAAGGCTTTGATCAATAGATCTGGGTTACAGACAATTTATGTAGGCTGTGAACTGCAGTAGGTCTATTTTCTGAGGTAATGGGGGCATGACGAAGTATATCACATCTCTGTTTAATCTCTGACCCCATGTACAGCAGCATCCATGTGTTTAGCCCTTCCCACATATCAACAGGCCTCTTCCTGGGCAAGGGAGGTGGCTCAAACATCTGGGCAAGGACACACACACAAAATGAATTGTGCTGTAGAGTTTTAGATGAAAGGGATACGTGAGCAGATTCATACTGTATGGCTGAAAGGGTAGATAAATGATTTTGAGCCCCCCTTTCAAAAGTCACATGCCCGTGGCTGAATTTAGTGCCTTGAAGCCAGCGCTGAGTATTGACAGGAGGATGCCAGCGATGAATTATTGAACGTGAAATACTTTTCAGTCTTCTGAATGTTTAGTCCAAGCAACTGAGTCTTAACATGGATTTTACAGAGCATGGGAAAGGCCTCTATGGGAAGCCACCATTTTGACTGCTGTGCCTAGCTCATCTAAGTCTTGTGCTCTTGAGTTTTGTGCCAGGTTTTTGAGATCTTAAAACATGTATTTTCCATATTGCCGGGTAGGATGCTGTTTGGCTAAGAGTCTGGAAAATAACCTGATTTACTTTGGTTGTGGTGCTAAGTGAGTTTGTCTGCAGGAAGCACACATTCTCACAGAGTGGGCAATTAAAGCTCTCTTGATAATCAGAGAATATTTCAAATATGTGTCAAATTAAATGGAGTAGTAAACGTACCAGAGGGATGGGTTGAATGAATTGTGTATACTATACATTTTCTTCTGGCATGAAGTGGCAAGTAGAGGATGGAATTTGCATACTTCTTCAAAGCAATATGTAATAGGAATAGTCTTGAAAGTTAATTAAGTAAATGTTCAGCCTGTGTTCTACAGTGGGGTATGATCCATAAATCAGAACAAAATTTCAGCTGCCTGTGAGCTCACCAGTTAGAGAACACACATAAAAGCACAATATACATCCTTTATTGCGTTCAGTAAAGAGTGAAGTACCCCTCTTTCTTTTTGTGTGTATGCTGTTATGGCTGTTTCTTTTTCTGCAAGCAAGAGTTTGAATAATTTTGTGAGCACAAACAAGATTTTAAATGCCAGAGAGGACACAAAATGTTCTATCCTGGACTATTGATTATAAGTGTAGATTCAATTTTGCAGTTTGAAATGAAATATTTCTGGAGTCATTTGCTCTCAAGAGAAATCCACAATAAAAGCATCTAATGGAATTTTTTGTGCAATTTTTTGATGCCTTATTTGTTGCAGCATCCTTAGTACCCATCACCAAGGCTGATGGAGTGACACTCCCGCTGGCTTTAATGAGTTGCATCTAATCATAGCACGGTCTGCATTGGAATGCCAGAACATCTTCTCATGATGGCATCTTCCTGCATGCTCTGTCTATTCCTGGGCATATGGTGATCATCGGTGCTTTTAGACATCCATTCTGTACTGTGCTTTTTCTTTTCTTTTTGAGAGAATTACTTAGGCCTTCTAAAACTTGAGACTAGAATAGGGAAGGATCTGTTCTCTTCAGCATTAACTCTATCCAAGATATTGTGAAGTTATTATATAACACAGATCTTACATTCTTGTGTGTTATTGCGTATGTAGAAGAATAACCGAAGGACTCTGCCTGATTCATGTTAAACCAAATGCTTAAAAGTTGTACTAGGAATTTTCTATTTTTACATGATTTTCATTTTTCTCATGTGCTCAAGCTTAGATTTTATCTTTACTCATTTCAGGAGTGCCTCTGAATTGCAGTCCAGAAAAAAGAAACAATCGTCTTGATTTAAGTTGAACGTTTGTGTGTAAGACTAAGAACAAAGCCATGCCAGTGCTTTCGGAAGACTCAGGTAACTAATCTGCATGCTTTCAAGAGACTGGTGACTGAAAACTCGGTGTACGTTTTTCATGCAGGAAATGAATTCATGTTGCAGTTAAATAAAATAACATTAAGATGGTTCAGCTAGATTTCATGGGAGTTACATGAAAGAACATACAAAGACAGTCGAGTATAAAAGGTGGAATTGAATAAAGTTTTTAAGATTTCAGGAAATACCTGGTTTCATAAGAATTCTTGAATCCCTGAATGAGTGTATGCTAGTAACCAGGCTCCTACAGACAAAACCTCTGTATAACACAGGCTCCTACGCATGCTTGTTAAATATCAGCCCTTACACCTCTGCTGCTTGCTGTGCCACCTGTTATTTTATTTTTTTTAATCAGCCATGGTCCACCAGGAAAAAACTAATGTTTGTCTGCCTTTGTACACTGCAAGATTGGGATATTGATGGTTTAAGCACTTAGAAAACTAGCCACAAGCTTTGCTTTCAGCTCAGCACCAGGCCTTTTCTCCTCTGGTCAGACCTGACTTCCTACAAGGTGCCTCAGAGGTAGAAATGGCAGGGTAACACTTGTAAACAAAGTTCCTTGGGAAGCAGAGCTGGTGGCTGTGCAACAAAGGAGGTGGCTCAGTCACCTTGCGAGTCTGCTGTGATGCTGTAATAACTCAAAGTTTGTTAGAGGGCCAGCTGTTACAGGAACAAAGGGAAATGACTTAAAGGGGAAAACTTCAATTGTAATAACTTAAAAAAGTGCATGGTTGTAGTATTTTTTGCCTTAATATATGTTGTATTTCAAGCTGTATTTACTGCTTAAGAAGGCAGCATTAAAAATGAATGGAGGTTAAGCACAAATCTATGTGTAAACTTAATAATAACCAAGATGGTACACAACTAAATGTAGTTGACATTTAAGTCTGTAATAGAAGATCCTGTGAGACATGCCATCTACAAAAGTTTTGTTCTGTCTTGAATTTAAACTTAGGTTTACATGAAACTTTGGCTCTTTTGACATCTCAGCTAAGACCTGATTCAAATCATAAAGAGGAAATGGGATTCCTTAAGGACGTCTTCAGTGAAAAGAGTCTCAGCTACCTGATGAAGGTAAAAGTTTACCAATTTACATTTTCCTTACAGGTTTATTTATTCTCTGTTCCCTCAATTTATCAACCATTTGCTTTGGCAAAGCTAACTTCTTATGGCATAGAACTCAGTTCTGACCAGAGCACATATTTATTTGAGCACAAGCATGGAGAACATTCAATGAAAATTGAGAAACTTTGTTCAGACAAAACCATTTCTGCCTGGTGGTGGGTGGTCATGTTGAATTGTATAATTGGAATCAGATTGGAAGTGCCATTCTTAAGGTTTAGTTGATAGTTGGATTGAGAGCATTTTGTAGGTTACTTGATGTGATTGGGCACTGCATGTGCATTTTGGCAATGGCTAAAAAGCCGTGTGAAATGCCTTCATTTTTCTCTTATGCTGCTGAAGTCCTAACAGATCTTTTGGTCTGTGAAACAAAGATTAGCAAAAAGAAAACTCAAAAACTCCTAGACAAAAAAATGACCTCAAGAGAGAATATTTTTCTGATGCTAGTCTCAGAAAAGTTATACGTAAAATATTCCATGTATATTTAGGAAGTTTTGTATCTCTCTGTGGTAATATACTCGAGTAATCTTTTTTAGATTCATGAAAAACTCCGTCATTATGAAAGACAGAGTCCAACTCCTGTTTTACATAGTGCAGCGGGATTAGTTGAAGATGTGAGTAAAAATTCTTGTTTTCCTTTTTTTCCCCCTTTCTTCTTTAAGCCTGCTCTTCTAACAAATGAAAGCATTTGTGCTCTGTATTTCTTCTCTCTCCTGCTTCCCCTCCTTCTACCTTCCTCCTCCCTGCCCCTTCTCTATCCTCCTAAGCAATCAGCCTAGTGCAAGAATGCTTCCATTGTTTCTCTCTTGTTTGTTTGTTTGTAAGGATTGGGACTCCAGGGTGCATTTTGGTATCCAGGCTTTGTAGGGGTACGGGGAGACTTCTATTGTGTGATGCATGCAGATAATGCTGCCTGGTTATAGAAACAGTGTTAAACTGCTTTATCACAGCATAAACACAAGAGTGTTGTTTCACATACCACTTGAGAATTCTGTATCGAGTGTCTAGAATTACGGACACCTTTTATTTTCAAGTTGCTCATTTTTATTTTAAAGGTAATAGAAGAATTGCAGACTGCACCAGTGAATAATGAAGAAAAAGAGCTTCTTCAGCTGTTGTCAACACCACATCTCAGGGTAAAAAAATACACCACAGACCTTAGTTGGATTCCTTTGCATAACTCCCAACAGTATTCTGTACAGAAAAAGTTACTTTGGGGAGTCTGTAAGAGAAATCAAAAGCCTCCTACAAACAAACTAGTTCTGTTCCACTGTGATTTCCTGCAACAGGCTTTAGAATGTGAAGGGGATTGAGAAGACACAGTATTAATGCCTGGACTTTATGTATCGACATATGCCATCATATAATTTACATGGTGGATAAGATAATCACCATTAAGAGAGTCTCTGACTTCTCTCTTTGTCTGAAGTGTATAAACACAATGAGACAAGTGCAAAGGTGTGTAGACTAAATGAAAAGAGCAACTGACAGATATGACTGAAAAGCATGGGTCAGTCTGTGAGTTCCTGTCTTCGAAAGTCCAGGAGAAGGGAAAGGAAACACTATATTCTTCCACCATGTATATTAGTGCTTTGACAGTAGAGTAGCTTCTTATTTCTTTTTATTAATGTAAAAAGAGCAGAGTTTAACACTAAATACAGGCCTTTTCAGCATTGTAGCCAGAAGACCAATAAGAAATCACTTATTTATGCTACAGGACTTCTGTGTAGGATTTTCCTAAAGATAGCTTTTTGGGGTGTGGGTTGTTTTGTATGTTTTTTTTTGTTTGTTTTTCAGATTGCTGTAATGTCTGAAACATGAGAACTGGAAAGCTGTGATACTCCATTACATTACTGTTTCTTACTTTCTTTAAACAGGCAATGCTTGTAGTACATGACACTGTAGCACAAAAGAACTTTGATCCAGTCCTTCCACCTCTTCCCGATAACTTTGATGATGATTTTGATGAAGAATCAGTGAAAATTGTTCGGCTAGTGAAAAATAAAGAACCCTTGGTATGTTTAAGATAATCTGTGTCTAGTCATACAATTCTGTAGTGCAAAAGAGTTATTGTAAGTACAGAGGAGGTAGGTGAAAAAAATTAGTGTTCTGAAGCTAGTAAGATAGCATGAGAAGAAAACTTTGGTAAACACACCTTCACATCTTGCATGAGATACTTTATAGATATGTGTTCATACCTTAACTTTGCGGGGAGTATGACCTCTGAGGAAGCAGTATATGTTAAAGTAATTATGCTTATTATACATATTAATTATTTTATTTTTGTAGCTAATGTAAAATGAATACCTTCATTTACATGAATGTCAGTGATGTATGGTAGGAGTATGTTTGATGGCTATATGTAAACTGTATATTGATATAATATTAATTTATACAATTGGAAGTGGAAGAATTGATTTCCTAAGAAAAAATAATTGCACTGGGAAAGAGATCTGCTAAAGTGCTTTTTGAAACTGTACATGACAGTAGGTAGTAGAAGAAAGCAGGGACTTGATTCCTGATTAAAGTTTTATATTGTCAGCAGAGCTCGGAAGGAAAACAAACAAATGGAAAAAAAAAACACCTAATACTTGGTTTTCCTCCCTTTTATGCTTAAAAGGGCCGACTCTACTTTATAAAGATTCAGAAGACACATAGAGAAAGCTCATTGCAAAGTATTGCTTTGCACACTTGAGTGACTGATCATGACTATAATGTGTAGGTGTGTGATAAACACTGAGCATAGTGGTCAGAAGTAGAGGGTGCACACATCTTCCTTCAATCATTTGAGATGGGCACTAGCAAAAATTGAATAGTGGTGACAATTGTCAAGGAGGAAGACAAAAACTATAATGGAAATGAATTCCAATTTAGAAGACGTACTAGCTTACACGTTATTTTGTTGCTTAGTGTATCCTAAGGAAATTTCTTATGGCTTCTTTTCTTGGGGGGGTTATGTTTTATTTCAGGGAGCTACCATCAGAAGAGATGAGCATACAGGGGCTGTGATTGTAGCAAGGATCATGAGAGGTGGTGCAGCTGATCGCAGTGGTAAATTTCTGAAGAAAGGGGGATTTAAAGTAGCATTTATAAACTGTTTTAAAATTCCTAGAATTATGCACACACACGTGCATCCTATACACATACATAGAGCAGTAACTTCTAGTTAAATCTAACGGTGTTTATTTAAATATATGTAGTCTATTTTGTTAAAAAGATACAACTTGCCTAACTCTTCATAGGCAACTGTTAGAGGTCAAGTCTGAACTACTATGTGGGCTCTCTGTGTAGTCAGTGGAGAGAGATGGACGTTGCTGGAGAATGAATCATTCCAACAACGTTGGATTGGGTTTCCACTGCTGGAATTGCCTTTCTTTCCCATTGACTCTAAGGGGAGCCTATGTGGTAAGCTCACCTGACAACTGAATTTCAGGTGTCTAATGGCAGGAGAGGCTTCCCTGCACAGGCTTCAGCATGCTTTCAGATTCTACAGGGTTAATTCATGCAAAGTTTGACCTTTTGTTTTCTAGAAGGTGCTCATCCAGACTTTATTAAATTAAACTGAATTGGCCTTATATGTGATTCATAGAATCCAAGCCTCATGCACTTCTCTAATATACAGGTAATACAATCCCTAAATTAATGAATTACTGTGATGAAAAAATATTAGCTAATTACAGTTTTTTCTTGACTGTTACCATTTCTCATATTAGCATAATCTGATAAATGTAATGCAAAATGACTAGAGCGTGTGCTTAGCATTTCCGTATTTCATCAGTAATCTATTATTTTAATTAGATACATTTTTGTCTAAAAGAGGGACTAGGAAAAATGCCAACAGAGATGGGAGAGGTAGGTTTAAGCCTTAGAAGAAAGGGAGGAAAAGAGATTTTTTTTTAGTTCTAATCTTACATCTTGATATGCTTGGTGTTTTCAGTGTGTCGTGAGTTGTCTTCTGTTTGCTTTACTGACAAAATCTTATAAGCCACTAAGTAGTAGTTAGACTGCATACAAATGCAGTATTTCTTACTTACCTGGGTAAACAAAACTAAAACTCATAAGGGCCTTTTCATGGCTTGTGTTTTTTGTTGTGGTGTTGTTTTGTTTTGTTTTGTTTTAAAAAATCCAACAGTCTTTCAGGGACCATGTGGTGTTGATTTGTTAGTTGACAGCCATGTTATTCCTGCCTTTATAGTCAGCAGCTTGTCTCCTGACCTTACAGAATGTGATCGTTCTTAGGAAACTGTTCCGGTTTTGCATTCTGAGTGCTGATCCAAATATAAAGACAGTGACTTTTCCTAAGTATCTCACCACATGTGCTCTGACTCCATGTTGGTCTCATATGTGACTGTGGTGCGTCAAAAAAAAATGCCATGTGGATGAAGAGCACATTGCCAGCAGAAACACTTGGCTCTAGTAGGAAATCCACTAAGCTGAGGGGGGAGAGAAAGGGAGTTATGTGCTATTGACATAGGTCAGACATCGGAGGAGTGGTGCTTTCCGGTCTGTAGACTTACTTTTATTTACTTGTCTTTTCAGGTCTTGTCCATGTTGGAGATGAACTGCGAGAAGTCAATGGTATTGCTGTGCTTCACAAACGACCAGAAGAAATAAGTCAGATTTTGGTCTGCACTGATTTTTGTTTCAAGATCTTTTCTATTGGGTGATCTAGTAAATACAATAGCTGATGAGATATAACCATGAGTTTAACCTGTATGTATAGAGCTAAAAGATGGAATCCCTGCTTGTCTTTGCAATAAGAGTTGTTCTTCTCACCGTGGATTATTTAGTCCTCTTCTTTTGACTTCAGAAACTTCCATGGAACTGAATCGGTACCAAGTAAGATACAAATATAAAGTTACATGTTGCATTGTCAAGAAAGTCCCCTTCATGCTTTGTTTATGACAAGCAAATTGCAAATTAAAAGTGTGTTCCTAATACAGAAGCAGTTTATTCATAATATGGTATGTTGGGAACCAGAAGGAAGTCAGCTGTGTGTCCGTTACAGCTGCCAGTCTGTTCTGTATTACCAGATTTCTTGAGGCATTGCCAAATTCGTGCTTCAAGCTTCTCTAACCCACAAATATTGATAGCTCTTTCTAAACCTCCACATCTGTGGTCAGCCTGTTGTGTTGCAGAAAGTGTCATAGCTCTTACTTGTCTCTGACTCCCCTCTTGTGGCTTGGTTCCCCCTTGTCTTGGTGTCAAGTGGGGTTAGTGACGCACTAAGAAGAAAAACAGCCCTAAGAGACAGAAGTATTTGGCAACAGTTCCATCACCTGATTTTAATTTTGATCAAAATTATACTGAATAAGGAGAATGACCCCTTTTAAATTAGGAGGGCGAAATCAAACCCATCCTTTGCAATAATGTATAAAGTTTATTTGTGGGGGCTCTGGAATGGTATTCATCTGTCATGTTTTAAATGCCTGCAATGTAATTGTTTCCTTTTCATGGTTTATTTCTGAGGAAGAACCACAAATATTTATCCAAGCTGATTGTATAGCTTTTTAATCTGTACAGAACAACAGGCTTCTATGGGACACGGTTCATCTGGTACAAAGGAATCTATCTAAAAATAGATTAGATAAACCTATTGTAAATTTCCAAGCAACTAGAAGCACTTTTAAATTTACTGTAGCAAATGAGTGAAATTTGTTAGCAAAGATGTTTAGAATGAATGTAGATGTCTATATTTGCACCCTGAGCAGTTAGCAAGAAGAGCTGCTATCTGTGAAAACAAAAATATTTTAAATGGTGTATGTCAAAAATATTTAGGCTGCAAAAACTTAAGTTTGTATCAAACTTTAAGCTACAGAAGTTTTTCATGACATATGAACTGTAATCTAGAAATTAATTTGGTTGCTAAAAGGAAATGAGGGAATTTTAATGCACATCTTATTATGTTCTAGCTAAGGAGTTACTGTCGATGAGTGTCTCCAATAGGGAAGACACTGTTTTGGAAGATTCATGCAACATCGTGATAGTCTCTATAATGAAGTTAAATAGTAGGTTAGCTTTGTCTGTTAAAGTTCTGAAAAGAATAGAAAGGCACTTACTCCTAAATTGGAAATTGAATGGTTTGCATTGTGTCCTTATTGTGCTTTCAAAGTTTAAAAAAATACATAAAAAATAAAAATCTCTTTTTCTCAGGCTCAGTCTCAGGGATCAATAACATTAAAAATAATTCCAGCCGTTAAAGAAGAAGATCGTCTAAAAGACAGCAAGGTATGCAACTTGGTGGAATACTGTTTTCATACTTGCATTTACAGGGATGCCAATATTTTCTAAGATTCCTGCTGATTCAGTGAGGGGCAGCACAGAATTAGACCCATAATCTAACTAAAAAGATAGTAGGGCACTTTCTTGACGTAAAAGATAGTGCCATCTTATTCCGTATAATTACTTAGATGACTTCTGTCTTCTTTATCTTGGCACATGCTCATTCGTAGCATTTCTGAAATCTACCCTCTTGGTTTGGTTCACGTAATTAAAGCCAGTGTTCATGCCAGTCTCCTCTTACCACATCCACTCTTATCTGTCCGTTATCTCTGGGCATTTTGCCACTCACTTGAGTTAAAACAGATCTACCCATGAGCAGAGCTGCATTCATCATCTGACCACGTTAGGTCATGGCAAACTTCAGCACACCTCTCTGAGTGCTTCATTTGGCCTCCTTGATCAGCAATGACGTACTGTTCAACTCATCCCTTCCAGGATTCCTCTGTCAACCTCTGTTGCTGCTTCCCTGCTCTCAGTTGATGAATTTTTCCTTGAAGTGCCTCAAATTACTTATGAAAGTGGATCTGCTTTGATGTGTTAAGTAGTGGCAAGATGCAAATCAAAAGATGAATAGTAGATTTTGATGCATTAAGGGAACGTTCTAAAGACAGCCTTTATAATAAGGCTACTTTGCCTTGAATCCCTCTTTACCGTTTTTTCTCTCCCCTTAATTTTTTCTTGCGTGTTGTGTTTTGTACTTATGTAGACTGTGAAATGTGCTTACCTGGGACTTTGACTCTTGAGTCTTATGTTCCACGGTGCCAATACATAATGACTGGGTAGATGCTTGAAAGTTAGTTAATTTTTCTGCATAGGCGAGTAAGTCAAAATACAGGAGCAACTTGCTGGGATTCAATATTTTTGAGTAGCACAAGGCATAAAGGAGAGATTGAGAGCGTATAGTTTCCTAGTTAAGGATGTGTTAGGAGAGTTTGAAATTCCAAATAGGACAAGAAGAAAGGATATGTTACTTTCTTTTGAAGGTGTTTATGAGGGCCCTTTTCTGCTATAATCCCAAAGAAGACAGAGCCATTCCCTGCCAAGAGGCTGGTCTGCCGTTTAAGAGACGACACATCCTGGAAGTTGTAAGCCAAGATGATCCTACATGGTGGCAAGCAAAGCGTGTTGGAGACACCAACCTCAGAGCAGGCTTGATCCCCTCAAAGCAGTTCCAAGAAAGGTCTGTCAGTGAACATTACAAGCTTTTTTTTTTTTTTTTTTTTGCCTTATTTTTCTTTAACTAACCATATGGTGTCCCACATTTTTATGTTGCTTTTGTTCACAGGAAATGAAGGGCAGGATCATTCCAGGGAGAATAGCAGATGCTTAGAGGAAAGTGCTAGAAGGCTTCATCTTCTCCAATTATATAATAAACTTCCTAGCTTTTTGGGGATAGTTTGTAACCGGCTTATGCTTTGTAGCATGACAGAAGCACTTGCGAAACATTAGAAATGAAATGTGGAATATCAGTCTCTTGAGCTTCTTGCTTAATAGAGACATTGTATTTTGCAAACTTGTGCTTCCATAGTATGAGGAAATACCGATTTATTCTAACAGTTCTGAATTCAATGCATTAAATGCATTAAATAGTTGTTTGTTTTTATTAAAAAAAAATAAAATTGTATCTGGTGTTTCATCTGGCTTCTAAGAGTGTCTTTAGCTTAGACCCAGGTATCTGCAGCTAGAAGCTTTCTCTGTTTTCACAGCAGGATACATGTAACTTCTAAAGCAATAATATACCCAATGTCTTATATTTACAGTAGTAGGGGATTTACAGATTTAAGAAGGAATCTGATTTTGGCCTCTGGTTTTATTACGTGATTCTTATTCCAAATTGCTGTTTGTATCTTCTGTGGACTGTGCACGTTGAATCAGAGATGTTTTTTTTCCAAGGAGAAGTGCCATTTTGTTCTTTATTTTCAGTGCTATATGTATAATATATAAACTCTTTATAATTCTGAACATAAATGGCTAAATTGTGATTATTTTCTATTTAGACGACTGACTTACAGAAGAACTATAGGCACTCAGCAGAATCCCAAAATTGTGAAGAAGCCATTATGTAAGTTCCTTAAGCGATGTCTTAGTTGATGCTGACTTAGCAGTAATTTTTTCTGATTTCAATAATGATGCTTTTCAATATGTTTTGTGTAATCTGTCACTGATTCATTTGCATGGATATAAGCTGCCACATGGGAGGATTTAGATTTGAGCTTTATTCAGTGCTGTGGGTGCCTGGTGTTTTAAAAAATGGTCATGGCTGACTGTCTCTTTCTGCTCTAGAACATGAGTCTGTAAATGTTTTTTTAGGTGCTGTAAAATTTGTTAGTGTTCACATCTTTCCACAGTTTGAAACTTGAAAGCTGCAAAAATAACCCAGTGCGCACTTCTTCAAATTCATACATTAGTACATGAAATGACTGAGCTCATAGGAAAACAAACTGGGGCTTTAAGGAGGATAAAAGCCATTTGAGCTGTCAATACCATCTGCGTTTCAGGCTACAGGAAGAGTTCAGCTTTACTGGTCCGTTTCTTGGCGTTACAGAGATGGTCTTAGGCTTTAAAAGGGTTCTTGTTTACAGCTCTGAAGCCTCTGTCGTGGGTTTTTTTGAGATATAAAAGCCTGATAAGCAAATCAGACCGAAAGAACCTTCCTTAGCATGCCCTCTAATTCTACACAATTATTTGTCAGTCTTTAATCATATCGACTCTATCTTTCATGCTAACTGCAGATGATCAGTCTTCTGATAAAGGTGGGTACTCTCCTAACTCATTTTCTCTCTGAATGTAAACAAATCTAAAATGTTTAGTAAGACCCCAAGCAAAGGGAGTAGTAGACATAGCTTATTCCTACAGCAGTTTCTTCCTTACATATTACCTAAACTAATTTAACTTGGATTGGCTTAGGTAATCCAAAGCTGGTTGTCCTCATTTGGGAATTATAAGCACTCAGTATTGATCCTGGGATTTCAGTATAGTGTTTTGCAGCTAAGGATCATGCTTTCATTTTTCATAATTCAGGGGCCTTGGAGGTAGTAGATAGTAGTTGGGAGGCATTATTATTTATTTTTTTTTAACCTAAATATGGATCATCATCGTATTATTATTTTGTGTTGGCATGTGTATGATAAAAAGCATGGTATCATTGCCATTTTAGTAAAGAATAACTCAACAGTGATAATTTAACTTAATCAAAATGAAGACATTTAGAGAAGTTATTTTGGTCATCTCTGATTACCCTTCTTCAAGTCCAAATATCTTTGAAAAAGTCAGAAGAGGCAATGTAATCGTATCCATTTATAAATCCGTTCATTAAAATAGAGCTGTGTTTGTGGAGTCTTCGTGTTTTATTTAGTTTGAAAAATACACTTTTTAACAGCAGCACTGATCAAACATAAAAGCTGAAGGGTATAAATTCTGGAGACCATAAATACCGAGACATACAATAGTATTGTGCAATATTGACATAGAGGTTGTTGTTGTTGTTTTTAATAGAAAATACTAGGTAAGGCAAATACTTCTGTGTGTGTGTGTGTGTGTGATTCATATTTGTGTTAGAAAACAGTATATGCATATAATGCTGGATATAAAAATTTTCCTTCCCTCACCAACCAGCCAGATGCATACAGAAGGCACTGTTTAAGCTATCTCCTTCCTCTTCTTTCTCCCTCCTCTTCCCTGTACCCTCCCCACCTTCTTTTGTTGCAGAGGACTGTGACTGTGAAGGATATTTCAATGGACATTACATAGGTGAGAAACCAAAATTCCCTTCCTTTTCCCTGTAAGAAAAAAACCCAAGCAATAAAAAAGAAAAAATATTAAAAAATATATTTTTCAAAAATAAGTTAAAAAAATGAAAAGCTACATACATAAACATTTCATAAACTAGATTATTTTTGTGTGAAGGTGCTTGGTTTTCTACCTGATAAACAGATTTTTCATGGATTAGATTAGCCTACATGCAGTGATTTGATCTTTTAAAAAAAAAACTGAGACTAACTCTTATTCAAAGACAGTATCTACTAACTGAACAGGAAGTTTAGATAAATGAAGACATGGTTTTAGTGGTTTTTATGTTTTTTCCTCTGCAGCTGGTTTACGCAGGAGCTTTAGATTAAGTCGTAAAGAGAAGGAGAACAATCTGAATGACACAAAGCAAGCAGATCAGGCAGATGCAACAGAGTTCCTAACGTATGAAGAAGTCACAAAATATCAGCAGCAGCCTGGTGATCAACGGAGGCTGGTTGTTTTGATTGGTAAGATACAGAATTGGTTCAAATTTTTAATATACCTCATTCCCATTTTTACGCCCACTCCAAGAGATTTTAATTTTTTATATATTTTTTAAGATAGCTATTTTTGGTCAGTATTTGTTATTGTCTCTTAAGTGACAATCCTTTAAAACACAAAACCAAACAAAAACACCTCACCAAATCCTTCAAGAAACAATGACACAGGACTGTGTAATTTGCCTGATTCACTTTCAGTGTTGGGGTCTGCTTCTCAAACATGCAAGCTTATGCTGTCAGAACAATGATGAAAAGCTGGATGCTGGACAGAATTACCTATCAAAATTTTGCATGTAATTCTAATTCAGTGTGCTTAACAGCTTTTTGCTTAGCCAGTTTTCTGGAGAAAATCAAGCGTATCATACAACACTGACTGCTAGTATTAAAGATTTTCTGATTTACCGCCTGACAAATGTTTGTCCAAAAGCTGTCAAGGATTCGATTTGTTCCTGATAATATTCTTCAAAGTAAAATGTGGCAGGTCATGAGGTGTCTCAAGGACAAGTTTCTTCAAGAACTCTACTGTATTAGATTGTTTGTGTAAAACATTTATTTATTTTTTTAACAGTATTTCATTCCCCACAAAAATCTGTAAGTCATTTCTATTTATTAGGTTGCTTGGGGGCCAAATTAAATGAGCTCAAGCAGAAGGTTGTGTCAGAGAACCCACAGGAGTATGGTGTTGCAGTTCCACGTGAGTCAAATTTACTGACATTTGTGTGTTGCCGCTTTATCCCATAAATTCTGTTTAATAGTGTAGCGCCAGTTGCATTGATGAATGGTAATTTGTATTTCAATTGTTGATTTTATGCATATTTCATAAGTAGTTGAAATTATTTTCTCATTGTAATAAACCATGCTTGCCTTTAATAGCTGAGTAGATGATTATATAACTCGATGCATATGCAGTCTGGAATTTTGTCAACTCAGTTGTTTTTTTAACTGTGTTTTTCCAAATGAATAGATTGCATTTTTCTCAAGGCACATTAAAAATAAATAAATAAAAGAGAGAGAGAGAGAAATTAAACACAGAAGCTAAAAATAAGATTGTGAGCTGCAAAAAAGGAACTTAAGTGGAAAAGCTAATATCTTAAGATTCAGCCAAAACAATGCAGTATTCAGTATATTTGTTTAAAAGAGGATGATTTTTCTTCAAAATGTAATAAACTACATTTAAAGAGAGCAAAAAACAGCAATTAATATGTACAGGGGAAAAAAAAGCCAAACTTTTACAAGGTTTTGAATTGTTGATTACTGTAGCTAGTCTGTTCATACGAGCCAGTTGCAGTGATAGAGGAACAAGATGCTTTTGAAATAAAAAAAAAAAAAAAAAAGACATTGAGGGCATTGTTGATAAAGGACTGTTAGGCAGGTGTTCAATCACATGAGTAATTTTTACTTGAATCTAAACGTGCACACAGAAAAGACCAGACATTACTTCCATGCCAGGTACAGATTTCTAGAATGATCACCAAAGCTTCTCCTATATTAACAACAAATATTAAATGAAACAACGTCAAAAGCAGGGGATGTACATAATTGTGCAAGTTTCACAGAAGTGTGGGAACAGTGCTGACAGTAAAGGAAGCATTCTGAGCCTGCTGCTGACAGATCAAGCTGCTCTTCTCCTGCATTATCAGGGAATCAACTGAGCTGTAGCAGGAAGGCTTAAAGGAAACAGTTCAATGGGAAGAACGTCAGGGAAAGGTAGAAATGAAATAATAAAGGTAAATCAAAAGTGGTCTACCTATAATGATTTTCTACTAAATGTATCATTCTTGGTCTACAAACTAATAATGTTACAGTTTTGGTCTTATAAATTCAAGGAACGTAAATGGGTAGGAAAATCTGACTTGTCTCCTATGTTTTGCTTCCTCTCTATTCTAGATACAACCAGGTCAAAGAAAAGTCATGAGAAGGAGGGGGTAGAATACAATTTTGTCTCTAAGCAATCATTTGAGACAGATGTGCAGCAAAACAAGTGAGTTAATTTTAAAATACTGACATAATTAGCAACATTTTTAAAACATGTTCAATTACATTTCATGTAATACAAATACCAAAATCAGATGTAAACTTGGAGAAGCTGTTTGAGAAGGGTTCCACTTGCCAGTAAAGGTTTTAACTCAGTTTGGACTCTTATTATGAACCCAGAAATCTAGTAAGAGACAATTCAGAAACAACAAAGGAGTGGTAGGAAGACCAAAAGTTAAAATTTAAGCCTGCATATTATAAGTTATATGACTGGTCAGAACTGAATCTAGTGAAAGTAACAGATAATTAGTTGGTCCTACTCTATCCTCTGTTTAATGTGAAAGATAGCATTGAGGAATTTTATTTGTAATTCCACTTTAAAGTGAATTGTAGACTAAATTTGTGCATGTAAAGGACTTTCTGGAAGATGAATTATGTTTCCTAGAAATGCAGATTTTGGCTAGTATCCCAGAAGAATCTAAGTCCATATCCTTGTTGGCCTTGCTCTGTTTAATGTGAGAAACAAGTTTCTTCTGTTTGGCTTGAACATCAGTAAACTGAATTAATGCAGCTTCTTCCCCTGCTGTCAGTAGTGCTGATTCACTATTAGTGACATGTGATGAAGACACTTGCTACTAAGCAACCAGAAGGAAAAAAATAATTGGAAAAAGAAATGCTTTTTTTCCTGACTTCCCTCCTCCCATGTATTTAACTACTGTGACTTTGGGAAACAACTGTCAAATGATGAAAGTTAAATATACTTTCTGGACTGTATTTATGTATTTTTTTTAACTTTTTAGATTTGTGGAACATGGAGAATACAAAGAAAATCTGTATGGCACAAGTCTTGAGGCAATCCGGTCTGTGATGGCTAAAAAGAAGGTTTGTTTGGTGGATGTGGTTCCTGAAGTAAGTTCTGCAGTTTATTTTAAGGAAAGCAAATGTTTCTTATTGGGCTGCCAGCCTAAGTAACGAATGTTGTTCACTGTTTGTGGCTACTCGCTCCGCAGAGAGCAATGATGATCTTGGAACATGCGTTTCTGACAGGTGGCCTGGCTGCTAGCTGAGCAGAATAGGGCTCTTCAGAAAGCAATGAACTGTGTACAGTTACTAGATGCATAGATGATACAGCTCACTGTGGGGTTTTATCTTGCTGTAGGAGAAGTGCACATTTCTGTCCTAGCCTGCTGAAGTCCCAGTCCGTGTTTACAGCATGGATGATTATTTTTTTTCCATTCTTCTTCTTTCTTATTACTACTGAAACACTGCTAAAGTTGTAACCAGTATACATACTAAGGCATAGCACGCTAATCTTTCTTTGAAATTTTGATGCAGATCCTGCAACAAGTCAGGAAAAGACTTCTAATGTTAGCTCAGATAAATTACAGATTTAAAATAAGTGTTTGTTACAAGCAGTAACTTATCTGTCAAACCCATTTTTCGTTCGTTTCTCAATGTTTATGGCTATGTTGTTGTTTTGGGAATTGCAGATCAAAGCAGGGTGTGCGTGCAGTTAGACCATGCTCCAGGAAGCATACATATGCTTGTAATACCTTACAGGGCACTGACATTATTTTTTCTCTTGAAGAGCAAGAGGTTATAGTGGTCAGACGTATACTGCACAGGACTTAAGATCGTAGTGTGTACAACTGAAATTGTTGAACCCAGCTTGAGCAGATCATTGGCATTCTATGTAGCAATAAATACAATATGGATTGACAAAAAATATCTGTTCACAGGCAGTGAAACACTTGAGGACTGCTGAATTTAAGCCTTATGTTATCTTCGTGAAGCCTCTCATTCCAGAAAAGAAAAAAAATGTCCTAAAATCTCCAGTGTCAGAAGAAATCTCAACGCCCTTCGTAAGTATTCTGACTTTACCTTTGAAACACAAAAGAGGTATTTGGGCTAGTATTTCTATTGTATGGAGGAGCACCTCTTCCATTACAGGGAGCATCATAGTTAGGCACGAAGTGGGTCCTGTGGACGTCCAGCCTGTCAGATGGAACTTTAAAATGAGGTTTTGGACTCCCCTAAAACTTGACTATATAAGTAATGAGAGCACATGAATTAATGAGAGCACATCTTACATGTGGATCTGTGTATGTCGGTGAAGGGTGCAGCCTTGGAAGATGCTACTGAATTCAGATAAACAGCTTTTCAGCTTTAGAAGAGTACAATTTCCAGATGTTAGGTTAGGCAGCACTTCTAATTTTGTAAAATGTTGTGTTAGTGTCTTATTTCCCTCTTGTAACATGTTTCTTCCCCCTCCCTAACACGTCTTGAATTTTTGAAACAGCCTGCCAAATTCCAGCTGTGGCATATGTCTCCTTAATCTCAGTTGTAAGATTTTTACATACCCTTTCCCAGTGGTAGCAGCTCTTGTTTCGTTTCTTTCAAAGTACTGATTTAGTGTGCTAGTATACTTAAAATGTTGATAATTAATTAAAGAAGCTTACTGAAAACTTTATCTTTTTGTGTTGATCAGCAGGATGAAGAACAGCAGGAAATAATTAATTCAGCAACATTCATTGAAGAGCACTATGGCCATTTGATTGACACTATACTGGTGAAAGAAGATGTCCAGAGTGCATGTAATCAACTTAAAACTGTGTTAGAGAAGCTAAACAAGGATTCCTTTTGGGTGCCAGTCAACTGGGTTAGGTCATAGCTTCTTTTCATCCGTTTAAAGGAAAAACTTGTATAAAAAGTATCTTGTAAATATATGGATTAGAGAAGGGAAATATGTCAGATTTGGTTCAAAACTGCCATTCTATCTAGAAAGTAATACATAAAGACTGTGGAAAAAAATGGAAGTCAGAAGCTGACGCTGCCCCCTTGAATTGGAATCCTGAGTGGCAGCTGTCATTTAAAAGTGCGTACTCAGCCTAAACAGATGACTAAAATGGACTGGAGTAACTTTTAGACTGTAAATACTGCATTTTGTAAGGTAAAAATTCACAGAGGGTCCCGTGCTTCCAGAGCGTTTAAGCAGAGCCAGGACATTAACCAGCTGGAAGTTTCAGTCTTTGGTGATGCTGTGTGTGGCAAGGTACGTCTGAACAAGGTACTTTTCCAGGAAAAAATCTACCTACAGAACAAGCTACTTCAGGTAGGTGGGAGGAATATTCTCTGGAGAGTGCTTATATCCTGTCAGTTACTTAAAAGTTCAGCAGACTTCCTTGCACTTAAGATCACTGGTTGCAAATCCTTTCCAGTCAGGCAAAAAACCTAGATGAGCTATGTAAATTGTATCTGTGTTAGCAGCTGAGAAATGGGGTGATTTTGTTGTTGTGGGTTGTTTTGTTTGTTTGTGTTTTTGAAGCCCAGCCTACACTTCCCAGTGCTTCTGGCTGTCTTGCAGAGTTAGTAATTAGTATGCTCGTCCATGGCTTATGCCCACTTTTCCCAGTCTCTTCCTAATGACACAGGACAAATGTTAAGCAACCTGTAAAAAAAACCTGCGTGACTAATCGATCTCATAAACCAGAGACATTTCTTTAGTCTACATTAAAATTGCATAACAATGTAAAATAGGACTTTAAGAAGCTTATTTTCTACAAGGTATCTTTGCAAATGCCACCTACTTGGGTACCACATGGACAGCAACACAGCAGCTCTGAAAGGCTGCAAAAAGGAAGAGGCAGAAGTACCAAGCAGGTGAGCTACAGCACTGAATAATTATTCTTCCAGCACTTATGAATACCTTTGTTTGAAATCAGGTAAAGGCTTCCAGAGCATGTCGTTGTCAACATCAAGTCCTAAGAGGAAACCTTAACTGTTAGAGGGCTTTACAGGCATTTTAGGAGATACGAATATGAAACCTGTATAGTTTTTATTAGGTGGGCAAGACGAAGAAAGCACAGCAAGATTATTCTGGAAGTGCCTATACCTTTTAATTATTTGATGAATGTGTGGGTCTTGTGCAGGTGTGTTAGCTGAAACTTGTTCCTGTTTTCTATTGCCTCTTGAGTTCTGATCTTTCCTATGTACTATGCCCTTTAACAATACCTTCTGGTGCACCAGTCTTATTCTTTTAATCTTAACAGTACGATGTTATTCTTGGTCCAGTGCATTCAGCAAAACTAACAACATTGCTTATTAAAAACACATTTCTTACATACCAGCGTCACTGAATCTACATTAACTTCAGCCCAGAAAAGTTGTGCATCCATCCCCAAACCTGTGTGCCCTGGCAACTTCTGTGTATCATCCTGCAAGGATAGTGCTTTTCACAGTCTGGTAGATCTGTTCTGGCTTGTCAGAGTAGATATGCTGCCAGATTTGTGGCCTCTCGCCAAATGCACAAGGATTCCTTCACACACTGGTGGCCTGTCAGCTCTGCCAGTAGGTTGCTATAATCTTGGCCCAGCACAGCCACCAAAGATAATGTGACGTATTAGAGGCATACTGACAAATCTAGTGACAGATGTGCCTTCATCCTGTGAAAATCTGAGTGTAATATTTTAAAACTATTTAAGTAACAGCATCTCAAACTAAGTAGATTTATGAAAGTATCAAATAGGCAGATAGATCTCACCATAGATTTATATTGCAGCTTACACTTGGTTGTTTTTTTCCTTTTCTTTACAGTCTGCAAAACATCAGATTGTTTAGAGAACAATTTAAAGAAAAAGAGGTAAGACAAAGGGTCAGAATTCACTTAAAGCAATGTTACTATCTAACATCTTAGCATGTTCCAGAGGACTAGTGGTAAATAACTTAGTTTATGATCTAACATAGTTTAATAGTGAGATGTGCAAAGAATGCAAATACATAAGTACGGTTGAAGTTACATTTAACTGAAAATTTAAGATGTTAAGATATACTACAGCTGTTAAATATAAACTAAAATATTCAGTATGAGTTGAATAATCTTTTTTGAAATCTGTGCAGACACCCCATATTGATGTACAGTCATAGAGATACTAACTTGAGATAGTGTCAGAAATACTTAATTTTTTTGATGTAAGGAAGGCTTTTTTAGATCCAAAGTAAATGATGGTGAGAGAATACGTAAGTATATGGTAAAGCTTGAGGGTAGCTAAGATGAGCTTCTCTCACAGGAAAACAGAACACATTTGATGCTCTTATTTATTCTAAAAATCCTAGGAAAAGGGTACATGCAGCAGATTGCTGTTACCAGGACAAGATTCCAATCCAGACAAAAACACTGAGTCCTTTCCAGGCCTGGTATGTGTTCCTGCCATTAGTGAGAGGAAAAAAAGAAAAGGTTATAAAGAAAATCAGAATGTAAAATGTAATTCAAAGTCCTGTTTTCTAAGTGGTGCCAAAAACCCTAAGTCAAAGCACTTAAGCAAACTGAACTATTTTTCCCTTTCCCTACTTGCTCACACCTAAAATTAATGTAGCCTTTCATATTTCCTGTTAGGATTTGTAGTTACTGAAGGATGAGCCTTGGCTAACAGCTACAGTGCGTGAAGTTTTCAGGCAGCTTTCCATCCATACTGGCTGTATTTAAAACCGTTTCCCTTTCTAAAATTAGTTGTGTAGTGTACATCCAGGGAACGCTGCAGTCAGCGAACTCAGACGTCCTCAGCTGGTTTTAAGTATTCCATATCTCCAGCCAAATTTCTAATAGGATTAAAATAACAATTTAAAATATACACATTTCACATGACTGTGAGATGTGCACAGTCTAGAACCCTGATACCTTGAACTCAGCTTACGATACATGCATTGTTTTTATAAAGTGAAACCAGGTGTAAAACAGTATACCTAATTCACTTGAGAAGAGATACGGCATTTTGTAGTCTGTTTAAAGTATCTGGTGGTCTGCTAAAGGGAAAAAAAAACACGTTACAGGTTTTATCATTAAGTGTTATTTAGAATACATAATATACACAATATACTTAGTTTGAAGACATAACATAATAGTATTTATACAAAAAGTCAAATACATGCCTGCCACCCAGTATCAGACTTCTTTTGGTAACTGGTAGGCTTACACTCAAGAAGCCTTTTCAAAATTCCCTGATTTTCCATGGTGATTGTCAGTATTTTCCTGTTCTGTGCATCTCTATTTGATCTGTAAGCAAAAATGAACACATTTGCAAACACAGATTGGGAAGGGGGAGAGAAAGGAGACAGAAAATGTGTTTTAAAAGGAAGGGACTGAAGGCAGAAGTCTGTAAGGAGCCTGTAGCAGACAGTGATACAGGCTTTGGTTTCTAAACTAACAGCAGAATAGAACTCTGCAGGAATTTCTCTTCAGGAGAGGAGGTAGGAAGGTACAGCCAAGTAGCGGGTGCTAATTCAGTGCTTTAGTGTTACAAATGGTTCCTTCCCAAGCTGAAAGATTTCATCAAGGACTCCTACAAGAGCCCTTGTATTGCTGTAATTTTGTCGGGGCAGTGCAGCTTTTCGGAACCATTATGAGTGGAAGTAAAGGGCTAGTGGCGACAGTTCTACTTATGTAAACTGTGGATCCATCCCATAAAGTGATGCAACAACCTTTTTACTCCTGGAACAAAGGGTAGTACCAGCTACCTCCTTTGAAAGTGTTCATTCCAGCAGTCTACAGTTGCTGGCCCTCGTTGTATTGCAGCTAGGCGCTCCATCAGCTTCTTGTTCTCTCTCTCAATCTGATAAATTCGCTTTTGATCCTCCTGTGCAAGACATGCCAAGTTTGCAATGTCATTCTCATGAGAATCTACTAGGCTGGCTCTTACAGATTTGTTGCCCATATGTATAAAAAAGAAGAACACAACGACCCTTCTTATTTCTGCACTCACCCCTATCCCAAAATCACCATGTTTTCTTGCTGTGCTTTGTCACTATTTCCTTGCTGTCCTTCTCTTAGCACCCCCTTGTATATCTCTCTCTATATATATAAAAAAGGATATAAAAGCAGCATTGCATTCAATTTTTTTATCCTTACTCTTTTTCTCATTAACTTCCATTTTTTTGACTCTGAAAGGATAAAGAAAGCACCCTTCTCTTTATGTTCCTGAAGACTTCCTTGCTGCCTGAGGCATTATCATGACACAGACATAGATGTACCATTACCTGAATCCTGCGCTTGTTAAAATGTTGCCAGGTCTGTGCATGTGAAGGTTTTTTACGCACACGCGTTCTTCCTTAAAGGAGGAGAAAAGAAGAAATGTTTTAAGTGAAAAAGTTTTGTGAAGCAAAGCTATTGAGCCCCATATCCCTTCATCCAACCTTTCCTTTGCCAGCATTCCCCACCAAACAGTGAAACAGCTCTCACTGGGAAAAGCACTGCAGGTCTGCTGTGGTTTTTTTTAGAAGCAGTAGAAACAGAAACAATGCTTCAGACCTGCACAGACAGGAAGGGGAGTAGCTGTTTCACATTTCCCTAACCACTGTTCATTAATTTTTCCTGTTTATGTGCCAGACAAGACATATTGCACCTCAACTCACAGTAAATGAGCTGCGATATTGCTTAAAGAGTTTTCTATTCAAAAAAAATATGAACATGGATCAAGATTTTTCCATCACCTTTTAGCTCAAGCTTCGTTAGAAGTCAGTTGTTTGAAAACACAGTAATTCAGCAAGTCCTCTTCGTGACATGCTAACTAGCATCTAGCAGTGAAGAGGACTGGAATTTCCCAGCAGGATCTCTACAAACCCTTCATGTTGATGGCAACTGCTATTTTTTCCACTTCTGTTCAACTTACAGGTTAAGATGCTTACTAGTATTCAGTGAAAATATCATTTTGTATTAAAAAAAAACACAAAACAAAACACAAAGTTATTGACAGGTGTAGGGGTGAAATAGTTTTAAAAACACACCACATTGCAGCTTGTTACTGCAATTCAATGAAATTCAAATGAAAGACCAGTTCCTATAGCTTGTTGCCCTCAAAAAGTTATGCTCATGACTATAAATAAGCAGAACATCTCCATAAACTAATCAAGATGGGTTTGGGTTCTGTTGTTTTTTTTCCCCCATCCCTTCGAGTATGATAATGGAAATCTCCATTGAGTGGGATTGCATTTGCAGCCAGCTGAAGCATGATGCAAAGGGAAATTATGTTCCTTTTAAACAGACTGCCAGCTGTTTAATTCTTTCAGAAGAAGAACTCACTTAAGGGCACAACGTCCTTCTACAGAACGCAGACATCAACTGTAGCACAGAAAAGCTCAGCAATTTCACCCACATTCAACAGGACTACATGTAGTCTTCTCTCTCATCTCTTCCTAAACCCCAGGAAACATAGGAAAGAAGTGACTAGCTCGTTGACAGGCTCACTGCAAAGCCATTTCCATCACCAGAACAATAGACAAAGAGTGGAGAATGTACCAGGACCATTTTACAGCCTACTGCTCAGAGGCCATTCATCTCAATTGTCTCATGACTGTCTCCTTCCCAGCCTTCCCACCTGTTTTTGTGGTTCTGTTATAGTTGCCGCGGCCTCCCATCTTCTGAACTTGACTTCCTAGTCTTGTTTGTCCATGTTCTGTTTACAGTGATACCTGGAGATTCCAGACAATTATGACACACTCGCATTTTACTCATAGGCATTTGCTCACTGATGAGTCCTTACCTTCTGTGAACTGCTTGCAGAAGGCCTATCCAGCTTCCATAGGTCAAGGCAGCAGAAACTGCTTTTTCTTGTACTTACTCAAAAGTATAAACATCATTCTCAAGGGACCCTTTACAGACTGAAACCAGGATGTGGTATAAGAAGCATCCTTCATGTAGCTGCAACCAGATGTTCTTTCCTTTGCTAAAGGCATTAAAAGCCACTACAAATTCTGACACCATCCTCCTCACACTGGTTTCAGCAGAGAGAAATACATAGAATTCATATTCCATCCATGCAGCCATGTACATCCAGTGCAAGACAAACAGACTTACATTCATTGCAAAACAAACAGAAACAGATGTAAAAACACAAGACAGGTATTTTATTTACTTACTCCAGAAAGAATTATATGCACATACTTTTCACAGATGAAAACAGCTCCAAAGAGCACTGTATAGAGAACAAGCTAGAATAGTTCCAAAGTAAAGCTAAAGTTTATACACCTTGTCTTCAACAGTGGTACAGTAGTGGTGTTAGTCAGGAAAACACTCTTATTAATAATGTAACTTAACTAGATAGCAATGAACCAAGATATACCCATCCTAAGACAGGCTAACCTTTTCTGTTCCAATTTGACAATGTCCTGTAATAAGAGTGTCTTTGGCTTTGTCACTTGCTTACAAGCAGCTTATATTTTAAATGCTGTCCCTAAATTTTTGGTTACCTTTAGTTTTTGGTTACTTTAAGTTTTTGGTTACTTTTACAGTTACTTTTACAGTGTTGCAAGCACCCAAACCAGAAGTCTCCTAGAGGCATTGCTACCAAGAGCAGACAGAATCTAGGTTAGCATCTTCCATGACTCAAGGCTTGTTTTCAAGACAAGGCAGCGAGTCCAACGGGGATGGAGGGAAGGTAAGAGGCAGCTATCTGGTAGCAACAGACTCTTCCTAGTGGACAATTGTCTATCACCAGCACATTTTATATTAAACGTAGTTTTAGCCCTGCAGTTGCTGAATGAGGGCAGAAACATGGGTTTGCAGAAAACTAAAGGAAGGACCCACACTGTAAGCTGGCCCAAAATGATGACTCTGAAATGCAGGTATTTAAGAGCAGCAAGGTATAACCTACAGTGTACTGCAGAGGAAGCATTTTCTTCCTGCAGAATGTTACTGAATATTATAGTGAATACTATAACCCTAAAATTTAGTAGCAACTCAGCTTGTTATCTGGGGACACGTAGGAATTTCCAGTGCTTAAAACTATGAGAAATAGAAAAGCAATGTCACTGCTCAGGTTGACTCCTGACTAGTAACTACATTAAAGCGAAGCTGGCTGCCTGAGAAACTCCATTGTCATTCTGGACAAGATAAGCTTTTCACTGATATTCCAAAATGGAATACTGTTTTAAAGCAGGAATTTCAGGAAAGGAACATGTTGGCTGCTGTACTGCAAAAGCGTAATATAAGAAGCACTATGATTTACTAGTGAAAAATCTGAGTTATCAAAAGAGCGTAATACTGGTATCTGGAGATATCAGAGGCACATAACTGAGAAGTAAATCGTTATGGAATAAAAGAGTATTTTGCTGATCAGCTTGGTTTTCAGATCTACACAATTGGTGGCAAGTCAAACAAGGCACTGTTTAGTGCCTGAAATTTCTTACTATATTTTTCAGCAGTCTACTCAGCTTGGACAGAACAGGCACCTGTAGATTTAAGAAAGTGGACAGTATGCACTACATAAGCTTTTCTCCTTCTGCGAAGATTCCATCAGCTGGAATCCCTGCTTCTTTGTGTTTTTATCCCAAAGACCTGGTGTCTGCATGATCTTTATGACTAGTTCCTCAAAGGCATGCTGCACTCCATCCTCTGTTTTGGCACTTGTCTCTGGGGGAAAGGAAAAGAGAGGGGAAAAAAGAACACAAAATAATATTTTTATCATATTTGCAGAGCACTCCTCTTTGTAAAAAGTTCTTTTAGGACCAGAGAGAAGATACTGTAACTTTTTCATCTAGTAAACCTCATCTCCTTTCTCCCTTAACGGCACACCTACATTGATAATGATAAACAGAAATGTATCCCATCTGTCTGAAGCATCTAATTTTTCCACCATTCCCCATTCTCTCCTAGAAAACAGGAATTGTTCTTAGGTTGCAATAACATATCTATAAGATGATTATTCCAGAACTAAGTTGGGAAACAGAGAAAGCAGAAGGAATAGCAATTTCTTTTTCCATTTATTTGCTATAGATCCTTCTCCAAATCTTTTAAGAAACTTCACCTAAAAGGTGCCTATTTTACACAATTTGTTCCCTATCTTTTTATTTTCCACATCATACATTTTATTGTCTAAGCAATATTATATTATTAATATTATAGTACTACATCTGTCTTTTACGTCCCTGCAACAAACTTGGAAATTAAAAAAATTATCTGTGGTCCCTGCTAGCATTACTTAGGAGAGAGATTTCAGTCCCTAAGACTCTGAGTTAAAAAACATTCAAGAAAATATAGAACTCATGCCTACACAGTACATGAAGGAAATCTCACTTTCAGCAAAAAGTATTTTCAATTACAGTCAGTGCAGAGCATCTCTGAAAAAAATAAAACCTACAGCCATGCATATGGAACTGCTGCCACAACAGGAACCCAAATTAATTCACTTCCAAAACAAAACAAAAAGATGACCTGAAGTCAGCTTATTTATTGATGCCAAAATATATACATGAACTTACCAATTTTTTGGCACAGTTACTTACCTATAAAAAGCAGCGAGCGTTTTCTAGCAAACTGGAGTCCCTCTCTTCTCTCTACTTCACGATCAGGCTGCAGAGACGAATGAAGAACATGACTAAAATAAGCTACATTTGCCAGTTTTAGGAACTCCCTGGAAAAGCACCACTGCAGAACTGAAGTTTGGCTGAAAAGAAAGAGAAAGTCTATAAAGCCATGTAGCAATCATCAACTGGATTTTCCCTGTTCTACAGTCAGCTTAAAAGCTGCAAAGAACTACTGCTATTAGGCAGAGCCAATGAAGGAGGGTCAAATTGAGCAGCAACATCAGATCAGCAGGAAATAGATGTATTGTTATCTTCTAAATTAGCAGGTAGCAAGGTACATGCCAGAAGGAGGCTTTAATTGTCAAATAGCTGAAGAAGCATACCAAAGATAACTGAAAAAGATGGCAAAAGAGGATAATGCCACCAAAATCTCAAGACACTAGTAGCATTAACTACTCGATACAGACATGCAGCCAGATAAAAATTCCAGTTACATAGTTCAGGATAGCTACACTAGAAACCTCTTGTAGTAAAGCAAGAGTGAAATACATTTCACTAAGCTGCAAGCATCTAAGATATGTCAAAACCACCCAGATATATGCAGTGACTTCCCTTAATAGAATCACCCTCATTAATTGCATCTCTCCAGTAGCATTGCCAGGAAGCTAAGAAGATCTGCTTCCCAAATGAGGTAGTAAATGGAGCCTGCCTAGCCTAGGTTCCTCAGTTACAGAGCATCTCACCTCCTCACTCAAGAGATCTGTTAGTTTCAGAGCTTATCACCCATTTATACTCCATCATGACTAAGCAATCAGTGGAAGAGTATAAGATGATGCATTTCTAAACTGACCTTATCGGTTTTATTGCCAACTAACATCTTCACAGTGTTGCTTTTGTTGGTGTACGTTTCCAGCTCATTCAGCCAGCTCTCTAGTCCTGTGAAAGTGTCTTTTCTCGTAACATCATACACTGGTAACAGAGGAAAAGGAGCTTAACAGATGTAGAACCTTGATCAACGTTTACTTCATCATGGCAGAACTTAGTCCCTACTATCTCATATTGCCCCAAGTAATAAGCAGTATTAGGGAATTGGAGAAAGATGCAGCCATATGGTCTTTCCAGAGCTGGAACATATTGGCTGTTCTCACCCAAAGTCACCAGGGATTACAGAACATAAGCATCTCTGCAACACATCTGTGACTGGAAATCAGGCTTCACAGCTGAAGTCTTTTACCTGTTGCTAGTTCTGAATTGGGCCACACAGAATATTTTTAAAATATTCCGTATTTTCTCACCTCATTTAAAATATAATTACATGTATGCACTGCTGTTAATTAACACCATTCTGGGTGTTAGCAAAAAGTGACTTTTGGTCACTTCATAACTGCATCCATTTAATCACTAAAGTTAAAAAAGATGCATCATGTCCAGAAAGAATATTTTGTACAGCAGGGTGTTCAGCTGTCACAATCCCTAAGAATAACACTGCTCTCTTTTTCTAAATTGGTAATTACACAGAAAAGGAGTAGCCATCTATAATTTGAGCTGTAAACCTCATGTTTTATGGTAATCACGTATTCTAATCAGAGTTTCTAACAAAAATCAAAAAATAAAGACATTAGAGAAAACAAAATACAAAAAACAATGTGCCTTATGACCAGAAATTCACCAGAATAGTTATTACAAAGCTGATAATTCATCCCTTGCCAAGTGACACTGCTGTATTTTTAATTTAAAGAATCATTATTTCTTGCCAGTAGTTTTGCATATTTGGTGCTTGAACTAACGATTCAGAAATGCTGTAAAGAACACTGAGAATCACAGGAACAACATGTACATTTAGGTAGTTAGACCACGCTTCTGCAATCATGTTTCTCATCCATATGCTTCCTACCTAAAACAACCCCTTGAGCTCCTCGGTAATAACTGGGAGCCAGTGTTCTAAAGCGCTCTTGTCCTGCTGTGTCCTAGAGGCAAAAACAAACAAACAAACACATACACAAAAAAAAAAAAAACAAACAAAATATTTAGAACAAAAAAGGTAACTTAAATTACACAAAATAACATTTTTCTGACCAGCAAGGACAAACAAAACCATAACAGAATGAGGGAAGCAGTCAGAAAACTTCAGCAGTAGCAACAGAAAATACGGGGTAGAAAAGCCTGGAGAGGACTGGATTGAAGGTTAAAGTGAGAAGCACAGATACTTGTACCACAAGTGAGACAACAACTAAGTAAATGGGATGTAAAAGAAATAAATAAAGATTATTCCTGCAAGCCAAGCAGCTGGGTTTAGTCAACTAACAGTCAGCTGAAGTGAACAAGGTGGGGAGTAACTGGTTTTCAAGTCAAGAAAGGAGAAATGGTGGTTCCCCCAAAAAGTAATGCACCTTTTGCTCCTTCCAAACAGGAAAGGAAAATTCAGTTAGAACTATTCCATATTTAATGAGACTGTAAACAGGCAAGAAATTTAAAAGAAGTAGTTTTATTAAATTATTACTGCATTATGACACACTCTCATGAATCTTTCAAATAGTTCCTATGTGCAATGTGAAATTCAAAACCCCACAGAACAAACAAGGAGGCGAAGAAGTTACACAATTTATTATTATTATTGTACAGAGAAGAATATGTACAGATTACAATAGACAGACTAACAGCTATGTTATCATTCATTTCTATTTTGCTGTATTTAAAAAAAAAAAAAAAGAAAGAAAAAAAAGAAAGGGAGTGAGACTAAAACCAGCAATATATTGACTTAATTCAGGCATCCTTACTAAGAATATTCCAAGGTATCCATGAACGTGTGGATAACAAAGTAAAAGCCCTGATGCTCTGTACACGCATTGGAGTTTTTATTTAACACACACAACTGCCCTGCTTTTTCCCCCTAATTACCAGTTTCTCCTGATGCTGTTACAGACTGCTGCAAAGTGCCTTTTCCAGCTATACGACTTGTGCAGGTTCTGGCCCTGCTTTTCATTGCCCAGCAAGGAGGCACACCCCTGGGTAATTACGAGGCCAAACATTTCTTGGTTACTCTCAGCAAAGCTTCTGCTTTGCATGCAGCATGTTGAGAATACAGCCAACACACATGGTCACTGGCTAGACCAACCACGACTTCAATACTCTTGCTCTACATTCTGTACAGAGTGTGAATGAAAACAAAGAAATAATGCCCATTTTGATACTTATTTAGTCTCGTTAATACCAGCCCAAGGCATGTTGCTGTCCTTTCAGAAGTCCCAATCACTTCATCCTGAATAGTGTGTTCTTTCTGAAATACCTATGACCATGCACATAAAGTCTCCTCTTTCTAGGGCTCTTTCACTCCATTTAGGAGAGTACACATGGAACTATAGCAATACTATAAATAAGTCTGAAAATATAGCTGCAATCTGATTTCCCACTTGTTGTGTTCTGGAAATATGGTTCAGGGCAAATGCTGAAGTTTCCCAATAAATCCAGACCAACCTTTACATAGTTCATAATTAAGTATACTCTTGTTTCCATCATTTTAACCAAAATAAAGTGTCTGGAGTGTTTCTGCTATAGAGAGTGTATCAGCACAGTCCCTACAGGAGATCGTGCAAAACATCACTTTCCTGCAATTTACTCGACCTGAGTGTTGTCTGTCTTGGGTCATACAGGCATGCAATACCTGCCTTTCTTGCAAGGCCACATCTTCATAAGTCTAACAAAGAATTACTGAAACACAAGTGCACAACCTCAGCATGCAGATGTTAGCAAAGAGGGTGGAAAAAAAAAAAAGAAGTTCCCACATCTGTCCTGAACAGAACCTACCCATATTGCAAGCTGCACTGCGTGGCCATCTACCACCATTTTCTTCACTTTGAAATCAACACCTGCGACATGAGAAGAAGGGAAGACCTATGAGAAGGAACCGGGTGGATGGCAGCCCCACAGCCAGCCCCCTTCTTCCCTCACAGCCCCCTGCCATCCGCCCAGAGCCCCCTGTTCCCCTCATAGCCCCCAGACATCCCCTCACAGCCCCCTGTTCCCCTCACAGAGCCCCTTATTCCCCCCCATAGCCACCCCACCACCTCCTCACAGCCCCCCTCTCCCTTCACAGAGCCCCTTGTTCCCCCATAACCACCCCACCACCCCCTCACAGCCCCCTTACTCTCCCCTCACAGCCCCCTCTCCCTTCACAGCCCCCCTAATCCCCCCATAACCACCCCACCACCCCCTCACAGCCCCCTTAATCTCCCCTCCCAGCCCCCTCTCCCTTCACAGCCCCCCTAATCCCCCCATAACCACCCCACCACCCCCTCACAGCCCCCCCAAGCCTCACCGATAGTGGGCTTCAGGCAGGGCTCAAACGAGCCATCGGTGAACCTCAGCAGGAGGCTGCGGGGCAAGCAAAGAAGCCAAAAATCAGCCCGGTGCCCGGAGGAGGTGAGGGGAGGCACCCCCCGGACCCCCTCCAGGCCTCACCTGGACTTCCCCACGGCGCTGTCCCCGATCAGGAGCAGCTTGAGGGTGAGGCCCGAGGCCTCCATCTCCCACCCGAGCCGGGGGGTCGCAGCCAAATGCCCGCTGCCCGCCGGCGGAACCAGCTGACGGGGAAGGGGCGCTCCGCCTACCGGGCGGCGGCCGGTGCCAAGCGGGGCGGAGCGGGGCCGGGGCCCCGGCCGAGCCGCTTGGAGCTCCGCGAGGCCCCGGCGGTGTGAAGGGGGTGAAGGGGGAGGGTGGGGGGGGTCGGTTTAGAGGCCATGTCCGATTACGAGATCTCGGTGGAGGAGCTCAACGACCTCCTGGCTAACGGCAGCGGCTGCTACAGCCTGCCCAGCGCGCACAGCAACGAGGTGGTGCCGCGCATCCACGTGGGGAACGCGTGAGTGCGGGCCCGAGGCGAGGCGAGGGGCCGCGAGGGGTTGCGAGGGGCTGCGGGGGGCTGTGAGGAAGCCGGAGCCGGGGTGGGGGTGTTAGGGCCTGGGGTGAGGTGCTGGGATCTGCCGGGCCTCCGGGAGGCCGAGGGTGCGAGGCCCGGCTGGGGGCTGCTGCTGGTGGTGGAGCCTGGCGGAGTTGATCCCCGAAGTGGCACCCGCTGAGGTGGCACCCGCTGAGGTGTTTGGTGTCTCTGAGGTAGCAGAGAGGTGAAGCAAGGTTACGCCAGCACGCCAGGCTTTTATTTCTTCCCGGTGTTTTCCTAATGTTGCTCGTACGCCGTGGTCAGCGCCGCCAACCCGCACGGAAAAGGGAGGAGAGCCGGGATGGCCGAGGTGGACGTGCAGGAGCAGCTCCTGGAGCCGTGTCCGAAGCCAGTGCAATGACCCTGAGCCAGAGGAAAGAGGTGGAACGAGAAGAACGAGCCAAGGAGCCATGGGCATGTTAGGTCGCAGTTTAACCATGTGCAAAATGACATAAGGCAAAGGTTTAATAGGAGTCGCCTCCTCTCCCCAGGCAGCGATTGGTCAAATGAATGATTCTGCATTGAAAAACCTAACTAACATCAATTAAATAGCAATATACATCAGCCAGAGGCTTACAGATGTGGCTAGGATAAAAGCACTTAAAAAGGGGAAAAGCTTGTTCAGGGTTCGCCAACCACTCTTCCCTCAGCCATGTGATGTTTATTTTTTGCACCCAGGTTCTTTCAGTTAGCTGTTCCGTGCCCATCATCTCCTGCTGACTCTGTCTGCCTTTGCCCTCTTGATATGTGTGCAGAACAGCAGATTCCCAGTCTTACGTGGAGTTTCTAACTCCTACAGAAACATAAGTCAAACCCATCAGTTTTCATTAACATGCTCCCAAGACAAACCAGACTTGGCCTTGGTCACACCCAGTTGATGTGGGACACACTCATCTAGAGATAGGACCCAAATAATTATCTGCTGACAGCCACCTTCTTCATATTTTTAGCAGTTACCTGAAGATATGAAGCCATTGCCCACAGGGTCTGAAAATAAGTGGTTTGTGCAGTAAATAATTAAAAATAATTTTGAGGGTAGCAAGCAACTACAGGGTAGTTTTTATTGTTCAGTAAATTAGTTTAATTATACACTACGGATTTTAATATATTCAGATTCAAGATTGCATAATAATGGAGGATGCATATGTAAGTTACGAGATGGAAAATGTCTGTTGGAAATCCTTAGCTCAGAGAAGGACTTTTTCTGTAATAATTGACAATCAAAGTCACCCTGAGCATCAGCGAAATTTGTAGCAAGACAGTTTAACTGCTGGGTGGACTGACAGACGATGTCCAATTCTTCTGTCAGGGTTTTTAAAAGGATGCTGAAGAACTGGGGAGGACAGCTAGAGGTAAGAAGTAACCAAAAACGTTTCACAGTGGGAACAAACAACCTACTTCATCTATCGAGCCTTAGTAAGCAATAATATATGTGAAGCGTCCACAAAGAGCTAAGATAATGCAGTGCTGTAACTGAATGCGTGGCTGTGTATTGCGATTCGGTCACTGCAGGCTGAATTTGATAGCCCCAGATGGGAGATAAGACCAGCTCTTAAGAGGGTTTTTTGTACCAAACGGGGTTGTGCTATAGTAGTTGTCATTCTGCAAAAATTCAAGCTGTGCAGGTCTGTTCTTGTGCCAGTCCCAGCTCCGTGTCCCTCTCCTGTACTCTCCTTGTGTTAAGGCTAACGAGAGAGCTGGTTTTATGACCTGACTCATTCATCCACAAACTGCTGGGGGAGTAAACCAACGCTGCACGCAGCCTCTCAGCCTTTGTGCATATGTGGGCCCAGCAGCGTGCAAGGCATCGAGAAGGTTTTTACCGCTGTGCGCAAGAAAAAAGCCTCAGCTTTGTTTGGGCCCCATATTTGCAGATCATTAGTCTGTCTGGTTCCTTCCACGGAGCTTGAGGTACAGCTCGTATTTTCAGCCGCCTCGGTGCAGTATGCATCAGGCTGGCACTCGCCTCATATCTCTGTTTGGCCTTTGTTGCACAAATCTTCTTAGCGAATCTCCGAGGAGCTGTTGGAAGCACTTTGCGTTGTGCTACAGGGAAGTCGGGGAGAGAGTCCAGCAGAACAAAGTAATGCGGTCATTAGCTCTGACATTCAGATCTCTGCTTTGACTTGGATGGATCAAACGCTTTTGCAATGTAAGGCCCCATTTATGGCTACAGATGGCAGAGATTTTATAACAATCTGAATTTACAGACTAGCCACATCTGTGGAGAGTTTGAATGTGGGGAGATTGGAGTCCCAATATCTGGCATAAAAGCTGTAAAATTTGAACAGGCTTTATGCAGGAATTCATAGGAAGAAAGTAAAACGTCTGAGTGAGATTCAGAAACTTCTGTTCAAAGCCATTTAAAATACTTTGCATAGGGGTGCTGCTGGCTCTCCATATGAGTGACTCATCTTTGGATAAAATTGACAGTGCTGAGACATTAAAGAGGATGAGATTAAATTGGGTCAGAGTGTCAGATACTAATTTATCTGTCAGGTACTGCATCTTGGCGTGCAATACATAAAAGTTATAATTAATGAAACACAGAGATAAAATGATAAAGTACTTTGAAAATAATGTGTTTGCATCTCACAGTAGACAGTTCTAGCCTTTCAAAGAGATGAGACAAGGTTCCTGAAGATGAGTCAAAATGTACTATCACTAAAACAAGAATTACAATATTGGTGACATTAGCACAATTACTTATTTTCCAAGCAACAGCACAGCAAGACAATTCAGAATATGTCAGAAGTACAAATCATTTCCTATTACTGCAAAAGTCAAGATGTCTTTGAGTGTAGCATCTTAATCAATGACTGGGATGGCTGGACAGCATGCATCTTTATCAGGTTGGCAGATGACACACCTGAGTTTTCTGGCTGCTCGAGTGTGTGGGAACGAAGCAATTATTTGTTCTTAAGGGGCATGCTGTAAGGAGTATGAAAGACATTCTTCCAAAATTAACATTAAATTGAGTGACTCTAAGGGAAGAAGTGGTGAGGAAGCAATTTCACATGAACATAGCAGTAGAAATTAAAATGTGTTATCGGATGGTTTTTTATTCCATATTAAGGACTTGGTTTATTTGTTTAGGTTATTTGCTATTTGTTATTTATATTTAGGTTTATTCGCTTGGTTTATTTGCTTAGGTGACCAGGTGCATGGATAATGCCATATGGCAATCCTTTACAGCCTCACGTACCCTTCATTCCAGATGCACCATTTCCTAAGAATTGTTTTGTGGTTGGTAAAATTGTTCATCTCTACTCAAAGAAACACTTCTTAATGCTGTTACAGGGTGAGGAACAGGGAACTTCTGTATTGAGAACAGACAAGATCCCATGAATTCTCCTGGGGAAACAGAAGAGGCTGATGTTAGCTTCTCTCTACTACCTGTAGGAACTAGCATTTCACCACTGAACACCATGCAGCTGGACTGAAATGTTAGGGAGAGATACGACTGTGGGGAAGGAGAAAAAGAAATATACAAATACTCTGTTTTTCACCAACAGCTGCGTAAGGAAATCGGCTATAAATCAGAAAAAATCATTCACTGAGAATGTGGTTGCCTCCAGGTGAGCCAGAAATGTGTTGCCAGACTCAGCCATGTCGTTGGACACAAGCTCCTACTGCTCCCAGCCAGGATCAGATATGTACCCATCTACCTACTGCTACTTATACCAGACAAAACATAGGAACTCGCGACTGAATTAATGCTTTCTGTTTTGGCCTTGCCCTGTAGGAGTTACTTTTGTGTTGCAAGCAGAATTCCCCTGGCACTGGTACTTGTCCCCTGGCACAGATGATGTCCTGCCAGATGGAAAAATCTGTCAACATTTGTTTGGGTAATGAAGTTCTTTGCAGATATTTGGCCCATCGCCACAGTTGTTTGGCACAGAGAGCCGAAAACGTAGGAGCTTCACTCATGTATAAGGATTCAAGTGCTTACATTATAATTTAAGGGGTGAAGAGTCATTAGGAGAAAAGGAACGCTCTAGATGTTCATATAGCCTTGAATTATGTGCAAATTGTGAGCAAACGCACAACACTCAGAGATCCATAGAAATGCAGACTAACTCATTTGGGCGTTACATTAATTTTTTAAAAAATTGCTATGTGTCCAGCCAAAACCCTGAGGTGCATTGCCGTCCCTTAGAATCTTGTCCAAAAATATAATACACAAATGCTTAGCTGAGCTTAATATTAAATTCCTTGAATTTGCAGCTTATGAATTGAGCCTTTGGGAGATTTTTCTAAGATTTCTATTTCCATATCCAGTAACACACACAGTGAAAGCTGCCTTAAAAAGAAAAAAAAAAAAAACAAACACAAAAAACATTTATGTCTGTTTAGGCTACATCTTTTCATAGAGAGTGCAGGAACTGAGTTCTCTCTGAAAAAAAATCTGTCACTTTCTGTGCTGTTGACCAGTGGGCTCACATTTTACTAGGCAACCACACGTTGTGATCAACTAGATCTTCTTTATGTATTATTTTTTATGTAAAGCAAAGTTCAGATAAAATGAACGTTCGGACCATCCGCTAGAGTAGCAAGTACTGCTACCTGGCCTTTGCAGCAGTGGTCGTAGGCAGCAGAGGCTTTTTATAACTGGTTCTTAAATTAGCGTATGTAGATAGTGGTTAATCTTGGGAGTGACTATCCTGGGCTTTCTCTTACCTCCTGTACTTTCTTAATTTGGTCAGAATTTTATGTTTGGAAAGAGTAATAACTTTATGCTCTAGTAGCATCTAAGAGATTAAGTTTCAGGTGTTCTCTGCTCAGTTATCAGCCAAGAAAGCAGCCTTCTCTCACGTACAATTAGTGACTGGGGCTCTAAATACTTCTGTGGATGCAGAATATGCAGCTAATTTGAGCACTGTGTATTTAGCATCTATTAACAGAAAAATAAAAGCTTTTGGTTAGCTTCTGGGGACATCATAAATACTGAGACCATTCACCGAGTTCTAATCGTTTTCTTGACACTTTTTATCGTACAGGTTCATAGCCAAGAACATTACGAAGCTGCAGCGCCTGGGGATAACCCATGTTCTGAATGCAGCAGAGGGGAAGTCGTTCATGCATGTGAACACTAATGCAGAATTCTATGAAGGCACAGGCATCAGATACCATGGCATTAAAGCTAACGATACACAAGAATTTAACCTCAGTCGCTATTTTGAGGAGGCAGCTGATTTTATTGAGAAAGCACTTTCCCAGAAGGATGGTAAGGCAAACTGAAATGTCTTTCTGCCGTGTTTTCTGTGCACTGCATATGTGTTAGTCATTTATTTCACTGCTTAAAATGGTTCGTTGCTCAGATTTTCAGCTGAACAGGCAAGTCAGTAATTCAGATCAAGACT